GAAACAATACCTCATACAGAAGGAAGTCTTGAGCCTGAGGAGCCTCCAAAAACTGATCATGTTGAAGAACTAGAAGAATCGCAGACAGTACAAGAATCACTGTTAGGTAAACTGATGCGTAGTCTTTTACCAGATAATAAAGAATTATCAGATGATTTATTACAAAAAGAAACAGTTACAGATGAAACCCAACCAGAAACTGAAGTGATGGATGAGTCAGAGGAAAATGTACCAGTTGAAGCTGAACATATTCCAGAACCTGAAGTTATAACTACAGTACAAGAAGCTCAGTTTGACTCAAGGGCAAGTGGCCAATCACATGAAAAAGTAGTATTGGAGGATATCACAGCAGTGGAAACAGTTAGAGACGAACCACAAAATGAAACTGAATTGAGGGTTGAGCCAGAAGAAAAACTACAAGTCAAAGGTGCCAAAACTAATGATATTCAAGAACCAGAAGTATTACCTTCTGATGTAGAAGATTGTCTAAAGGACATCAAAACTGAGGAAGATGCATCTACTGGCATGCAGGTAGTCACAGAATGTACTGAGGAAGGTACTGAAACAATACCTCATACAGAAGGAAGTCTTGAGCCTGAGGAGCCTCCAAAAACTGATCATGTTGAAGAACTAGAAGAATCGCAGACAGTACAAGAATCACTGTTAGGTAAACTGATGCGTAGTCTTTTACCAGATAATAAAGAATTATCAGATGATTTATTACAAAAAGAAACAGTTACAGATGAACCCCAACCAGCCACTGAAGTGAGGCAGGAGCCAGAAGAAAATGTACCAGTTGAAGCTGAACATATTCCAGAACCTGAAGTTATAACTACAGTACAAGAAGCTCAGTTTGACTCAAGGGCAAGTGGCCAATCACATGAAAAAGTAATATTGGATGATATCACAGCAGTGGAAACAGTCAGAGACAAACCACAAAATGAAACTGAATTGAGGGTTGAACCAGAAGAAAAACTACAAGTCAAAGGTGCCAAAACTAATGATATTCAAGAACCAGAAGTATTACCTTCTGATGTAGAAGATTGTGTAAAGGACATCAAAACTGAGGAAGATGCATCTACTGGCATGCAGGTAGTCACAGAATGTACTGAGGAAGGTACTGAAACAATACCTCATACAGAAGGAAGTCTTGAGCCTGAGGATCCTCCAAAAACTGATCATGTTGAAGAACTAGAAGAATCGCAGACAGTACAAGAATCACTGTTAGGTAAACTGATGCGTAGTCTTTTACCAGATAATAAAGAATTATCAGATGATTTATTACAAAAAGAAACAGTTACAGATGAACCCCAACCAGCCACTGAAGTGAGGCAGGAGCCAGAAGAAAATGTACCAGTTGAAGCTGAACATATTCCAGAACCTGAAGTTATAACTACAGTACAAGAAGCTCAGTTTGACTCAAGGGCAAGTGGCCAATCACATGAAAAAGTAATATTGGAGGATATCACAGCAGTGGAAACAGTTAGAGACGAACCACAAAATGAAACTGAATTGAGGGTTGAACCAGAAGAAAAACTACAAGTCAAAGGTGCCAAAACTAATGATATTCAAGAACCAGAAGTATTACCTTCTGATGTAGAAGATTGTGTAAAGGACATCAAAACTGAGGAAGATGCATCTACTGGCATGCAGGTAGTCACAGAATGTACTGAGGAAGGTACTGAAACAATACCTCATACAGAAGTAAGTCTTGAGCCTGAGGATCCTCCAAAAACTGATCATGTTGAAGAACTAGAAGAATCGCAGACAGTACAAGAATCACTGTTAGGTAAACTGATGCGTAGTCTTTTACCAGATAATAAAGAATTATCAGATGATTTATTACAAAAAGAAACAGTTACAGATGAACCCCAACCAGCCACTGAAGTGAGGCAGGAGCCAGAAGAAAATGTACCAGTTGAAGCTGAACATATTCCAGAACCTGAAGTTATAACTACAGTACAAGAAGCTCAGTTTGACTCAAGGGCAAGTGGCCAATCACATGAAAAAGTAATATTGGAGGATATCACAGCAGTGGAAACAGTTAGAGACGAACCACAAAATGAAACTGAATTGAGGGTTGAACCAGAAGAAAAACTACAAGTCAAAGGTGCCAAAACTAATGATATTCAAGAACCAGAAGTATTACCCTCTGATGTAGAAGATTGTGTAAAGGACATCAAAACTGAGGAAGATGCATCTACTGGCATGCAGGTAGTCACAGAATGTACTGAGGAAGGTACTGAAACAATACCTCATACAGAAGGAAGTCTTGAGCCTGAGGAGCCTCCAAAAACTGATCATGTTGAAGAACTAGAAGAATCGCAGACAGTACAAGAATCACTGTTAGGTAAACTGATGCGTAGTCTTTTACCAGATAATAAAGAATTATCAGATGATTTATTACAAAAAGAAACAGTTACAGATGAAACCCAACCAGAAACTGAAGTGATGGATGAGTCAGAGGAAAACGTACCAGTTGACGCTGAACATATTCCAGTACCTGAAGTTTTAACTACAGTACAAGAAGCTCAGTTTGACTCAAGGGCAAGTAGCCAATCACATGAAAAAGTAATATTTGAGGATATCACAGCAGTGAAAACACTCAGAGACAACCCACAAACTGAAACTGAATTGAAGGTTGAGCCAGAAGAAAAACTACAAGTTAAAGTTGCCAACACTGATGATGTTCAAGAACCAGAAGTATTACCTTCTGATGTAGAAGATTCTGTAGATGACATCCAAACTGAGGAAAGTGCATCTACTGGCATGCAGGTGGTCACAGAATGTACTGAGGAAGGTACTGAAACAATACCTCTTACAGAAGGAAGTCTTGAGCCTGAGGATCCTCCAAAAACTGATCATCTTAAAGAACCAGAAGAATCAAAGACAGTACAAGAATCACTGTTAGGTCAGCTAATGCATATCCTTCTTCCACAAAAAAAAGTATTTTCAGAGGATTTATTACAAAAAGAAACAGTTACAGATGAAACCCAACCAGAGTCAGAGGAAAATGTACCAGTTGAAGCTGAACATATTCCGGAACCTGAAGTTATAACTACAGTACAAGAAGCTCAATTTGACTCAAGGGCAAGTAGCCAATCACATGAAAAAGTAATATTGAAGGATATCACAGCAGTGGAAACAGTTAGAGACGAACCACAAAAGGAAACTGGATTTAGGTTTGAACCAGAAGAAAAACTTAAAGTCAAAGATGCCAAAACTGAAAATGTTCAAGAATCAGAAGTATTACCCTCAAGTGTAGAAGATACTGTTAAGAAAACCGAAATTGAGGAAAACGCATCACTCCATGTACCTGAGACCACAGAAAGCATTGAGGGAGGTGATGCAGCAATATCTGTCACTGAAGGCAGTCCTGAGTCAATGGATCTTTCCACAGCTGAACAAGTTAAAGCACAAGAAGAATCCCAGACAGTGCAAGCATCACCATTAGATTCAGATATGGGTAGCCTTCTTCCATCTGAAACAGTTATATCAGAGGATATTCCAGCAGTCCAAGTACCAGATCTATTGACATCTGATGTTGAAGATACTGTGATGGAAACCTTAACTGAGCAAGGACCTTCAATCCCCATGCCTGTAGTCACAGAAAGTGCTGAAGTAGAAAGTGCAACAGTACTTCTTTCTGAAGGCAGTTTTGAGTCAGTGGATGCTTCAAGTACTGAGCATGTTCAAGGACCAGAAATTTTACAGACAGATCAAAAATCACCATTTGAATCAAAGGCAGGTAGTCTGTTTCCACCTAAAAAAGTAACAACCAAGGACATTCTGGCAATAGAAATAGTTACAGAAGATCCTCAAAACGACGAAACTGAACGTGTTCAAGAACCACAAGTATTACAGACAGCTCAAGGACCAGCAATAGACTCAAATGTTGCTGATATTCTTCATCTTAAAAAAGTTGTTTCAGGAGATATTCATACAAATGATCAGGAAACAGAAGCAAGAGTTGCAATACATGGGGAAATAATTGCTGAAGATACAGACACTGAATGTGTTATGGAACCAGTAGTATTACCATCTGATGTAGAAGATACCGTGAAAGTTGCATTTATTGACACAAATGTAGTCACAGGAAATACTGAAGAAGGTACAGCAACAATACCTCATACTGAGGGCAGTCTTGAGCCTGTGGATCCTTTAAAAACTGATTTTGTTGAAGAACGAGAAGAATCACTTTTAGGTCGTCTGATGCATAGCCTTCTACCACATAAAAAAGCATCGTCAGATGATTTGTCCCTAAAAGAAACTCTTACAAATGAACCCCAACCAAGAACTGAAGTGAGGGATGAGCCAGAAAAAAATGTACCAGTTGAAGCTGTAACAACTGAATATGTACAAGAACCAGAAGTGTTACCATCAGACATAGAGGAGACTGAGAAGGAAACCCAAACTAAGGAAGACGCATTGACTGATCTTCATGTGATCAGAGAAAGTACTGAGGGGGGTAAGGCAACTTTACTTATCATTGAAGGAGCTCTTGAGCCAGTACATCATTCTAAAACTGAATGGGTTCAAGAACCAGAACAATTACAGACAGTACAACCATCAAGATTAGATTCAAAGGCAGGAATTCCACTGATTGAACAAATATTATCTGAAGATATCACAGCAGTGGCAACATATACAGATGAACACACTCTGGAAGCTGTAGTGAGGGTGGAGCTAGAAGAAGAACAACCAATTGAGGCTTCTAAAAGTGAATATGTTCAGGAACAGGAAGTATTACCATCTGATGCCAAAGATAATGTAAAGGAGACCAAAACTGAGGAACACACATCAATGTATGTACATGCAGTCACTGAAACTACTGTTCCAAAGCCAGATGCTGACAATACTATTGCCTCAATCACAGATACAATTGAGAGGGAAGTTGTGGCACAATCTGATCAAGCTGCAGAGAAATCAGATGGTCATAAAACAGAGCATATTATAAACAATGCTTCTGTCTTGGAACAGGAAGATAGCATTCCTGAGGTTGCAGTAGAGGTACTAGCAATATCTCAAGTTCATGTATCATCTGTTAATGAAGAATCAACATATGTTCAGATCCTAGAAAACCCTTTATTTCCTGAGGAAATCCAAGCTCCTGCTGTAGACAATGCTACAAATAAAGATGAATTCAAACATGACGTGCACCTCAGTGCAGTTCAAGTCAGTGTTGAAAGGGAAAAGGAAAGTGAACTTTCCAGCACTGAGATAAATACTGCTGCACTTGGGCATGCCATAGTGACACAAGTAGTCACATGTGATCTGGAAGAGGTCTCAGCTACAATACTTTTGCCTGAGAAAACATTAGGCATTACTGAACCCCTGATCAACAGAGTGGCAAGTCAGGAAGTGTCTGGGGAAGCCAACACTACTAAGCCTTTAGTAAAAGATGATTCTGTGACAGCAGAGCAATACACTGTGATCCAGAGGATGCATGTGTCCTCAACAGAGTTTGAAGGCAACCACAAAATTCAAGTGCAGGTGGTCGATGTCAATCTAAAATCAGCTGGGACAATAGTGGACAATTTATTGGAGGTAGGGGTAACAGAAACGAAAGAAGTCATAGATTATTGTCAAGAAACAATGAAAACAGTAGAAAATCTCTCTGCAACTCCAGACATTGAAACTAAGATAACTGTTCAACAAGTTACTCAACATGTCCCAGAGAAGGTATCGGAATCAGCGGTTAACATCTTGGAACAAGCTGTTATAAAACAGCCAGATGCTTTAACTGCAGTCAGTGAGTTGGCTGAAAGTGAATCAAATCAAATGGGGAATCAAAAAGTGATAAAGGATGGTACTGGAACATTGACAGAAAAAGATGAAAAATCCGTTGTCATAAGTGATGACTCTGCAACAGCACAGCAAGTGTCTGAGGACCTCACACACGCCCCGGATTTACCATTTGGTTTAAATGTCTATATAGGCAGTCATAGAGAAAAACTAGAGCAAACCAAAGCCAAACAGGCAAAATCAGAAGCAGGTGTCACAGTAAGAGAGATCAAAGCTTTATCAGAGGAGGCAGATGTGAAAGAAGTTAATGAACCAGCACAAATTACACAAACTTCTCAAGGTCCAATTTTGACACCTAGTAACACTGGATTAGTAGTTCCCCAAAACACAGGTATAATCTCGTCAATAGGTAATGTGGAATCCCCATCAAGTCTTTCGTTAGAATTCAAACTCAACATACAGTTTGGTCAAGCAAAGGCACAAACTCCCTCTCCACCAACAGAGCAAATTGAACCCATGAAAAAGACACATGTGTCTGATGTTGGAGTTCAAGCAGTGGAGGCAGTTGAACCAGTAAAGCCCATTATTCCAACACAAAGAGCAGAAAGCCATAATCAGATTGACCTAACTGAGGTCAAAGACATAACAGTAACAGCGACAAACTTTGTTTATACCGAAAGAGCCTTGACCACAACTCAACCTGATCTGTTGGATGTTGGCATTAACACAATTGAAACAGTTGAATCAATAACAAAAGGACCGGCTTCCCCACCAATGCCAACAGATAGAATTGAAACTGTGAAGCAGACGGACGTGTTTGTGGTTGGAGTTCAAGCAGTAGAATCTGTGGAAACGGTAAAGCCATTTATTCTAACACAAAGTGCTGGGAGCGAGAAACAGATTGAGTCAACTGTGGTCAATGTTGCGCTAAAAGAAATCCCAGGACCAGACTCCCTCTTGGTTTTAACTGAAAGAGCTGTGCTTACAACTCAACCTGTACTGTTGGATGTTGCTATGCATGCAATTGAAACAGAAGAACTAGTATCAAAGGCAAAAACTTCCCAATCCCTACCAGAAATAATAGATTGTAGTGAACCAGTGAAACAGATGGATGTTTTGGAGGCTGGATCTCAAGCAATACATGCATTCCCTTTGAGCCTGAGAAGGATTGAAGCAGCTGAGGTCAATGACCAGCCAACGGAAATCACAAAACCAGCGGCAAACTTAGTTTTAATTGAAAGAGCCTTGATCATGACTCATCCTCAACTCTTGGAAGTTGGCATTAATTCTATCAAAACAGTTGAACCAGTAGCAACAACACCAGATTCCCTACCATCAACAACAGACAGGACTGAAACTGAGAAAGAGACAGATGTGGCAGTAGTAGGATTTCAAGCACTTAAAGCAACTGAACCTGCAAAAACAGTTACTCCACCAGAAAGAGAGATCCAGAAACAGATTGAGCCAATAGAGGTCAATAATCAATCAACAGAAATTACAGAACCAGCAACAATCTTAGAGTCAACTAAAAGAGCTGTAATAACTACTTATCCTGAACTCTTGGGGGAAGTATTACCATCGGATGCAGAAGATACCTTGAAGGACACAAAAAATGAGGAAGCTGCATCTATTGACACACATGTGGTCAAAGAAAGTACTAAGGAAAGTGCAACAGTACCTCATACTGATGACAGTCTTGAGCCTGGGGATCCTTCAAAAACTGAACATGTTCAAGAACCAGAGGTCAAAGAATCACTGTTAGGTCTACTGATGCGTAGCCTACTACCACATAAAAAAGTATTATCAGAGGATTTTTCACAAAAGGAAACAGTTGCAAATGAACACCATCTGACTGAAGTCAGGGATGAGCCAGAAGAACTCTTGGGTGTTGGCATACACCCAACTGAAGCAGTAGAACTGGTAGAAGAAACAATAGGTTCTGCACCACCAACAACAGACCAGGAACAGATTGAGCCAACTAAGGTCAATAATCAGCCAATAGAAATCACTAAACCAGTGGCAAACCTCGTTGAAACAGCCTTGATCACGACTCAACCTAAACTCTTGGATGTTGGCGTGCATCTAATCGAAACAGTAGAACTAATAGCAAAAGCATCCGTTTCCCCACCACCAGTAATGGAGATAATTAATCCTGTGAAAAAGATGGATGTTTTGGAAGTTGAGGTTCAAGCAATTGAAGCAGTTGTAGCAACAGAAATAAATGAGATCCAAAAACAGATTGATCTTACTGAGGTTAGTGATCAGCAAATAGCTATCAAAGAACCAGGGACACTTCTGGGTTCAACTGAAAGAGCTGTGATGACTCAACCTGAACTCTTGGATGTTGGCATTAACACAATCCGAACAGTACAACCAGAAGCAACATCACCACCTTCTTCACAGGCAATCACAGAGAGAATTGAACTGGGGAAACAGATGCACATTTCAGAGCACGGATTTCAAGCAGAGGAGGCAGAGGAACCTGTAAATACAGTCCTTCCAGCACAAAGAGCTGAGAGCCCGAAACAGGTTGAACTTGCTGAGGTCAATGTTCAGCAAACAGAAACTACAGAACCAGAAGCACAGTTAGTTTCGAATGAAAAAGCTGTGATCATGACTCATCCTGTACTGTTGGATTTAGGTATACATGCAATCGAAACAATAGAACCAGATCCAAATGCATCAGCTACCCCACAAGTAACAACTGACATAACTGAAGATTTGAAAGAGACCAATTTGTCAAAGGTTGTAATTCAGGTAGAAGAGGCAGTAGAATATGAAATGCCTATAAATTCAACACAAAGGGCTGAGAGCCAGGAAGAGCCACAGCTAACTGAAACGGATGCTCAAGCAACAGAAGTAACAGAAACAGCTGTAAATGTTGTGATACCAGCTGTGATAACAACTCAACCTGTACTGTTGGATAATGGTATACACCCAATCACAACAGTAGAACTAGTGTCTAATGCTCAGGCAAAAGAAACAATGCAACCAGCAAGTCAACCGGACGACAGAGAAGTGTTCCGAAGCGAACCAGTTCAGTCTGAAGATTGTGATCAAGAAACAAAAGCTAAAGTTAATAATACAGAGGAGGAGAATGATCAGGATGTGTGGATGGATGCTGAGGAAGTCATTTACAACCAAGAAGTAGCAGAGAAGTCCTCTTTAGAGATCGAGGAGCCTGAGGAAGAGGTGGAGGCAGAGTGTGTGCATGAGGAAGAGACAAAACTTGAAGAAGTTGAATTAGCATCTTATTCCAGAACAGAGGAAGAAGAAAGTCAACAGGAAGTATACAACAGAGGAGAAACATGTGAAATTGAAAGTGAAGGTGAAGATTTTGCTATTGCACTTGAGCATCAGGAATATGCAACTGCGAGCATCACTACCTTGGAGTGGGATTAATTTCACTGAACTTGAGTATAACTAACTGGTAAGCCTCTATCTTTAATTGAAATCATGTTTCCCATTCACAGTAAAATCAAATTGAATTAGTAATATGCTGCATTTCTTTCCTTTAAGGTTGGACAATCCATAAGAAATTCACTCAAGTGTGTATGCTTCGACAAGCCATTAAGATGACTGACTTTGGAAGAGAACTACAGGAAACAGCTTTTGTCGCTTTTATTTGTCAGTGTTTAACCACAATACGTTGGTATTTAATGGTGAAAATGGTCTTGAATTATGGAATTATTTTATAATAAATATAAGGGGCGTGATTAACAAGAAAGACGTTGATAGAGGAGCATCAACTTACAAGACTTTGTTGGCTAAATAATGGAGCTTTACTACTATTCACATCATCTTTTCACATCATAAATCATATTTGTGCAAAGATATATCTTAATCTTTTTTTGAATAGGTTAAGATAATAAGGTAATATATTTCATCCCTTTTACTTCCATTATATTTCTGTAAGTGTTAAATACAACTTTGCAAAACCAACCTGAAATATAAAAATATTTTTTCAACACATTAGGATGCTACAAGTGCATCACAGCCTGTACTATACATCATCTCTGTTTATGAAATATTTGGCCATTGGTATATCTTAAATCTTTTCACTTAAATACATATTCTCATGTTATCTTTGTCGGAAAACCAACATGTAGACCTGAGTGCACTAGTGTAACTGTATATTATCTTGTACATAATGACTGTTTTAATGCTTATTAAAAGCTGCACTTATTTTGAATCTGCAAACATTTTTACTGACAACTTTCAAAATAAGAGCATAGCACATCTTTGTTATTAATTAACCCATTATTTTTGATTTGAACTCATCTACACATTATTTAGAAACATAATCAGCAGAGCCTTAAACTTCATGGCATCAGTAATTGCCCTGTTTTGCTGTTTTTATGTAAGCTTCAGCAAGCTTGTGCTGTCTGATACAGTAGGCTACATAATGAAAGTGTTTGGTAAGAGAGTGAAAATGGAATGAGACTATGAGAGGCTTTTTGTTTTCTTCCTATATTTTTCCTTATATACTGACTTTTATGGAAACTTATATCTGATATGTGTGTATGTCTATTAATGACTAAATGCAAAAATAAACCCATGTTTATATATTTACATATACAGTATAATATAGTGTTTTATTTAAATAAATGAATGCCTTCAAACTTTGAGTATTTTCTTGTATTGCAAACATCTACAGACCTACTAAACTAATAATTATTTGATGCATTGGTATTTTGCATAAAAACTTAAACAAACAGCAAATAATTAAAACAAAGACTTTATTGCATCTTTCACAGCATTCAGTTGGAGTTCTTTCACTTGGATGATTTAGAATAAATTACTGCCTGTTGATTTCTTTTTTTACTGCTTGGTTTACAGTCACATGAATGACATCACATGTCAGGCCCTCGCATTCCAACTCAGTCCTTTGGAAAGCAATTTACTTTTTATTGAAAAAGACTGATATATTTTTGAACATTGTGTAAAAAATGAAATGAACACGGTAAAGCAATTAGGTACAGAAGACAACACTTAGAAACGATACTGTTTGAAAATATGGTCACATGATTAAAAACTGTCAATAATCTAATGGTCTTTGTCTTTATACAGCAGTATAAAGCAGCATTTATACAGTCAAATCCTACAAAGAAGCACAAGCCACCATATCTAGCAACAAACTAAAACAACTGGAAACAGATTTGTTATGTTGTTTAAATGTTTTTACTGTTTAATAAAAGACACCCAAAACAGTTGATGTCCGTTTCCAGATATCAGTTGCTCCCAGACAAAAACGGCCATATATATCTGTCACAAAGTACCTTTGTTTAGCATTCTGTCTTTGTCATTTCAGTTCCCTTTTAGAGATGTGTGCATTGTTGCAGGAGCTGTTTAGAAAATCATCTTTGCAAGTTCAAACATGACCTATAAGAAAAACAGGCAACAGAGTTAAAAAAAAAAAGACAGACAGGATAAGACAGAAGTGAAGCTTAATAAAGTTAAATACACCTTTGAACTAATATGTTTCCACATCAGGCTCAAAACATCTTTATATGCTTACCTCTATCGTAATGAGTATGACTATCATCCACTCCAACCTCAGACTGTGCTTCTCACTCAGGTGGCTCCTCATCAGATCTGTTAACTGCGAACAATGTTCAAGCTTCTCATTTACAACCTAAAAGAAACAGAAAATATTTCTAGTTTAAATCAAAACTTCAAAATGTGCATTATGCTATAAAGTGTTAGCATTAGTATACAGTAAGTCTTTGTTGCAACGTTATTTTTTGGAGCAGCTGTATTTACGTTGACTCTGCGGTTGATGCTGAGAAACTGGCAGGTCTTATCGTAGAGCTTTTCCAGGTTTTCTCTGTCCCAGTAGAAGTCAGGTGTGAGGAGCAGGTCAGACCTGAGGTTTATACAGTGTCTGCCAGAAGAGAAAGATAACAACAATGTTCTGTCACCCTGGAGTTTGAAATAAAACAGGTCTTAAATCTGGATAGGAGGTAGGATAGCCCAAATCTGGTGTTGTCAAACAGAGTGAAAAGTTTTGTTTCTGACCACCAGGCAGACCCCAAATAAACTGAAAACAGAAGAGTTTAAGTAAATCTGAAAAGGAAAAACCAGAACAGCTTTAGTTCACTCTGAATTAACCTCTATTTAAAGAAGATTTAATTTACCTTAACGTAAAAAGCTCCCCTATCTTCTTCATGACCTCTGCTGAGGACAACTTAACTCTTTTGCCAGACTTCAACGTCTGAGGAAGAAAACAGATTAGCATATTAGTATTAAGGGAAGCACTGGTACATACTCTACTTTACAGGCAGACAAACAACCATTACAGATGATCAATTATTAATGATTTCTTTCTGCCTGTTGTGTCCACTGTACCTCTGGTATAGATTGAATTGACTCTACAAAGTTGTCTAATGACACCTCCCATATAGCCAGCTTCACTGTGAGAGGAGGCAGAAAGTTCAAGTCAGGTAAGTGGCTGTATACAGAGCAAACATCTATCAAAACAAAAGAAAGGTTTATTAAATAAGCCTGGGGCCTCACCTGACAAACACAGGGCATTTGAAAAAGCAAATTTCTCCAGAACAGCCTCAGGTTGATCCATCTTGTCACTCAGAAAGATGTTGCCGCGCTCAAGCTTTGTGTTGCCGCTGCAGAAGAAAAGATGAAATATGACAAAGTTACAGAAGTTACTAAAAGTCTGAAAGTACAGATAAAAAACATGACGTAAGTACTGATCTACATACTCTACCACAGCGTAGTTAATCTCCTCATTTTCCCAATGGACTAATGCCACTTCATAAGGCTGGATCTCATGCCGTTCCAATAATCTCATCACCTGTTTCATCTGTAAAGTAGTGAAACATTCAATTGTAAAGGAAGAACAAGAATTATAGTTAAAGAAGTAATACAATATATATAAATATATATATATATTGTTTGTTTACCGTTTTCTCCTCAACGTTCCAGAAAACAACTGAGCCTTCCCTGAAATTCAGAATGAAAAAGAAATAAATGTATTTGCCCTTACCCCCATTTTATTTAACCAAAAAAATTATAATAACTTCTGGGTTTAAAAAGTTTCATTACCAAAACCAGAATAATTAATAAACTACCTGATTAACATGTTTTTTTCTAGGTAAAAAAAGGCTTTAGGAGTATAAGCAACACTTCACATTATTTTGATAGATGATCTGTACAATTTCTGAAAGTGGATTTAAGGACAAGTTTCTGTCAGCACTCATAAACTATTGACGTTCACTTCCCAGCTGTGCATACTGATAAATTCATTGTCATAGATCAGAATTGTTAAGTATAAATAAAGCATAAAGCTTTATTCACCTGAAGAAGAACATCAAAGCCTCGTCTTCTGGTTTACAAGTCTTATCTGTGCTTATCACCAGCACGTTTGAAGCATCTGAAATCAAAACATGATTGTAATGAAATGTCTTAAGTTATTCTAACTGCAACTAACATCTTGCTAAGAGTTGTGACTGATACATTTTGTTTTGTGGTACCTCTTGGTAAATCTAACTCGTGGAAGTCGTGGCTTATCAAGTCGTGGCAAAGTGTCGGCAAATGATACTGATCTGCTGTTGCGTAGGCAATACACTGCATCATATCCTACAGAGAAACACAGGGTTGAATTAGTCACGAGAACAAAAACATGATATCAAATATCCCATGACTATCAGAATCACCTGGTCATCATTCAGGGCAGGCTGATTGGCTCGAGAGGGTTGTTTTGTTCTTGGTCCTTTGGGAGCCTTTTTTCCAGGCACCACTGCTGGTTTTAAAGTTGTTTTTAAAACAGATTTCACAAGACTGGGTGAATAGAAACGTGTCTGTCCACTCCTACATTTAGTCAGCATCCCAGGGTCAGTAAACAAAGTGCTGCTAAGCCCACGTGAAGCAGGCAGAACATCTCTTCTGTGGTCACGCTGCTGGAGATGAGCGCTTAAAAAGAAGGTCCTTGAAAATATCAGAGGAAAAGAGCGGTTTGAGTGAGTCCTCCCGGGTTTGGTTTCATAGTCGAGTGGTTGAATAGACTGCGGGAGAGTGGCCGAGGCATAGAAGAAGACTGGTTTCCTCTTCACAAGCAGCTGAGCTCCCAACCGGGACCACAACGAACGGTGAAGCATCTCGGCATTTGCAGGTGAACAGGTGAGCTACAAGATAAAAAAAAAATAAAAAAAAACAGGTAAAGGTGAGGCAAGTTTATTCATAAAGCACACTCCAGAAACAAGGCCATTCACAAGTGCTTCACACAAGACATGAACAACATTAACTCTCAACTGTAGCAATTTGTTTTAAATAAATCTGTTTCTATTATACTCATTGGTACAAAACAACTGTTTCTTTTCCTGTTGTCCAGTATAATTAAGAAAAACAAAGATACAACAAAAGAAAGCTATGAACCCAGAGGATTCATTGGGTGGTTGGTTGTCTGAAAAATGGCACAACAAAAGGCAGAAAAACACATTAAAAGGAGGACATTTGAAAATCACTCAAACAAAAACCCATAAATATCAAAGACAAATTAAAAGCAGCTAAAATACAACAAGAGGTGAAGAGTTACAGTGCAGTAATATAGTTGAAGAAACGTATTCAAATAAAAATATTAAATGGATCTGTTAGCAAAGGGATAAACACTTGATTGGTTTATTTGGAGTCAGCTGTAATCAAAGTAAATACAATATAATGGATCAAAACAAACACGTCTGACCTTGACTACATTAGCTGTCAGAAATATCCTCGCCAAAGTCGTAGTCGGGTTATTATATTCGCATTAAACATGTTGATAACACATAATAAATACTGTTTTAGACCATATTCTAAGTTTAATGTAGCTATGAATGGTGGGAAACGTGCTGCTGAACCCAGGTCGAGGCTCAGCCGTATGCCGCTTACCTCTGAATGAGAAGTGGGTCAAAAACGAGTCGGGTTTTTTTCACAAACACATCAGAGACCCGCAGTTCAGGTAAGTTTTATATTCAACTATAAGTGTGGACTCACATTAGACACATAGTGCGTCGCGATACTGTGCTAGGAGGAGGCGTGTTTGGTGTTTGCTAATAAAGTTTTGTATGTTATCCGCTCATTTCCTGTTTGTGTGACGGCATAGTTTGAGATGTTTATTTTGACCCGAGTTGTGACTGGAAGGCTTTTTGTTTTGACGCTTGGGTTTACAACAAGGCTTCCTTTTTTTTTTTATATATATTTGACAACGCGTTAGCTTGTAATTATGTGAACGCTGTCCGATTGAAAGTTTTTTTTTAATTTGTTTGCTTTATTTTAAATCATTATATTTCAATATTATTTATAACATAATTCTAGTATTTGGTTAACGTCCAGCTTTACGTTGATTCTTGTTGCTTATTTTGGACCTGTTGTAAGTGGCAGTAGGTGAATTCAGTAAAAATAATAATTTCATATTCATATTTCAGGTTGGTGTCTGGGAGAAATTGCTACCTGACAGTCCTTACTCGGGGACATTAAAAACACTAGCACACCAGTCGACCTTCATAGCATTTTGATCAGCCCTTTTTATGTAATCTACAGTGTAATTTCATTGCATTCATTTTCTTGGGTTCTTAAACGCGTTTTGATTATTGCTTCAACAGGATTTGCACTCAAAGATCTATTTATGTATTTTGTTGAAGCTTCTAGATAACTGACATTCTCAGCTACAGCGCCCCTTCAGGTGAAGCCTTTTATAGCCCTGTTTGGTGTTGCCAGGAGACTTCTTAAAACAGAAACAAGTCCCTCCTGAATGTTTTCTTCCCCTGCAGAACTTTTAACACTGGAAGTTATGGAAAACTCTAATGAGGTATGCTGAGAAAAAAACTTATTTATAACTCTACTTATGGTATATAGTGGTTATTGGCATTGAACTAAGATGTGGCAACATTTTAACCAGGTTAACTTTATTACCAATTATCAGGTGGATCAGTCTCATGAAAGGGAGAGGCTTAAGATGAGGATTGCTGTTTTGGAGGAAAGTGTGAAGTCCTGTGAGGTGGAGTGTAAATCCAGCAGAGAGACGGTGCTGAGGCTGGTGGCAGAGCTGGACCGAGAGAGGAGGAAGACTGCCAGCAGTGCATCAGCGCTCGATTCACTCAAAGTGGTACTTTCAAAGCTTTTAAAGTCTTCTACTCTTTTGTGTCAGCACAGTAATCCAAAAGTTCTGGCCCAACACAAATAGTGAAGGTTAAACCTTTTATCACAAAGGGAGTCTAAGGCGTAAATGTGTAAGGGAGGGGCCTTCACTAACCATCCAAGAAATACAGAAAAATTGCTCCTGGACGATGTGTTATTTGACAACATTTTAGCAGTGTTACTCTTAGTATTGTTTCCCCTGTCTCTTTCAGGAGTTAGATGGCCTGGTAGAGGGAAGGAGGAGTGTAGAGATGGAGAAGGGAACCCTAATGGAGAGGGTGGAGGCAAGCAAAAGGGTCGTCGAGGCTGCCAGGCGAGAGTCCCATTGTTTGGAGAAACAGGTGAAGGAGTTTGAGAGAAAGCTACAGTTGAGCCAAGGAGAAACTCAAAGAGCTGGGGAGAAACTGCAGATGTTCCTGGAAAAGGTGGTCGGTCTGCTGCAGGGGAAGTCTGAGAACGTCATCCTGCCCACAGAGGAAGATGTTCTATACACATTGGACAACCTTTGCAATAAGGTAAGTTATCAAAAAAGGGACTTTGGGCACAAACCTTACCACATTTAAGCCATAGTGCATGAAGAAAGAACTGTTCTTTTAGGGTCAAAACTTCAGCAACACTTGCTATGAAAAACTTACATAAAAGAGTCATACTACTTGACACCAACCTAAAGGTTCACAAGCAGATTCATGCATGCATATAACATTTGTTTGAAGTCTGAATTTTTATCTTCATAGTAACCAGAATATGTTAATTTGATAAAACAAAGGTTTATATTAAATACCCAAGTACCTAAAACCTTTACTCAGTGCTTGAAGATATACATTTAATACATTTCTACACTGTCTCCTACATCTACCATCAAACCTGAGTTTTAAAGTCTTAACTAGGTGCTTCTACATTGAGATAAACATTCTTACAACATTTATTTTGGTGGCAGTCCTTTCCAGAGATGGAGGCCCGTCTGTGTCATTTCTCTGAGGAGCTCAGCGAGCAGACGGAGATTCAGCACAGTGCACTTCAGAGGGCTCAGCTTGCGGAGCAGCAAGTCCAGGACCTGAGGGAGAGACTGCAAGCTCTGGAGACCGAGCTGCTGACTGCAGACATGCAGCATGACGGACTGAGACATAGCAAACTGCATGTGAGTAATGTTTCAGTCGCAGGGGAAACAAGTTACAATTTCTGTTAACTATATGAGTTAATGCATTTTAGTGAGATACGTATAATAGGAAGTCATTATCTTTATTTTTTCAACAGTATGAAGAGTTCCTGGAGCAGCTGTCAGAGATGATGAAGATTGACAGTATCGCAGTGGATCTTGGGTTCGACATGAGGCTTAAACTCATCCTGTCACGAGCAGAGCAGCTTGTTAAACAAGAGACAACTGCTTTGGTGGAGAACAAAAGTCTGAGTTACAGTCTACAGAGAAAGGTAGGCTTCACAAATAGTGAGTGGTGGTACAACAGGCACATGCAGGCAACTACTGATTAAGTATCACTTCACATGTTTCAATCAACAAGTCTCAAGCCTTTTAAGATGACATAGTAACATTTGATTGATAAGACACTTTATTTTAAATTTGCAGTGATAAAATGCCTTCTGTTAATGCACCAGAAAAGTACAAAATATTCATGAAAAGAATATCTTCTCAACAGTTAAAGGCACAGAAAGACCAACTTGACAGCAAAGGCCTCCACATCCAGCTTCTTAGGAAGAAGGTGTCAGAGCTGGAGGAGGAGAAGAGGAGCAGATCAGCGCTGGCCGTGGAACGAGATGATGCTCAACTGGAGGCCAGGAGGCTGCAAAAACAACTGCAGCGTCTCCAAGGCGAGCTGAAGGCCAGCAGGCAGTCTAAGACTGAGCTCAAGGCCCAGCTGTCCCATACCAATGAGCTCAAGGTAGAGGGGAGAGGGGTTAGGACCCCAGTTCAATCAAGAGGGCTTTTCACTTCATAACACATCATGTATGGTTGTAAATATATTCGTATGTGTGGATGAGAAGGAGCAATGTTTTGTAAATGTGCACCAAGCTTATATTAAAGTATACGCAGCTTTTTTGAGAGCAATATGCCAAACTTGATAAACCCCTCGATTTAAAAGTGTCTTTACTAAACACCTCTGTCTGACGTGCCAAGTTGAAAGTGATGGAGCAGAGTCAGACTGTGCAGGAGCAGAAAAAGAGGCTGGATCAGCTGGTGGAGGGGAAGGCCAAGGTGGAGAAGAAGCTGAACACAGTGAGCTTAGACCTACAGTGTCAAGAGCTGAAGACCAGAGAGGACCTGCAACAGCTCAACACCCTGAGACAGAGCCTGGCTCAGCTCTCTGAGAGGGAGAGAGAGGTAAGGGAGGGATGAATCTGAAACCTTTTGCTCAGTAACATCTAAAAATAATAAGCTATGTGCCATCTTTAACTCTTTTTTAAGTCCCTTCCTCTTAAAGAGTAACTGAACTACCATGTTATTCCATAGTTTTATCTGTTCTTCAGTATTTTGAGCTCTCAACTTGTAGGAGTGTTGTACAACCCCTTTTCCAAAAGGGTTGGGACATTAAGTGAAATGTAAATTTAAACAGAATATAATGATTAGCCAGAAGTAGCACAAAGACCACATACCAAATAATGAAACTTAGACATTTCTGTGTTCTGGAAAATGATTTGCACGTTTTGGATTTTGATACCAACAACACATTTAAAAAAGTCGGGACATGGACGTTTACCACTCTGTCTCATCACTTCTACTAACAACGCTTCTGTCATTTTAAAAGTTGAATTATAAAGCGGAATTCTGAAAGAAGTTGCTGGCATCAATTTCAAATGATTGTATAATTGTACAAAAAAAAAAAAGACTTTCAGTGTTATCATTGATATGTTGTCTTTGTTCTATTTTCAATAATATATGGGGACTTTCAATGTTTTGCATTCATCATTTTTTTTGTTTGCATTTCCACTTAACGTATCATCTCATCCCATTTCAAAGAGTGATGGACAGTTAGTCACTAAGGTCTGTGTCCACTAACTGTGACATAACATTTGGGTGTGGTTATAGAGAGGGCAGTTACCCTTTTTCACATCTGGGTTTAAGTTTCTCTCCAAAGTTGCACTTATCAATACCTGTATGTAAACAATGCATCCCATTACAATGTTAGAATATGTCAGATGTCACTCATAGTGAGGAAACAAGAACTACCCCCAACTATGTTTGAGCTTTATATTCTTTTATTATTAGTTTCATTGTATAGCCCAAAACTTTCCCCACTGGGGATCAATAAAGTATTATCTTAACTTATCTTAGCCCAAAACTTTACAGCTCAGGTTTACTCGCAGTGTTCTTATCCATGTTGTTTCCATCTGCAGCAGGTAGCTTTATGCACCTGTCCACTAAATGTATGTTCACTAGCAGAACATTTAGCAGCTAAAAGGACAGACACTGATTTAAGGAATTGTTGACAACAAGACAGAGCTAAAACAAAGTGAATATTGGTTTATATTCCGCTTGTGTCCAGAAGCAGATTATGAAATGAATGGTAATGTTTAGTATGGAGGATATAAATAGGTCAATATTTACTTGTTTTGTGTTTGTGACCAAAAATATCATTTGGAGCTTAAGAGTATTAAATTACCCTGACAGCAACAAATCTTTACTATTGTTCAACTAATAGTTCAATCATGGGTCTGTGTGTTATAAATATTCTGTAATTCAGATAATTTAGGAGCAGCAGGTGGTTCAAATGATGATTGGACTCATAAGATTACACTTTAAAATTAAACTAAGATGCCCTTTTTTTTCGTTCAGCTGGTAGACTTCCAAATGGTTGTTTCCAAAATGTTGGGTGTGGATGACACAAACCTGGCTCTTCCAAATTATGAAATCATCAAACTACTGGAGACCCTTCTTCACTCTCATCACCACCACCACCTCCTTCATCATCATGTCAATATGCCCTGGCACTGTCCTACTCACCAGAGGCCTCATCGCCCTCAAATCCTGGACCTTCATCATACCTCCTCCTTGGATCTTTCTGCTTCCAGGTCTACTTTTCAAGATGATGCAGTTCCCTTTCAGGAAGCCTGACGTTGATTATGCCAAACTGGACTATCAAAGTAAAGGTTTCTATCTAAAAACTATAAGAAATCTGACCTTATAGAGTATGAACTGATCCATCAAACACCATGTTTTCTGTTTGTGTTTTCAGGAAAAGCTCAGAGTAAATATGATTCATTCAAATATGAAAAATATACACATAAAAAGGCAATCATCAAAATTAGGATTTCGCATTCATTGTTTTCCATGGGCTCATATACATATATTTATCATATTCATATATACACATGGACAATAATCCCAGACTGTTATACATTTGATACGGACAGTCATACAAAATATACAGTCGTTCTATGTATTTATATATATATCATAATTCTCAATCTTAAAGTCGCATTTATATTTGTTTAAAAAATAAAAACAGCAAAATGTAAAAAGATCATGGATGAACAAAGTTAAAGGTTAATCTCTTGAACTGTGTCTGGCTTTAAGAACACACAACTTGGCTTAATAAATCTTACATGAATCAATGTCATTCAAGTTAAAAATGGATTGTTTACCACCGACACAATGAAGGATGTTAGTAAATAAAAACAATGATGAGAAATGCATGCCAAAATACAGGTAAAAAAATATTGCAATGTGAGATATATTACATGTTATTTTTGTTCCCTTTTTTTTTTTTTTTTTTACAAACTTTTGAGTTACAAGCAATTTCACAAGGCTAAATCTTAGCATTTCACTTTGGTGCTATCCACTGACAGATCTCCTCAGAGAAATGTTTACACCACTGATTTGATCTTCAGTTCATTCATCCAGAAATTTCCACTGTGGGCTAACACAGTTTATTCAATTGTGTTACACCAAGGATGCTCCTTATCAACACAGCGTTACAGAGTAACATAGTGAGATGCTTGATCCTATATGTTACACATGTAGATATTATCTGTAGATGGTAGCTGTTTTTCTGCAGTACAAATGGATGACCAAGATCAATTTTTGCTCCCAACGTAATTGACCATTTAACGACATCACCGTGATTCCAATTCAAGTCATAATGATGCATGAATACTGACATGAAACGCTCTTTCAGCTGCTCAGCCTACACTGGAGGTGGTCCGTTAGTGTAACTCAGCATCGGTTGTAAGGAATTTGCAAAGTTGTTGGACTGAGCACAGTAGTCCTCCTCTGAGAGTGGCACCAGGAAGGCAAAGACCACTAACAGGAGCAGGATGAACTGGAGAGGCAGCGCGAACCAGAGGACACGCCACAGCAGAGAGGACCCATGACCTGGTGACATGTCCGGATCAGAAGGGGAGGAAACGGATCCAGCGCCGCGAGACCTGCTCACACACACACGCACGCACAACGCAGCACAGACTGACCTTTAGTTACTCACATCAGTCTTAAAAAAAACATGTGTATTTCTGTTAGTCATCTGAATACCTCATTTCAGGCCTGTGTAACCTGATTATAATGGTGACCTGTTTCTTTACTGTTCACAAAAATAAACTCAGCAGAAATAACTGACAAATTACATTAGTCTAATTCAATAAAGAATATCAACTTGAACAGCTTTTTAATCAAATTTTCCTGATTTCCATCTCTTCACTGGTCAGGTGTTGTCTACCAACTTTCAATCCAAATAAGATCTCAGCTCAGCGACAGGGGAACTGCACAACAGTGCTTGATGTGAGCACCATGCAGTGACTGAAAGACATCGCCGACATGGTTCACAGCAATGTCAGGACAATGTTTCACATTGTGATCTACATGCTGTCTGAGACTGGGGCGGATAAACACAGTTACAAAGACAGTCACAAAACAAACTGTACAATCCTACACAAAACAAATATACTTAACATGTGAGCTCGCATTCCTTTGCAAGAGATGTTAGGAGAAGAGACAAAAGGCATGCTGCAAGTTCAGCTTAATAATCAGATGTATTTTTTTTTAGACTGTAAGTCTGTGTCCTGTTGAAAATGCAAAGCATGCCGAGGCTATAAGCGCATAGTGATTAGAAACAGGTTCTTTGAGGTTATAGTTTAGTGCCTTTGAGAAGCTAAGTTTTTTTATAAAGGAATAGTTTGGAAAGTAGGAGAATATGTTTTCTTGCTGGGAGTTAAATGAGAAGACTGATACAACTCAAAGTCTTTGTATTCGATATGAAGCTAACCCGTGTGGACGATAAGCCTAGCTGAGTACAAGGGCTACGAAACAAGAAAGCTCTCAACAAAAAAACAACAATAAGCCTACTGCCTAAAATGTCACTGTGTTAATTCAATTGTATAATTCTTAGAAACCATCACCCTCAGTAAAAACTGTCTTCCATCTAAAAGTCTAGAAGCAAAGTCATTTAAAGTGAAGATGACCAGAACCTAACTTGTGTATTTAATCAGGATAAAAAAGCTCTGCAATATTCTAAATGTATAAAATTAAAGTGGCCCAGGAAGTCATGGAGATTAGATATGCCTTTTCCTATGCTGTTACCCAATGTGCCCCTTACCACTTCACATATGGAGACCTGAGAGAGGCAAGACTCACAGATGACTGACGGTGGGGGGGGGGAGATGGTGGATAGTTGGTGTGATAGCAACAGAGGAGGAAGAAGAAATGCCACAGACAACAAAGAGAAAGAAAGAGAGCCAGAGAGATAGAGAAACTGCAGCCTTTGCATTGTTCATTGCAGACATTTACTGGTTTGGCATTTGAGAAAAAAGGTGTGTGCGTGTGTGTGTGTGTGCGTGTGTGTGTGTGTGTGTGTGTGTGTGCTGAGCAACGACGAGGGAAAGTTAGATACAGAGGAATATTTATGTTATACGTAAGATATGCCCTTTAGTTAGCGATATTAAGCAGCTGAGGACAGTGGCGGAGAAGAGGCCTTGCACCATTCCTTGTGTAACTGCTTTATCAAGGATGTGTGGGCTGCATTTCACCTCGTCCCCTAGCCTACACAAAGCGTCTAGACGTACAGAAGATGATGGAATTCACTATCATGAGCTGTTTAGGTTAATAACAAATATTAGAACAGATATTTGTATTTTTTCAAACACAGATGATGTTTAAGACTCGGGGTGGATTAGAGAGGAATAATGGGCCTCCAAGTGCATCATGGGCTGATGAGTTCCATTATCTTCTGGGTGTGCTAGAAACCAACAGAAAGGTACCTGTGGAGTGGACTGCTCACAGAGGGTCCAGGCTTTGACAGACTACATTTGCCCCGTTTCTGTTTGCAATGAACAGGGGGGAGGGTAAAAGAAAGAAAGTATGTTTCAGTCCAGGCAAATCATGACAAAGCTACCGATGAAAAGAAAATCCCAAAATGAAAGAAGAGCAGCGACAAAATCATACGTGAAGGTGATAGATTTTGTAACTCCTGATGTCGAGGAATCTGGCTTTTCAAAGTGAACGACTACTTTGAAGTGCTTTGGCTTGTGAGTGCAACAAACAGTCTGCAAATAGGGAGCTACATATTACGCAATGTGATGCATGACTTTCTTTCTTAACATAACAGTGACATATATTAACACACAAAATATAAGCAGCAGCATGCTTATTTGGACTGATATTTGAATAATCAACGCCGATTCAAATATTGCTTTGTAACTTTTTCAGCCTGCAGTATAATACATTTATGTGTGCATGCTTTTCACATCATAAAACCACATTATACACTCTTGTAGTCTTTTTGAATACTTTCGCCAGTATGCCTGGGAATATAACTACAGTGAGAAGAAATTAGAGGAAAGTGTAGGTGGAGAAAGATTTTAGTGTGAAAATACTGGAAGAGAAAAATTGACAAACAGGTGAGAACTGGAAAAGTCATCCAAGAAAAAGGAGGAGGAAGTAAAGGAAGTTAGAAAGAAAGGATTCCCGAGTTATATGGCAGGGTTTTGGTCTGGGATAAGATAACATGCAAAAGAGTAAAAGACAAGGGAACAGTTGAGAATTCAGAGGGAGGGAGTGTAAAGCAGGTTGTGGATGTGTGGAGAGGTGTGAGGAGAGATCTTGGGATGGCAGGGGTGAATATGGCCTTTAAACGGGCATTTGGGGCACAGGTCATTATATTTATTGTTTCTGAGGGATAACCTAACACCTGGCTTCACACAGGGCAGCATGTACTGGTAGGTTTGTACATTACCGATCGCCGCCGACTTGGTGTACTCCTTCCTGATACGGGGCTGAGAGAACCAGATGTGTCCAGTTCATCAGCAGAGGACCAAGATGACAGATCCTGTGGAAGAACAGGTTACCACAAAGAGAGAGAAAGACAAGGAATCTATGAAATCTGACCCTTCAACAAAAATATCTTCAGTGAAATCTTCTAAAAAATAAAGAGTAATTACAAAACTCTTGTAAATCCTCCCCTGTATTATCTCATGAAATCTAACAAGGCTCAAAAGTGACCAAGATTTCTGTGACGATATACCTGTTGACTGCTTGTGATGTCCAGAATTTTGGCCAGCTCTCTGAGGTCTCGGGTTACTTCCTTGAGCAGCATTTTGAGGCGGTTCCCAATAACATGGACCTTCTCCTTGGCCTCCAGACAGTCGCTGCCCTGAGCGTTGACCAGCAACTGAAGGGACATGTCCTGAAGAGAGGCCACTTTGAGCTGAGAGTCCAGCAGTTCCTGTCGGATTTGCTGTGGGGAAAGTCAATTTGAGATGTGAGCTTTTCAGATTATTTGAACCATGTTGTTGTTTTTGCATAGGTTTGCTTTAAAATGATAAGATAGTGTTACAATTCATGATCCAATGAATCGACTAAGTAGTTACTTCTTAATAAAGATAATATATTTTTATAGTGTTAGTGTAGCATCAGGAGTCACTAAGGTTTTGCATGGAATATGATTGAAATCTAAATCATGAGTTATTACTTAAGAAAACCACAAGGTTCAATGCACTGCTGCTTAGTTTACAGTAGCCTGTTTAAGTATTCAACCTGGTCTAAATGGAAGTATCTTTATCAATAACATTGCACCACATTATTTACAGGTTGTGTACCGTAAGTGTTTTATGATGCTCATGGAGAGTGTCACTGTCCTGGATTGGGTCAATGGGAACCACCTCATTCCTCCTGCGGTCGATGTTTTCCAACCAGAGCAGCAGACCATGGCTCATCTCATGGAAGTCCTACACGTCAAAGGCGAAGCAGGAAAGGAGATGTTACAGCAGTATGAAACAGTCTTAGAATGACTTCCAGGACAACTGAACTTGTGCCCCCTGTGCAGATTCTGAAAACAAAAGGACAATGACTGGCACCTACATGACATTGCATCAGAGCTTCCTGTAATGAAGACCTCCACTCCTCCAGTGAGCTGCCCAGTTTGTCCCAGTGGTTGTTCATGTCTTTTAGTTTGGCCTGAAGCTCTCGGGACTCATCCGTGTCTGACTGAACAAACTCAGTGCTGCACAGGTTGATGGACAACACGATAGCCTTACGCTTTTCATAAGCCTTCTGCAGCTCCTGTAGACCAATATAACATTTAACAGTTCATCAATTCAGACATTCACAGCGACATGAAAACAGTGTCTCAAAGATATTAAAGATATGCAATGATCACTCACTCAAGAACATTACTTCTGATTGGAAGATAACAATCAAGAACAATAACAATCTAATTTAAGAAAATGAACTGATCTGAATCAGTTTTTGTTATCTTTTCTATGCTTAACTTATTTATCTATCTATGTTGGCATTGATTGGTAGATTAGACAAACGACTAAATCTTAAGCTGCTTCGTTTCGGGCTAACTCCAGCGGTCTGGCCAGTGCAACTGAGACTTTCTCTCCCTTCTGTTTTCATACTCTAGGACTGTCCCTCGACTATTCCAATGACTTTCTTGTTCTTTACATGTCAACAAAAAAAAGGAAAGCATCTTCATAAATAAATAAGGAAACATACCAAAGATATATATATATATATATATATATATACACACAGTATATATTTACAAACTGGTACATATATGGTACAACAATACCTTGAGCTTTTTAATGCGCTGCTCAATCGTCTGGATGTCTGTGCTGAGGTCCAGCCTCCGCTGCTGCTCCAGCTCTTCCTCTGTCTCTCCCAGCCAGGTCCAAATATTGTTCAGGTCAGAGTTCAGCTGCTGCCACTGCTGCTGGTTCTGTTTCGTGCGTATCTCTTTGCTGAGGTCCTGAGCCTGCAGGAGCTCCCATCGCTCAATAACTCCTAGAAAGAAGGATACATTATGTTAGCTGAATTCACCAGAGATGCATTCCATCAACCTTTTCCTTTAAATGCATTCATTTAATGTATGATAATGTAGCATTCGTGCATGTATGCAGGATAGGTTATGGTGAATTGTTACCTGATGTCTGGGACTCTGAGCTATTGGGATCTGCAAGTCCAGACACAGTGTCTTCCTCCTCCTTAAGCTCAAAGCCCATCCTCTTTACTGTATCGATACTGCCACGACATTCACCCAGCAGCCGCATCTACAGAATGAGTATGTTAGTCTACAAGCACTACTTTGTATGGTAAAATCAGGGTAAATTGTTCGAATATATACTTTTGGATAGGACATGCATTTTAAAGTTATGACAAAGATAATTACATTTGATAATTTAGTGACTAATTGGCTGGTAGTGAGCTTTTACAAAATTTCAGATTTTAAATTAAAAAATATATATACAAACTTGCTGGTTGCCACATCATATCTCATTGAAAAAAAGTACAGATTTATATTATTTTTGCCCTGCGGAAACACATACATATCCCATGTAAGAGGCATCTAGTTCTGAGCTTGTGGGAGTCCGACTGCGAGTGCTTTCAGTTTGCGGCAGGTGAAAACGGCTGACATCCAGAGGGTGAACATGTGAGTCTGTAGAGGCAGCATCTCCTGTAGACAACGCATCAACTGGTTAACTTTGCAGATTATGAGCAAATTGTATTTCATACTGGTTACTTAAAATGTGCTTTTCAAATGATTAAGAGATAAAGCCCCATTCAGACAGAGAAACATAAGAAGCAGTAGGACCCTACTAGTAGGAGAACTAGTACAGATGGATTTCCTGAAACTTGCCACTTATGGTGCCTGTGTAAGTTTGACATTTATCATGGTCCATTTCCTAAAAGGTGAGACTTTAATTCACCTCTTGTGCTCTTTGATATTATAACAGCCTGATTACAGGTCCCTCCTCTCCTGCTTGCATTATGAGTTGTAACCTCCATCAGAGAAACAGTCATCAAACATATATTTGTTGCATGATGGGTCTCTGTGTGAAAGGAGCCTTTGAAAAGTCTTAAATAACATCTACATCCCTCTATCAAGAAGTTCAGACTTCACTTAGACAATGACACAACATGCTTTTCTGAAAAAACAAAACGCACAAAAAAACCTGAAGAGGTTAGCTACATAGCACACCGCAAACAAAAGTAAGAAAGCCAGTTAGATAGAAGGGTTAGGCTGAATTCCATTTCAGTTCTGCTAAATTTAAAGGAAAGCAGAATCAGTGCATTGAATAAATAAAAATGGAATTGACCCTATCCCCCAGTGTTAGAAAGTGTTGCCATTGGTTACAGCCTCGGCTCAAAGTGTGTATGAGTGGAAATCAACACAAATCAAAGTCAAAGCTGGTGAAAAGGCTACACGTGTGGTGTCACTCAGAGTGAAGCTGTTATTTCTGGCCCCAAACACTTGTGGCATGCTGGGGTCTGCTGATGCCTACCAGTGGAGGACCTCAGTGTTTTTTCTGTTAGTTTAACATAGGCCTCAGGGCTCTCAGGGATCACTACATCTGGAAGAAACATTATACAGTACACACATTCAGCAGTGAGCAATACACTGTTTAATTCCATGAACTGGTTAAGATCAATTGTATCTGCTGTCTTCAGAATTGTTTGATGCAGCACCAGAGGGGTGGAGTTTGATCTGAGTTTAAAAAAACAGACAGCTTATCAATCACAGAGAAATACACTGCTACAGCAATATGTTTCTGAACGACTACCTAAAAGATAATGACTAAGACTGAAACCCAAGTCAGTTGGCATTTGATGCTACACTATTTTCCTGGGACATTGGTTTTGCTACAGTAACGTCTGTTTACCCAGTTTTGCTAACAATGAATCCCCATTAGCATTGTTTTATTCTACTTCTTTGTACAGTAAGTAGAATTTAAGGTCTGCAATTCAAAACTCCTCAGTACTGTTTGGCATCTAGTGTCTTACTAAGGTGCACTTCAGCTAGTTTAAAGCAAGGGGTCAGGATGTAATTAATTGGACAGTGGAAAGGAAAAATACAAAAAATATTATTCTACTTGTCATATCTTTTTCTGATCATTCACACTGAAATTATAATCAGTTATTTAAGTGAAAATATAGTGGGAAATCCTTTTGACTTGTTTAAACTGATGCTACTACGCTGCTTAAGGAATCTCAAACTGAGGTGGTTTGGTAACACTGGAAAAAGGACGCTCTTCTTTATACATAAAAAACAGAATCTGTATTCAACATTTAAAAGAAGCCACTACTCCTCATAAACCATCTTTCTAAATGTCAGTGAATTCAAAAGTCCTGATAATCTCTGAAATGTATGAGCAGAATGCTGTGTACTTAAAAACTCACCTGATAAGGCTGAGGCAGGCCTCTGGAGGAAGTCTCCCTCTTCACTCTGCTGCTCTCTCAGGGCCCTGCTGGCACTCTCCAGCCCACGGCTCAGGTCGTAGTCATGATCCCACTCCAGGGGAATGGAGTCCACGCTGGCTGGGGTGTCCCTGCCTGATCGCTCAGTCCTAAACTGGGCAGCAAGGGAGGCTGAGCGGCCTGATGAGGGCAGAGGAGACAGGAAGCCATCTCCCAAGCGCTCGTTCCATGGCAGACTGGACAAATCACATGGCTCGTCCAGCTCCAGCTCACGGTCCGATAATGACACCTCAGTATCATCATCTGCAAGCTGAAGAAAAATCATGACAAAATAAAGATGAAAACCAATCTAACACCTTTGGGATTCGATACATACTGTAATATATTAATGAAAAACAACGTTGTATCATGACATCTCTAAGTCTCAGCTCTTACAGGAAGCCGAATGAGCTTTTTGTAGTAGCGCTCCACTCGGCCAAACACTTCCTGGCAGTAGCGCTGCAGCTCTTCCAGCTCCTCCTCGATGACAGCAGCATCCAGAGGCTCATTTTTCTCTATCAGCGCCTCTCCCTGGTGGAAGATGTGCTCAATCTTTGCAGTAGTGAGGGAGATCTCCTGTTGGAAAGACTGTGGAGTCCGGGGAGAAAGAGCGCCGTTAAACAAGTCCACCTCAATTCTGCTTTTCATGCTAAACACAAAGTCCTTTCACTTACTTCATTCAGCATAACATAATTCAGAAGCTTTTTTGATTGTGCCATTTAAATTCAAGTTTGACTTTCTTAAAAAAAAACAACTACATAAAATTGTGTTCATAAATAATGTACAAAATGCTTTTTTTTAAAGTTTTTTAAACATATCAAGAGACAAACATTTTACACTTTTTCTCAATACATAGTTAAGAATTCCACTCTTTATTAATTCAGAGATTGTTGTCTTGTTAAAAACTCCCAACAGTGAAAATGTTGAGTACTTTTTAAGATACAATCAATACACACAAATAGCTGATAATCGTCTAAGCAATATTCATTTAGTATTCTGTGCAAATACTTTTCGGCACATGCAGGTCTGAAAACCTACCCTGAGTTGTTTAATCTTGGCCTGAATGTCACACTCAGAGAAGTGTTCGATGTTGGTCAGCTGCAGGTCCATCTCTGTCAGCCACACCAGGATGCTGTCTCTGGCCGTCTCAAACTCCTCTCTCTGACTGATAAAGTGCTGTAAAGATGGAATAGACACACTAGTGTTAGTATGGAATACACTAGACAAATGTGCAAGTGCTGTTTCTGTCATTTAAATTTGTCCCAGTAGAAACTCCTCTGTGGCTTCACACAGTCAAACACACAGATGCTACAGTCAGAGAAGACACATGGAGAGACTGAAATATGTTTATATGAAATGATACAAATAATTAAGTCAATAATGCATATACCTTAAGCCTGCGGAGGATTGATGCCACCCTCTTCTGCAGGTTGTCCCATCGCTGATTGGCATCGTGGGCCATCTCCCTCAGACGACAGGAAGAGTCAGTGCGGTTCTCTCTTGCCAGGCGGCGGTATTGCTTGTTGATTAACTCTAGCTGTGTTAGGCTTTCATGGACTTGCCTCTGGAAGGCCTAAAGAGACACATTGTTTTACAAATAAGGTTATTATCAAAAGCGCCATTGTTTTGGTTAAGGAAAAAAAATGCCTGTGTAATGTCTGTTTATTTGCAATACCTCAAATTTCTTAAGTTCCTCCTTGGCTACAGTGTAAAGAACACCAGAGGAGTTGGGCAGGGCAGCAGTCTTTTCTGAAGTGGCCAGCCACTCCTCAAATCGTGCAAAGTCATCCAGAAATTTCTGCCACAAACGCCAAGTCTCCTCAATCCTAAGAGCGAGAGACATTAGTGCAAATGCCGTCAGGAAAGCATATGCTTTCACACACTTTAATAACAGTATCCAGTTATTCATCAAGTTTTTCTGCGATTTTTGTTAATCCAAAATCTGACATCTTACTTGATTCTCCTTTCCATAGACAAGGCACATATGCTCCTCCAGCGGCGATCAAGGCTACGAGTTGCCTGCTGGATGGAGTCGCACTCTGCATCGGTGGCACAGGCATCACAGTCGTGCAGAAGCACCTCACAGAGGTTTAGTACAGACGCCACTCCTGTACTGTGTTTCTCTATATCACGCTGAAGCTCCTGAGTGGGCAGGGGGGAAAAAAAGTTATGATATATGCTTTTCCACAAATGAAGAGTAATACACAGGAAGGCTTTGAAAAAAGGAGAAAATTATAAAATTGTTACGTGATTAAAGGCTTTATATGCGATTTTTCACACTTAAATATAATAGAAATCAAGTAAATCCTCTGAAAATAACTCTGTGAGTAATGACTGTCTGCAATGGGTGTAACACCCGAGTCCCACTGTCTGTGATGTTTTCCCGAGTCTTGAGTCTTCCGAGACTGATTTGTAAATTGTATGACATGAATATATAATGCAGGTCTGCATCTTCCTACTGGTTTTCTGTACAGAATCACACACATTTACACATATATTCAGTAAATAAGTGCTTCACTACTGTGGGAAAAACAGGAAGTTGATAAAAAGAAGTATAAAAGTACAGCTCTTTCCCAACATTTGGGGTTAACAACTAGTTAAACTTTTCTTTGTATATAGTGACATCACTGGCTTGTGTGATAAAACGTACATTAAATAATTGTAGTATATGTTTTATGAACTTTAAAGTAAATTATTTCACCTGCTGCAAATCGAGCTTCCTCTGAATCTCCTGGAAATCACAGGAGTCATAGGCTATGGGTTTGGACAGCTCGGTCTCGATGTGAGCCAGCCAGGAGCGAAGGCTACTCATGTTCTTATCCAGCTGCTGCACGGCTACCAACGTTTCTCTCAACTTCTTCACTCTATGATATCAGAAAAATAAAACTCATTCAGTACAAGATAAGGGACGGAAATGGTATCGTATTGTGCTGGAATACATTATTGGACAATTTATGCCACTCAGGTTTGTTTTTCACCTGGTGCCGATGAGATCCAGCAGATGCTGCCAGCGGTCGCTCACTTTGGTGAGTTTTTGTTCAATTTCAGCTGCTTTGCTCTTGTGACTGGCTTTGGCCAGGCGCTCTCCCAGCTGGTGCAGGTGCATCTTATTATCCTCAGCCACAGTGATCTCTTCCTGGTAGTCCTGACAGAAACGCAACCCAAAAAACATTAATTAAACATAAATTCGCAAATCTATACATAAACAACAGCATGAAAATGAAAGTCTGTGATGCAATAGTACATGAAATAATTTAAACTGTCGAGGGCTAATAAATTAGAAGATGCAAAACATAACTATCAGAGATCACAAAAAAGTTAAAAATTAAAAAAACTTAAATCTATTTGATTCATGTCAAACTCCTCAATCCTCAGACACTCAATAGCAGCAGTGTGTGATTTTAAATTACACAGTGGTGCATCATTGATAAAAGTACATGCAAGCGTTTTAAAATGACACAGAGAAACCAAAAAAATGCATTTAAAGAAATCTTTCTGCAGTGATGCACAATTTTGCACAAAGACTAAATGTTACATACGTCTGAGCTGTTGGTGTAATCTCATGCATATTGTTTACCTTGCGGAGCTTCTCAATCATCTCTTCGATGCTGATATCTCCATTTTGGGACACCTTGCTCTCCATGTTGGTGAGCCACTCACAGAGCTCTTTGTACTTCTCGTTGAATACGGTCCACTCATTCAGCTTCTCACTCACCTGCTGCCTGCGCAGAGACAGCTGCAGAGGCACAGAACAAGTCTGTTAGACACATCGCAGTGCAAAGAGCATAAAAATCAATACATGTTAGATTTAACAAACTCAGGTTGGTTTCGAAAGAAGATTCAAAAGGAAGCAGAGATGACAGCACAATGACAGTTTCATTTGCATTAAGCAGCGACTGTGTGCTGTGTATTTCCTGTGTGTGTATTTTATCTTCTCTGCACAGGATGCAACTCAGACAAAATTTACCTTGAGGTTTTGCTCTGCACGCCAAACCAACTGATGCAGATAGTTACGTTTTTGTACTGAAATGCTTTTTTGAGTTACATTTTAGGAACACTGGACAAGACTCTCACAGGTTACTGCAATACTAAGAAAAGTGGAACTCAAAAGAGGAAATACTTTTGATCTCTTTAAGTGTTTTGTTAAACTATACATTTGAACCCAGTAAAAAAAGATTACCCTTCCTTGAGATTTATTTGCATTTCTATGTCTCAAACAAAGTCATATAAATATTCCATCTTTTATTTGAATTACGTTGGGCTGAAATTGATCTTGGCTTATTGATATTATAAAGAACAGTTTACAACAGGTCTGTGATTTTGTTTGACGGTAGCAATACAATTTGGTGTCTTAAGGAACTTCAGAAATGAGACCAGTGTATTGGATGGCCACATCTTTGAGTGTTACAAAAGCTTTATGGTTACCCATGTGTAACGCACCAGGGGAGTGGCTGTCCAGTCATTTTCCATAGTAGCTTGAACACAGTAAACAAAGGTAATGCAAAGGTTCAGGTTCTGTTTTGAGCCCTGTACCTGGTGGCAGATTTCATCCCACTGCCGATGAAGTAGCTCTATCCGCTCCTGCAGGACTGACAGGTCCTCAGCAGTGATGTAGCAAGACAGGGACTCCCTCAACACATTCAGATGGGCCAGATCCCCAGTCCAGCCGTCAAAAGTATTCTCCAGGTCCTGTTATTGAGACAAATTCATCAGTTTTGACAGAACTTTTACCAACAGCTTCTGAATAACACAAAATGTCAGATTAATTTGTTTAGGGTGAGCTCAACAGTCAAAAAAGCACACAAACACTGATTACAGCTTTACCTTTCTACATTAGATTCCCGGACATCAGCCATGTGTGATCAATTTAATTAAATTGGAGTAAACCTTGCACATGATAAAATTACTGAAGAATACCAAGAGGCTCTTACGTTGCATCGCATCTGTTCAGCTTGCAGGTCCTCATGGTGATCAGGAAGAGGTTGACACAGCTGCCGCTTGAAGGCACGAAGCTTTTCCAGGGATCCACCAATACCTTTCTCACACCTCTCCCAGTCCTGTACATGACACAAACAGCCTCATCAGTTAAATAGAAAAGTAAAAACTTGTTTTTTTTTTGCATGTTTCTATTATTTCTTTTTCAGCATTCCTCATTCACACCACAAGTAAATTTGTGGCACTTGGCCAATCTTAAGAAGAAAAATAGAGCATCCTCAAGTTCTCTGTACTCCACAAGCTGCTACCAATTTGCCTGGGTTACCTTTAACAAGGTGGCAAGATCTTTCTTCTGTTCATCCAGGCAGGTGTTGGCGTGCTTCCATCGGTCCTGAATGTCTGTAAGTTCTGCCTGCAGGGCCACCTCTGCCCGGCTATCAGCTGATAGGAGTAGTTGTCTGCCAGCCTCTACGGTCAGGATGTAGCTGCCCTGCTGGCGCTGCAGCACCTTCTCCTTCAGCTAAATCAGAAAAGCATTAGCACTTAGATAAAACAATTCTTGATTATCAAACTATAGACCTGTTAGCGTGCCGTATCCAACCAACAGTGGTGTTTTTTTAATCAAGAACATGAGTCTGTATCACTTTCTTCAGCCTTTATACCCTCACTGCATCAGTCTCTGCTGTAACTTTACTAGACTCTGTAAGATTTTATTTCACAGACCTGGACGGCATCCAGCAAGGAGCGAGCTTGTTGAAGCGGCACTGTAGTGCCTGTCTGAAGGGCTTCTGAAGGGTGGGAGACCTCCACCAGCCATTTACGCAGCTTCTCTGCCATTTCTCTGTAGCGCTGCCACTGCCGGATCAGACTGTCAATGATGCCCCGCCTCTGCTGAGCACGCCGCACTACGCCCTGCCACTGGTTACTCAAGAGAGCCAGCTTCAGGTTGAACTCATCTCTGTAAGATACGATAAAAAGTAAAGTACACAGTGCATAAAAAGATGAAAGATAATTACCCAAATGCTTGTCTAAACAGGTGTGTCTCTAATTGATTTTTGAAATCACTAACAGATTTCACAGAGTGCAAAGACATGGGCAAAGCATTCCAAAGTTTGGGAGCTATGGCCTGGAAAGCTCACTCACCACAGGTCTGTAGGTATGTATGAGCAACAGAGAGCAGCTGTAGTGTATTTTATCTAAGTTGCTCAACAGGAATGGATGATTTCAGGTAGATAATCTGGAGCCTGACTGCCAGCCTCAAATAATCAATGCGTGATGCAATGAAGGCGTGCATGAACATCTCAAATTTTGCAGTGGAAACTTGAGTTTCAGTTTACTTATATTCAGTAGAAAATTTGACTTTTGGTCATAAACAGACAGAAATAAATCAAGAAGATCAAGAAGCATTGTATGAGGTATGGGATGTAATGACTGACAGACTTACCTGTCATCTACTTGACCCTGCTCCAACATCCTCTGTCCATCACTGATGATAGAGTGGAGGATCTGCTGCCGACTGAACATCTCTGCTTGGAATAACTGCAAGACAACACGGTGATGAATAATGATTCATACTTTTAAAAAAAACTACTCTTACCTTAAAAGGGGATTCTTACCTCATGAGCTTTTTGCTGCTCCATCAAACTCTGGTAGTTTCCAGAAATTTCCACAGCTAGATTCTCTTCAGTTTGGACCAAGAACTCCATCCATGTTTCACACTTCTCCAGGAAGGTTTGCTGCTGCAGCAGGAAAGACTGGAGTTTGCTGCAAGGACAAAAACACTAATTGAGCAAATCAAAGCACTTTAACTTTTTGAGTTATTGTGCCAATTATTTGAATTATGGTTTCAGGTTGGAAACATATATTGTAACATTTACTTTCAGAAATATACAGAATATTCAGAATTGGATCACTCTTAGGTAAGGTTAACACTTTCTTTTTTCCCTTTGCTGTATCTTTATGTGGCATACCTAAATCTCTCTGTGGTCTGTGCTGAGGCTGTTGACCAGCTCCTGTTCAGGTTCTGCATTCGCTTGATCTCTGAATCATTAAGAGGGAGCCGATAACCAAGCTCATTAAGACGCTCGAGTTCTGGAGCCATACTGCTGAATTTCAGCATTAGTCTCTGTGAGAAAACAAAAGAAAATGTGAAATTTCCAATATCTGGACACTATGCAAAACTGATTTCTTTTTCAGATGACTAATAAAAGGAAAAAAAAACAAAAAAAAAACCTTGAGCTCCTCCATTCGATCCAGGATGACTGTCGGGTCTGTTGAGCCGTTGGGATCTTGCACCTTCAGAGCCTCCTCAGCTTCAACTATCCAGCACCCCAGAGAATCCAGCTGATCATTAAAGGTTTCATAGTCTTGTACTCCGGTCTGAAGTAAAAGAGAAATGTCAGAAACCCACAAATGTAAACCTCATTATTCAGACAAACTGGCTGATGAAAGGTGGAGTTGTAGTCAAAACTATTTGTCACAAGTCTGTTGCTCTACCTGCAGCGTGGTGAGCTGTCTGTTAAGGGCCTGTTCCACAGCAGAGAGTCGTTGGGAGAGAGAAAGGTGATCTGACTGAATGGCTGAGGCAGCTGATGTGTCCACCTGCTGCTTCAGCTGGTCTCCCAGTTCCTGAAGAACCTGCAAGGAGGCCTGCACAGGAGCCTGAGACCGGAGCACCTCCTGAGACAAATAGCATCCATTACATTAAGAGTAAAATATATTTTAGCATTCTTACACACAAACAAATGTAAAAATCGACAAAATCCTACATGGAAAATGCGAGGACAAGTTTTCAACATTTTTAAAACTTTCACTAAACATCATCTAAACTCTTCAGTGCAATGATGTTGCATCAACAAAGTTAAATAACTAACTCATATTTGTCTTTCATAAAAGAGACTTAAAAGACATTCATGAAGTCATAGAGTGAACAGCTGATTAGAATGAATGACACATCAACAGTGATAAAGCTGTGGCTTCACTCACGCTGCATTCTTGGATCCAGTCTGACACTTCTTCGTCAGCGATGTCCTTGCTGCAGGCAAGCTTGAGCAGCTGATCTGCTTTTTCCTCCTGCAGCAGGATGCTGCTGCAGCTCTGCTCATAAAGCTCTTTGTAACGCTGCCACAGCTGAAGAAGGGCTTTGCTGCTTCTCAGACGCTCTGCAATCTCTTCAAGTAAGCCAGTCCATCTAAGTGCAAATATGAAATGGATCAATGTAAATGATAATGATTTCAAACACTGATGGTAATGCTGGTGTCTTGCCTTTACAGCTGAAATGCTACGCAATAAATAAAGAATTCTCTTTAAATAGGCGAAAGATTAAAAAAAAAAAGGTTTGAGTTAATAAATATCACCTTGCGTTGACATCCTTAAGAGCATTGTTGAGAGAGTCTGACACTGAAGGGTGGCACTCCTTCAGCAGTTGGTGGGTCACAGCACCAAACTTCCTCAGACTGCTCTCCTGTTTCTCCAGTTCCTCCTGCAGATCCTTCACAGATGAGATACAGTGGTTAATTCTCAAATAATGGGAAACAGTGTATACAACCCATTTTAAAGAATACTACTGTAATATAAACATTAATATAAATACTGTATGATTTTGGTATATAAACTAATGCAATCAGTGTAAATAAATATTTCTGGATGACAACAATTGGAGGTTAAGAAATAGTAGATTCCCCTTTATCTAGCATTACCTGGAGACTCTGCACCTGCAGCTGAACAGCCTCCAGAGAGCCAGTGAGGAGGCGGAAACGAGATACAGAGTACCTTCCCTCCATCAGGTGGCCATTGATCTCTTCTGAAGCCTTCTTGTATAGACTCCACTGATCCAGCACTGACTTCAGGCTGATCTTTAGTTGCCCTATCTATTGAGGAGTGAATAAAAACCACACAGTGACATGCTGTACATGTCAAACATCAAACAGAACAGGAGACAGCAGAGTAAAGCAGAATATATGGATGTAAAAGAAGAAGAATCAAAAACACAGAGAACACAGGAGCTTACCAAGTGGTCCAGGTTAGCCCAGGTGTGATTGACACCCTGGAGTGTCTCCATGACGATAGCACAGGCCTCATCGGTCTTGTTCTGGACAAGGGCACAACCCTGCTCCTCTACTCTCTCTAGCTCTTTCTCTTTCTCCTTCACCAACTCTTCCATTTCCTGAAATTCAATTTTCACATGATCAGCGAAACATGGACCTAAAATGTGTGATGCATGTCAGGCTATATAATTTGTTCAAATAAATAAGTGTTTGCTCATTAAGAGAGGTACCTGACAGTCTTTGAGAGCATTCTGCACAGATGTCAAATCCTCTATCCGAGGTTTCCTCTTTAATCTATCCTCTTGTGTTCCCATCCAGGACTTCAGGGCCTGAACGCTGCTCTCATACTCCAACCACATCCCCAAAAGGCTTTCCAGGAACTGAATCTGCAAGTAGATCAAATAATCTCAATTTAGAGCCTGATTTTGTATAACAAACTAACATAAATCATATCTAGGCTTATGTCCTCACCCTCTCATTGATACGGCCTAGTAGTATCTGCCAGCGTCGGTTCATGGCTCCGAGACGCTCAGCAAAGTCTGTTTTATCACTGCGCTTGCTTTCCACGTCCTGACCACTGATCTGCAACACCGACTGGTTGACAAAGTCCACAGTCAGCTGCTTACAGCTTAAATCTACTCTGAAACCCTGAAATGGAGAAAAACAGCAGTTTAACAATGAGATGAGGAGTCATATCAATCATAGGGGTGGCTCAGCTTTTCTTAGGTGGGGCTTCAAGTAAAAAAGGTGCAGTATTAGATCAAATATTTACAGTTTCCAAACTCTAAAAAAACATGCCCAATCTTTTTCAATCTTGAAATACTGTAGATAACATACAAAAATGTATGTTTGTAGTTTTCACATATTGCCCTTATATAAAATATTCACAGGTTTTCTAAACTATGTTAAATTTACCATGAATCTCTAAAATCTGTACGCTAACTCTATTACCTTGTACTTTTGCAAGTAGTCCTGAATGACATTTGACCCCACTGAACTCTTGAGGTTTTCTTCATCCTCCTCGATGACGTTCTCCATCAGTGCTATCCAGTTGAACAGCTCAGAAATGGCATGACGTGAGGCCAGCTTCTCCATTTGGATCTAAGAAAACAATAAACAATTAGACCACACTATCAAACAACCAGGAAAAAAAAACACATGCTGTCAATTTAAGGGCACCACTGTGAAAAATGTCTGTATACAAGAGAAGCAGCAGAAAAGACTAATCCTATTAACCCTGGAGAAGATAAGCCTGTTCAGGCTGAATGCATGTGACGATACCTGATGCAGCTTCTCCTGGACCACTGGGATGCGTGTGAGCAGCTCAGTCCACTGCGTGTCTATGCGTGCCAGGTCGGACCTCAGCACTACAGTGTCCACCTTCTTCAGACGCAGCAGCTGGTTCCCCTCGGTTACCACTGAGCTCTTCAGGCTTGACTTGCTTTCAACTTCTTTTGAAAACTCCTGATACACAAAGGGACAGAAGGTTTCAGCGTACATGTAATCAAAGGTACGATTCTACATGCAATTCAAGTTTGCAGATGACACACTGATCATATATTGTCAGAGTGCTCACGTCAGTCAGCAGTCTCCCTCACTCTATGAAAATATTAATCAAAGGTTCGATCAATGAACAAAAACTGATTCGTCAATTTGGTTGAAATTGAAATCTAATTGATGACCCCCGACGTTATAGTGATTTTAACGACAGTGATGCTGAAACAACATTGATCTATAGTTGTTCTGGATATAATTGTTGTGGTGAGTTGCGGGTCTCCTCTCTCTTTGACGTAGGCTTTACTAACCTGGAAGTTAAGATCCCCTCCAGTAACAAGCAGTAGCCTAATATAGATGCATAGCAGGGTCGCAAAACTTCACATTATTTGCATCACTGTCACGGTTTTTCTCCGTTTTATGTCTACATGCTCAGGCTCAACAGACGACAGCTTTGGCAGTGTCTGAAGTTGCCTTTGTCCAGGGTGATGAAGAAATGGCTCCGCCCATCACCAAACCATCTGGATGAGACACCAGACAGCCAGAAGAATATGATTAAAGGCCTTTTCTTGTTGAAATTACCCCCAAAATGTTTTTAACTTGTGTAAAGTTGTATGCTGTTCTTTTATCATTAGATAATGTGCAATGTTTTAATAATATAGGACTATTATTGTATCATATGTATCCTGGGTTTATAGATGGTTAAGGCTGCATTTCTGAACAATATTTACGGCTTTATCAATAATCAGGATAAATATGATACAGTAATAGCCCTATATTATTAAAACATCGTGCATTATTTTTAGGGCCCGAGCACCGACCTCGGAGAGGACCCTATTGAAATTTAAGGAGTTATTATTCTCCCTCGCCACAATGAATTGCTTTGTGGGCTTTAACGTGCACAAAAACTCCCCAAACTTCACCCAAAATTCAGCCTTGCATGAAATTTACGTATGAAAGTGGTTCGGTGCATGGGCATCGCCAAAGGCTCCACATCACCCCCAAACGTCACTCAGGGTACTGTGGTTAACCTGCATGCACGAAAACAGTAAAAAAATAAAAAAAAATAATAATATAATATATATATATAAAGAGTGGCCTCACAAGAAAGGCAGAAAGATGGTCTCTGACAGTGTCCAGGTCCTGTGGGACTAACACCGCCTGCGTGTTCCAAAACTCCAGACGCTCCAGAGCAGACTGCAGCCACTGGCTAAGCTCTGCACACTCCCTCTGATACCTATAGAGAAAAACCACAATTCCATCACTGAATCTTCTGTATTAATGGTTAAAAAAAAGGTTTTTTAGAAGCCTGTTGTGTTATTGACCTGGTCCAGTGTCTTAGGATTGCCTCCAGGCGTTGCAGCTCCTTGTTGATCTTTGCGGTGTTGTTTAGCCAGTGTTCACCCAGCAGAGCGAGTTGGTTCTCCAGAGCAGGACAGCAAACTGACAGTAGGAGATGTTTGCCCTCATCCAGCACCTGGTAGAGCTTGTGCTGGTGCTCTGTCAGTCTTCCTTTTAAGCCCTTAACAGATAATAAACAAGAGTAATAAATTATTTAATCTTGTGAGAGGTAATTCAGGACTTCAATGTCATGGACAAATATCTGCACTGTTGTGACTCCATACCTGATACAATGAGATTCTATCCATGAGCTTTTCCTCAGTCTCTTCCACCAGGCCAACTGTTGGAATATTTCCTTCAACTGCTTCTAGATGGCGATTCAGACTTTGGTAGTCCTGCACCAAGCGGAACCAAGTCTGCAAAACAAAATAACTTAAATGTTCATTTTCTGAGCTAAAAGGCAGTTTAAACTAAACTACTGTTCCCCTTAATATAGACAGCAATGTAAGAAGAAAATTATTTTGTTCCTGTTTGTGAAGTAATTAAATATTATAACACTTAATACTGCAGTGTTATTCAATAATGTTCAGACATCAAGCTTTCTAACACATTGTCCATAAACTGAGCTTCATGCAGAATTCACTCCAGAAATAGTTCCCAGTTCATAACTATCTATTCCTTGGAAACATAACCAGACAGTAAACTACTTGTATCACTGTGAAGCACGGAAAATACATACTGGACTGACACAGTTATTCAAATTGTGTAAACACAAAGAGTATTTTCTATTTCACCTCCAGGATACACTCCAGCTCCACTCCTTTGCTGTGTGCCTCTTTGAGGACACTCTGCGCCTCAGCGAGAGTCTCCTCCAGGGCCTGACTCTCTTTCGGAAGCATCAGAGCACTAATTTTTCTGAAGTACGTCTCTGTTAGAATCATGTGGGACTCCAGACCCTGGAAGAACTCCTGGGAAAAAAAACAATCAGCCATAAACACAAACCCAGGAGTATTTATTTTCCATCTCCAGCATTAATTCCTCAACTTTGCACAATGTCCATTATACAGATTCCTGAAGAGTTTAGTTGACCGAACCTTATGTTTGTCTAGGTGATTCTGGACTTCATCAACAGAGCTGGCAATGATCCTCTGATCGGCAGCCATCTTGTCTTTAGCTGTGTCCACCAGGTCGGTCAGGTCCTGCAGAGCTCGCTCGTACTGCTCCTTCAGAGCCATGTTCTGGTTCAGGCCACTGCGCCGGGATCCCACCGTCATCACCAGCTCCTCATAGGAATCCTGGAAATACGCAAAAAAATATGTGTTTCTCTTTTGTTTTGCTAAAATCATTCCTTCAATATCAATTGCATATGGTTTGATATTTGAAGTGAGAGCTATAAGGGAGGTCATTTACCTGGAGTTTTAGTATTTTGTTTGTTGATATCTGATCCGTCTGTAATGCTGTTCCTCTGGTTTTGAGCTCTGTTATCCTTTGTTCAAAGTCTTTCAGGCTCTCCTCTGCACTCGCTATTACCTAAGAGAAATTAGATACACAATCATATTTTGTTCTCTGAGAGCGATGATGGAAGAGCGGCAGGGTATGTATGTATGTGCATACATGTCACAGTCAAAGCCTTACCTCAAGTTGTTTTGAGGCTGGTCTATCCATTGTTCCAGCTAAGGCCTGTAGGATCTGGCACTTGGTCTCAATTAAAGCAGTTTGAAGAAGTTGCAATTCGGTCTGAATTGAAAAGACAACATTTCAGAACATTAATATCAAGTTTTATTGATAGATGAAAGAAACTGCCTATGGTTATACAGACTTTTCCCATTCATGTGCTTTGCAGCTGGATCAGTTCAGTTAACAATGATTTAATATACTACAAAATAAATCCTAAATAAAAATCCAGGGCAGTTATTAGAGATGCAAATCACTCTGTATAAATCATTGTTTTGTTTCATAGCAGACATCTGTCAAGAAAACAAAACATGAAGTCCCATGATAATCAACAAATGCAAAATATTGTCCAAACCTGATAGGCAGTGAGCTCGTGTGTTCTGGTCCTCATGTGGTCACAGCGTTGCCCCAGAGCACAACCCAGAGCTCCTAATCTCTCTTTCAGGCAGTCCAGGTTGTCCTCTAGCAGCGCTCGCTCGTCTTGTCTCAACCCTGAAGACCCGGCTAGCAGAGCCTGGCTGAGCTTCACGTCCTCTGTGACATGCCTCACATCATTCTCTAAGGTCTGGAGGAAAGTCGAGAATATACTTAGCTTTCAATTATATGCAAATGGTAGAAGAACAGCATCCTAATGGGAATGACTCATTTATTGTTGTATGTTGACTGTTATTTCCCATCCCACGTTTGTATTTGCAAACTTAAGACACAAACTGCATCTGCAAATAACTTCTTACATATATTTGTTGTAATAAAACGCACTTGTTGACAGTTGAATAACTCCTCGCTTGTGGGTATCAACAATTTATAATAAAATAATGAAGAAGCTGCAAAAAATAAATATTGTACCTCCTGCTTTTGTAGCTGGGTCTCGGTGTTTTCAGCTAGCAGCACTGAGCCAGAGAAGACATTGTTCTCCACACCATCCAGCCAAGAGGAGGTGGATGACACAGCTGCGTAGAGCTGCTGTTCCATCTGCGGCACCTGTGTCTCACCACCACCGGGCTATGTATACACAAGACGGTTGCAAAAATTCTTTGAAACTTGTTGAACTACATATTTAAATGTTGTAATGTAATAATGTTATAGAAATAGTCCAACCTGAGCGGTAATGTCCTCTACTGTTTGTCTGAAGCTATCATACAGAGTCTTCAGGGAGGCTTTGTCAGCCTGTGTTTCTTCTTTATACAGTGATCCCGCTGTTGTCACACGAGATGTTCTGGAATATACCTGCAAGATCCCCACCAAAAACAGACAGTCCTTGGCTTTATACATTGACAACAACTTTAACGTTATCAAAATGCTTTGCTTGTTGTGTTATTCTATGCTAACAATAACACTCTGGGGGCAAACATTGTTTTACCGGCTGTTTGTGGTCCTGCTCAAGGGTTTTCTGGAGGAGCTGCAGTTTGGTTTTAAGATCCAGTCTCAGGCTCTCCCATCTCTGCCTCATCTGCTCTTGTGCAGCCTGAGATTCTCTCTCAACAAAAGATGCTGGTGAAAATGGTTCTGTTGAACTGTAAAGTGACCAACACATGAAGTGATTACTGATAAATTTACCTGGCAAAGGAATCACTACATACATCAGCATGACATTTTTTTAATTGATTTCATGTATGGTTTTAAAATATGTAAAGCACCTGGCACTGCTTGGGGAGGCCTGCTGGATGAGGATCTCCTCTCCTCTGCTGGCAACTGACTGGAGCAACTTTTTTTGCTCTGCAAGCTGCTCTTCCAGTTCCTAAAACACACATTTGAGTTTGTATGTTATATAATTCATTAATTTTGAACACAGCTTTAAAGGGTAACTTCTTTTTTAAGATTGTGTTAGAACTTGGTTTTAACAGTATGAAGGAAGAAATATAACTTTCTAATGCAAAGATGTTACATTTTGTGATATTTTATTAAGTAGATCAAAAACAAAAAAAAACAAATCCCTTACGAACAACAATTTTAGCCAGTATCTTATTCACATTCAGAAGACAGACTACAGAAAAGGAACTAAAAATGTGTGTAATTAAAATACCCTCTGTCTCTGAAGGCTGTCCTGGTGCTGTTGGGAACGTGTAGTCCGAGCCTGGGCCAGCCAGTCCTGCACACTGGGACTCTGAGACAGGCTGGAGTCTGATTCACTGTCCTCCTGGTCCTGCAATGAGCCCTGTAGGACCAGACAATGTTTAACTAAACATTAACGGGACCCATGTTCACAAGGCGAAAGGATCATCACACTAATTCACTCAGTATATCATGGTATAATAAATGCACCAGTTCAGGTATGAAACTATTGTTCAGGCTAAATTTAGAAACATGTTTGAGTTATGAACATGCCTTTCTCTACATTGTGTGAAATATTCCTACAGTGGGGTCTGAATCCTATAGCTTACAGTTCGGATAATAGTTTGATAATTCATGTACGCACATTGGTGTATGTCATGCAGTCTTACCTGGATATTAATCTGTTTGTCTTGTAGCATCCTCTGCAGCTCCAACAGGCCACCTTTCAGTGTGCGTAACTTGCGGGCCAGCTGTTCCGCTTCCTGTCTGGTCTCTGTCCTTCCCTCCAGCAGCAGGTTCTCACTGTGCATGGACAACTCTGACAGGGCCAGCACCTTCTCTTCAATCTCCAGGAGCATGTTCTGCAGAAGCAGGAGGATAGAGGCCAGCTCAAACATGGTGTCTCACCTCGGACAGCAGCTCTGGAATAAACCAGGGTCTGGCTGAAGCCCCTTACACCTGCAGTCTGCCCCAGCAGAAGGGCAGGCAGAGATCTACCTCTGCTTTCATCCTTGGCCCACCTCTCCGGCCTCGCCTCCTGTGCAACATATTACCACTAATCCTTCACGCTCCATGCCCTGCAGCAAACATGCTAACGCTGAAATTAAATAGCAATTTTTCTGAGAAGAACACCATCCTTAGTACAGAACAGCAAAAAATGCCCATCAATGAATGTTGATTTGATGTTTGAAGAAACTTCTGTTGTCCACAGGCATCCCCACTAGTCTGTAAACGATGTCTTCGGCTCTTTTTTCTAAGGCAGAGAGTAACTCCCTCCCTACCTTCCCAACTGGTCTTTAGGATTCCCCTACTTGGATATTCTAGCAGCTTTGTCACCAACACCAATCCAAGCAGCGGGATCTATTAATCGTCTGAAAGCTACTACCCCTGACTTCCCCGCCCTTTTCCGCTAACAGGCCCCAGTCACACAGCGGCATCTGCATAATCTGCTTAACTCTAGTATTTCAGTCGCTTAGGAGCCCAGCCTCTTGAATGCCCCTCTAACGCCTCTAATGCTCTTGTTTACCCTCTGAAGGGTTCCTGCCCCCCCCCCCGGGATGATCCATATATGATTAGGGAAACAAAATATTCTTGAAGAAAGTGTAAGATGGATGTTCATAATACCCTGGAAAAACTGCTTTAGTGTGCTAGTTATCAGAAATAATATCTGAATGTCAAATAAACAATAGTCCAGGACACAGAACCACCACACCTCATTATTTGGACTGCATTTTGTTAGATTTTCTTTTTCTTGATAATAAATACATTTATATTAGAAAAAAAATCCTTATTACCAGGATTGCATCTACTGCTCAGACTGAACAGCAGGGGGAGCTCTTACCTGACATTCAGACAGCTGATCCTCCATATCCGTCTCCTCCGGAGGTTCAAGGATGGAGGTTACAGCGCCACGCTTTCTGATCAACCACTGCTCCATCTCATCTGCTCTGGATTGATGGAGCTGTATGGCCTGCTCCTGACGTTCAACCTCCAGACGGTCATAAACGCGCTCCTGGGGCACAACAATTCACTAGTTAATCATCATTATTTCTCCATGTAGTTATATAGTAAAACTCAACCTTTCCCAAACTTTACAAAAACTACCTCCAACACTTGCTGTTTCCCTGAGGCCTTCATGTGGATGGTGGCCATCCTCTCGGCTAACACGGCAAGGGAGGAATGCATGGCCAACTGGTCAGCCATGTCTGAGTCCACGGCCTCTGAGGCCAGATCTTCTGTGAAGCTCGTCTGCAGACTGTTTATATCCTCCTGTGCACTCTGAATCTCTTCTACAAGTCCCTGGAGATGACAACATTGGAAATATGTTGCTTATTGCACATTTACTGAGTATTTTTATTCCTGTATTGGTCAAAGGGAAATATTACTTAAAGCGTATGTAGAAACGGCTACTGTTTACTGTTGCTGCAGCCTAAGTTTAACACCAAGCCTCAGTACTTTCACGCATGTCTTTCCCCACTCTCTCACCCAAGCATCCTACTCGATCCACTGTCCTTGTTTGTAATAAAGGCATAAAAGCTCTAACCCAAAATGAAAAAAGTAAAACATTTAAAATGTTGATATCAAGAAAGGAGGAGTCATAATTCCCATTTCAATCCTCTTCAGCAAACCAAAGTGGTTTAACATTGCTGTTATGTGGAGACAAGAAAGGTTTTACTGTCTGCAGAATTATAAATGCAAAGTGACCCAGAAATTTTCAACAGACCGTCATTATTTGTAAATATTATTTCTATATTTGACAAATATATTTGCAACAAGGTATTAATGTTATTTAAGAAATAACTCCTACCAAGTTCATTTGAAAGCTATCTGTCCATCTAACTATTCAAAACCCTCTATCATACCGTAATGACTCACCTCATGTGTCTTAATGTGGCTATCTGGGCTTTTATCCGCCTCAAGAGGCTCACTCAGTTTGGCTTCAAGAGCCTCCATTTTGGAAGAGATCGACTGGAGTGAGCCTTGGTAATGTTGTTGCTTTTCCAGAGCTTCATACAGAGACCTCTGCTTCTCGCTGATCTGTTGGAAGAACAAAAGGACAATTTAAAAGTGCTTAGCTTTAAAACATAATTCGATTCACTGAGAATCAATAGACCACTAAGTAGATGCCTTCTATTTTTTCCATACCACGTTCTTTAATGTCTCCCATGAGCGCTGCAAGTCATCTAAGTTGGCCACTGACTCAAATGTTGGGTCATATAATTCTTGGATGGGAGCTCTTGTAAGTGTCCCTCTTCCCATCTAAAACAACATAACAGAGACATCAGTAGTTACGGCAAATGAATCCCTTATTAAATGGATGGCAAAGACAAAAACATTTATTATTAATCATGATTGGATGTGCAGAAAAATAATTCCGCCCCTTGGTTTGTTATTGCCTGTTTCACTTATTCTTTGACAGTGTTTTTCTTTTTCAATTGACAGTTTACTCACAAACAGAAGAATTAGAGAAACATTAATAAAACATATATAGACTAGACAAAAAGCAGAATTTGCAGAATTACGTGCTACAAAACAAGGATGAATGGCTTATCAAAAGATAAAGTAGATACCTTGGTTATAGTGGCCTCAGTGTAAGTGATGGGAGATGGAGAGCGACAGACAAGAGGAGAAGAAATCTCACTGTTCGTGCCCTCCTCCCCAGACTCCTCAGATACAGGAGAGAGGAGGGTGTGACAGCGGCCAGCAGTCATCTGAGATGCCATGCAGGAAATATTAACAGAAGAGCAGACGTTTAAGATGGATTGGGAAAGGTTAATCATCGGTTGTTGTTTCTCTCTAACATGGCACAATGCAGCTTATTAAAAAACAACCTTATAACAAAAGTAGTTTCATTGGTAAAGTAGAATAACATATTTAAAGCCAGGAATAGCAGAATGCATCGAGACTGAGTCATCCCAAACAGTGCACACAGCTTTGTCAGCAACACAAATGTATAAGGTATCGTGTTCTCTAACCATGACAGCCTGTGCTGAAGATTTCTTGGATTTCTCCTCATCCATCTCGTGCAACCCTTCAGGCAGTCCTTCCACATCAGTCACTGTCAGCAACATGGTGGCATGTTTGGCTTTTACTGCCAGCATCTTGCATTTTGAGTTTAGTGAGGCGATCTGCTCCTGGTAACCTTTGATCTTCTGGGCTAGTTCCTATTGAAAAACAACAATCTCAACTTGTTATGCAGTTATGAGGAAATTCTGCAAAATAAACACTGCAATACAGACACAATCTGTATAAGTTCTTTATTGTGTATGTTTATAAACACATTCAAGCATGTCATTCTTTTTTAAAACTATTTTGGGGGCCTTTTTGCCTTCAATTGACAGTGGAAGCTGAAGCGAGAACGTAAAGGTAGGCAAAGTCAGAGAATTAATATATTGTACTTCATGGTGGAGGATCTGGGCTTGAAGCTCCTGGATGTTGTTTGAGGGGATCGGTCGGTCCTGGATGACACGGTGTGCTTCCTCTATTAGCCCCTGGAGCTCTTTCACTTCCTGTTCATATTGCTCATGCTGCACCACTGCCTCCTGTATAATAAAAAAGAAATAGATTTTTGTAGGAAGAACATTTTAAACATCAGAATGGAAAACAGCTGTGTATTTAAAGAGTACACCATTTTTTTTAAATGCAGGTGACCTTTTTAACCCGTAATGTAGAACGAAATTGCCATCACAAAAAATAAATATTTAGTGTATTGCTTTTTTACTTGGCTTGTGGCCTCAAAATCCATCTTTAAAGGTTTAAATACCTTCAAGCTGAAGGCCATGTCTTACTACAGAATCCATCAATTGCAAAGTGTGTTAGATTGAGAAATGACAACTACATAACATTACTGTGCTGCAGTAATAGTGCCCCCTAATGTACCTGCAGGATGTTGCATTGCTGAATGGCAACATGCTGCAGCTGACTGGCTTCCTGCTGCAGACGCAGCGCTGTGCGACAGATGGCGAGGTTGGGCATCACCTCCTCTGGGACCTGCAGTGCACTCTGACAGAGCTGCACCGCCTGCACCTGCTGCTTGAAGCTCTCCATGTCAGCCAACAGACGCTGTGAAAACAGGGGAAGTTTACATTGTGTGGAACTACAGTGTGCAAAGTAAGCATCCGAAGTGCTTTAAGTAAATAACAGGCCATGTGATTATTATTTCAAGGTGGTGGGGATACCTGTCTCTGAGCCAGCTGTTCTTTGAGACTCTGGCGTGATAACTCTGGCGAAGTCAGGGTGGCTTGGACTTGCTCTAGAGCAACATGTAGAGCCTTAACTTCGTACTCAAGGCCTCCATACTCTGAGGATGTGATCAGTGACACAGAGTATTCAATACAAGCTATTCGTAAAAAGTAAATCAGCTGTGGGTGAAATTTCATAAATACAAGTAAGGAAAGCATCCATTAATGTTACAAAGTAATGAAATTGATAAGATTTGTTTTCTTTACCTTATTTGCATCCTCCAAGCTCTGAAGCCGTGTCTTGATTATCTGCTGAAGCTCCTCAGTGTGTCGACTGAGTTCACAAACCTGTTGGCTCATAGACTCAACCTGCAGCACCTCCGACAGGAGATCTACTTTCTCTGCCATTGATTCCAGGTCTCCATGGAGCTCGCGAGACTCACGCAAGACAGCCTAAGTACAGGACAAAAGGACAGTGAATGAATGGCATTTATGATGTGATGTTCTGATGGGTTTATTCCCTTCATAATATGGTGAAAGGTAGTTGTACTTCCTAAAAAGCCAACAATTCTGTAGTTGAATATCACATATGAACCCATAAGGATGTACGCTTTGACCCCCACCTCACCTGGTACATTCGTATCTGCTCCTGAAGATGAACAGAGGAGTTCCAGATGATGTTTGCTCTCACCAGGCTTTTGGCTCTCTCTGACCACCTCACAATGAAGTCTAGCATCTCATTATACTCATCCAAATAACAGACAGCCTGAGGAGGCAAGACAAAAAAAAGTATTCTTACCTATGTGTAATCATTGTACTACATGAGCACAACAACTGTAATGTTAATAGGACACTTGAAAACACAAACCTTTTTGAGCCAGTTGTTCCTGCAGTCTGCTAGCCGTGTTGTGTGATGATGCATCTCTGATAGCTTGCTTATGGCGTCACCAAGCTGTTTTGCAAGCAGGGGATTCCTGCGGCCAAACTCTTGCACTGCAGCGTCCAGTTCTGAGAGGGTGCGACCACAACAGTCCAAGTCCTCGGCCAGGCTCTGATAAGACATATAAAACATGTAGAATTTTTCGGACATCTTTTGATGGTACCGAATGATTTGGAAAAAAAACTATATTCTTAATTAAACAGTCACAGTCAGAAAAAAAAAAGTTTACTCACCTTGACTTCTTCTTTGGCATGATCAACATCAGGAGATTTTTCCTTAAATTTAGCTGATGTTGCTTTGAGCTTCTCAGAGATGTCATGGATTCTGGTGCTGAAGTTATCTTTTATTTCTCTGGTTCTTTGAATTTCTCTCTCTTTTGAAAGAACCTGGAACATATAAAGAAACGACAAATGCCACATAACAAAATTATTAACATACGGTAGGTGTTCTCTGATTTAAACTACAAAAGGAAATGGGGGGCCATAATGTTCTTTTTAAATTGAGAGGTTTTAAAATGATACAGAACCTGATCCTCAATGGCACCCAATGCAAGGGAAACCTCGGCCAGCTGCATGGAGATTTCAGAGGGCAGAATGGTGTAGAGGTCCAGATATTTGCTCTGTTGCTGCTCTGCTAATTTATCCACATTCTGACGATAAGTGACCACATCCTCATGAACAACCTACACACAACAAATCAAGGAGCAATGTAACTTTTCTCAGAAATACTCATTCCAATAGAATTAGGTTGGGCAGTCAAAGTTTCTTATTGTACCTCAAGTTCCTGCAGCAAGGAATCAATGTCTGGAGTGGGATTGAGAAAAAGCTCCCTGGTTTCCTGAATCCAGGCTTTGACGACACTAAGTTCTTTCTCCACCTCCTCTCTGTCCCTCAGTTCTTGAGCTGCTTGAGCCCGCTTGGTCCTGGACTGTGTCAGGAGGCTGAAAGTCAAAGGTAAAAAAAGACTTCACTGCAATTCTGTAAGACAGATCCCTTAAGATCTAAATGTGAGAAATGTAATTTACTTTGATTCAGACTATTTGTTAAAAAGAAATCTCCATTAAAGCACCACGGATTAGACACAAATTAAAAACAGATGCCTTTGTTGAAAGCAACAGTTCTGAAGGTTTATCTTCTCTACCTTTCCATTTGGTCTTGTACAACTCTAATCTCCTTCAGGCTGGGCAGCTCATCCTGCTCATTTGTCGGTGAAGGCACCTCGACATCATGCAGAAGGCTGAGAGCATACTGGCGCAGCAGTGTGAGGGCAGTGAGCTCTCTCTCCAGGTCTTGGCTAAGCAGGTCATGCTGGTCCAAGAGTGACTGCAGGGTGGCTTTAGAAGCCTTTTCAACAGCGCTGTCTGGAAAACGATTTTGGAGCTCATCAGCGACTGCTCTCACCTTCACCATCTAAACAAAATGAAAAATAAAGTTATATATATAAAAAACAACAAGAATATATACAAATATTTGCATTTCAATTAAAAAATGTGAATCTTCTGTCTGTTTACTTTCTCTCTAAAAGTTCTCCATTCCTGTGCTGTGTCCTCGAGCACTCTCTCCTGTCCCCGGGCTACGCTTCGTAGCCGTGTCCAGCGCTGCCACACGGTGGTCATGGAGCGACTGATGGTGGCCTTACTGGCATCACTCCCCACCAGCTCCAGCTGGGCAGCTTGCTCCTCAAGACCACTCAGCTTCTCTTGGAAGCCATTGACCAGAGATACAAGGGACTGAAAAATAAAGAGAAAAAATAATGAATGAAGTCTACAGTATTCATAGAAGTAGTGGCCATTGTATTGAATAGACTTTGTTTAGGCCCATCATACCCGATGACTGCAAAGCTTATCTTCAGCTTCTTGGCCTGTGCCAGCCTTTGCAGTGGAAAATTCAGTCAGCTTCTTTTCAGCCTCATTCATGAGTTCAATGACAGTCTGCCTAGCTTCCTGGTATGTCTTCCACTGATCCACACAGCTAAGAAAAACAGATTATATTAGATTAATTGTTCTTATTAAAACATTTCCTGTATTGTCACTTTGATGATTAGTGTACCATCACTTTTTGTTTTCATTACCTGTAAAGGACATCATGGTGACACTGGAGCTGATCTCGGACCTCCATACCTCTCTGCTTTGCGGACTCTACACTCACACTGAGCTGCTCTTTAGCTGTGGGGTTGACCAGGTTCTCAAGCGAAGGCAGCAGGGCCTGCAGCTCCTCCAGGTGGATAAGAAACTCCTGCTCCGTGGCCATGATGTCCCCCTGCTGCCTGAGACACTCCTCATAGTTCTCCACGTCCACACCCAGGCTTGCTTGCTGCAGGAAGGACACGGCATCCTCCAGCCATTCACAGGCTGACTGCATCCTGAAGTGGTACTTCTGGCACAACACCAGGGCATCCTCCAGGGTTATCTTTACGCGAAAGGAAAAAATATTAAAAGATGTTGCCATAAGTCACAAATGTAGTTCCCCTGATCTCTCGCTCCAAATTAAACACTTAACTTAGTTAAGTTAGTATTAAGAATTATGCATTTCATAGAATTAAATGTATGATTAGCATGTTTTATAGAATATTGAACTGAATGTTGTCTCACCTGCTTGGAGCTCAGTGCTTTCTGAACGTCTGCCTGCAGTTTTGCCATTTCCTCTAGGCTTGTATCTACATGGTTGGGAACGAGTTCATTTGCGCTGGTGTACTTCTGTTTCTCTCTACTGCTTAGAGCAGCCACTATTCTTAGCTTCGACTGCACTTCCTCTTGCATGATTTGCTGCTTTCTGATCTCCTCCTGCACCTTCTCCACCCTCACATCAACAATCACAGCATAGCCCAATTCATCTCTGACCTGCTGCAGCCAGTCCAGGGTCCGTTTCATCTCTGTCTCAAAGTCTTTACTTTGGACAAACCTGTTCTCACACTCTTCTATGAGGTCTCCTACTGCAGCCTGCAAAGATCGCAGCTCCTCCTGCCACAGAACCACTTGATCTTTGGAAGCATCATGGGCTGCTAGGTCCACGCGGGGTGCGAGAGTGTCCATCTGCTCCATGAGCCGCGACAGGTGAGAGTTGGCACTCTGGAGACTTCCTGCCAGAGCGTGGTAATTTTTTAGCCTCTCCTCAGCTGACTGTGTCTCTGCATTCACTTTGACCAGCTGCTCTTTTGTGGCTTTCAACTCAGAGTCAACCTGCATAGCCATCGCCTTGCGGTCCTCAAATGACTCCAAGGTTTCATCCAGATGCTCCACTTTTTGTTCAATCAACCTCTTTAGTCCGTTGTACAGACTAACAAGCTGGGTCATTTCCTCTGGCCGCCATGGCTGACCCGTGCTTCGAAAGCCCTCCTTCTTCTGGTTCAGTTCACTCACAGCTAGACCCAGGCTGCTCAGGTCTGCCTGGATCGCTTTATAATCACACTGCAAACTAACAACCTCTTCTGTCTGCAGCCCTACAGGCTGAGTGCCAAGATTATTGAACTGTTCTTCAAGTTCTTGCAGGGCTTTATGGGTGACATCTATGAAAGAAGTGTACTCATTCCTAGTGAGAATGGCCTGCTGGATTTTCTCCTGCTTTTCTTTGGCTAGTGCTAATATGTTATTATATTGCTGGGGGAGAGTGTTGAGTTTTTCATCCAAATAGCAATGGTCTACTTCGTTTAGACTGGGCAATATTTCCTGGCCAGCTCTTTGTACGATTAGAAGAAGATTCTCATATTCAATTGCCTGCTCAATAACATGTTGATACTTAAGAAGCTGAGCTTCCAATTCAGCATCTCCAACCATCAGATTGATCTCAGGGAAGGTGACAATATCAGCTTGTTTTATCCACAGGCATATTTTCTCTAGATCAGTCTTGAAATATTTTCTTGAAACAAGTACTTTTTCAAGCTCCTGCAGTTTTTGACCGCATCTGTGTAATGTTTTGTCGAAGATATTTTGTAACTCCTGCAACTTTGTGAGGATCTCGTTCCTTTCCTCCTCGCTGGCATCTCTCATCAGGTCCCTCCCCTGAGACCACAGGGAGGTCAGCTCGCTCTGATAGGCTTTTAGACTGCTTTGAATGTTCCTACAAGTTCTGACCTGTTTAGCCAGGTCATCAGGTAACAAAGCAATGTACTCCTCTGCCTGGGCCTTCTTCTCATTCTGCTGCACCCAGGAGATGGACTGGCCCACAGCCATCAGGAACTGTGTTCTCTCTGTGAAGGCCTTGCTCAGATGTTTTCTGCGCTGCACAACTTTCTCGCTCAGAGATTCAACCTCAGATTGAGTGTCCACGATAAGCTGCTGCAGACGTTGTCGCTCACTGAGGCCTAGACGGGCCAATACCCTATCAGCGTCGACCATGGCCTGTGCCAGCAGGAGCTGCTTGGCCTCCAACTCACTACAGATGCTCAGGTGGTCAAACAGGAAACTCTGAGCGAGCTCTGGAGGAGGGCTCATTTTCATAGCCTCAGACAGGGCTGGCTGCTGCTCCTCTGCCCAGTCTCGAGCCTCTCTCAGACGGGCCTCGACTTGGCCCATATCCTCCAGGGTCACCACTGAGTCCTGGATTTTCCTCTCAATGAGGTTTTGCATCTGAGACCAGCGCTGCTCAAAATGGCTGATTTGCTCCTTTACCAGCTCCTTGTCATCCAAGTTCAAATGTTGGATAACTTTTTGCTTCTGTTCCTTAAGCTCTTCAAGAGTGCCTTTTTGTTCATCCAGAGTAACTGCAAGCCTTCGTAAAGCCTCCAAATGCTGGGATGAACTTTCGGCATCCGTTCTGCGCAGCAAAAAACAGATAAAAATACATAACTATTTTGTTCAGTTAAGAAATGAAGTGTTTTGATTTCAAGAACTGAGACACATCTTCTTAGAACAATCTTAAAAACTGGTTCCAAAGGTGAACACAATGTTGGTCTTGAGTTCAGACATACAGTATGTAATGACAAACAAATGGTGTTATAAAAAATGGTTCTTGAAAAGTAGTAGAATACATCATAGTCATGAAAAAGAAACTGAGAATAGTTAGAACAACTGGCTTTTTGTTGCAGCCTAATACAGTTTACTTGGATTTGTTCCTGTCAGACGATAATTAGACTCACAGCAGTATGTGATGACTAATGTTGACACTTATGTAAAAAACCCACCTGGCCAGATTGTCCCACTCTTTGGACACCTGTTCAAACAATGCCTCCACTGCACTGATGCAGTCATGGTATTCTATCGACCTCTGCAGATCTTCCTCTCTCTGGCTCTGCAGCTTGTTGGCCTGGTGGCAGAGCTCGAGCCAGGAATGGCTCAGACGGTCAAGCTCAGCATGTTCTGCAGAGTCATGGCCACCAGTCAATCTGCTCACAGTCTCCGTCATCTTGGTCAGGATACTCTGTTTGGACTGCAGATGCAGGCTGCATTCCTGTGTGATGAGCAATATACTGGTTAGTAACCCAAAATAGAGCCAAACAGATTAGCAGATCATTTTAATCCAACAGAACCCATAAAATATGTTAGGATAGTAATCATAACCACATCACAAACAAAACAGTGTAGACATACAAAAAAATATTATCAACATTGATACTGTTCGCTACCTTGGCTTGAGACAGCATGTTTTGAGCTATCTTGGTCTCCAACTCGGCTGGCCTTCTGGAGAAGCTGAGGAGCTGCTGCTCCATATCCTGAAACAGGCTAGTCAGATCTTGCTTCTGTTCCTTGATCTCCCGCCAGCCCTCTGAGAGTTCCTGTGCACTGGACATCCTTTCCTCTATCTAGAAAACGTAAAGTTAATGTTTGTGAAATTGTAGGTAATACACGGTATGCTTGTTTATAACTGATTGACTTTTAAATAAAAATCAAAGTTTAATGTTGACTGGTTAGAGTATATCTCATATCCAGCATTCATTGGTCTTTATGACAAATACAGTATTCCATAAAACTTGTGTCAAATTGTCCTATTTTTGGTGTTTTCAAAGTCAGTCCTCATAAGTCATTGTTGTGATTCAGTTATCCTCCTATAGCTAAAAAAAAAACCCTTTACAATGTATAATGGACAAGGAGGTAGAAATTACTGACCGTGAGTTTGACCTGCTGTACGTCAGTAGCTGCTACTCTCACAGCATCATCAGACAGGTCACACACTGAACACACAAGGTCCAAGTAAGTGCTTGCTTGCTCCTGAAGGGCCCTGTAGTGCTTCACCTGTGTGTACAAAAGTAATCAACGAAAAAAATGGAAGAAAAAAAAAACATTGCCATCGGATTGGATTCTTAGAGCTGATAAAAATCCATTATGTCAGTTACCTGCTTCAGTGCTTCCTGCAGACCAGTTGGTCCCTGATCATTGAGCTGAAGCTCCTCCTGCACTGTGGAGAGCCAGGTTTGGCACTGCTGCAGAGTGTCCTGATGGCTGACGTGTTTCTGCAGCTCTCGATCTAGACTCTGGTACACCTGTGGAACAAGTGAAGTGCAACCATAAAGTTTTCTTAAAGTCATCAAATGGAAAGGTTCCCTGGAAAAAGTAAAATGAGAATAATTCCATGGATTTTGTCCTCTTAAACTCACACGTTGAGCAGTGCTGCAAATGGCAGAGTAGCTGTCTCTGGTGCCCTGTTGGTGAGCCTGGACTTGTTGACTGATCTTTGCTTGCACTTGGTCTGTACAGCTAGCAACAAGGTCTTCGCCTTTCTGCCTCAAGCTGGTGAGACGCTCCTCAAAACTGGCTATCTCCTCCATTATTGCCTGAAAAAAAAAAAAGCGTTACATGTTTCAAAATACAAAAAGTGACCCATTTAATGCTAACCAAAAGTATTATTAAGTGATGTAATAATCTATCCTGTACAAGTAATATTACTGTAAGAATTGTGAATATTTTAGGATTGTATGGTTTAGGTCACCTTGTGTCGGGCAAGTTGCTGCGTGGCCATTTCCATGCCACTGGTCTGCATGGAGTCTGAGGTGATCAGTCGACTGGACATCTGTAGGAGCCACTTCTCCACCTCTTGCAATTCACTGTTGTAATCCTCATGCTCCTTCACCCACTCCACAAGGTTTTGGACCTGTGTCTAAAACAGAACATGCAGCCCAAATCAGAACTTCATTCAATAAGAGAATTATGTTACGCTAAGTATCAGTCTGTTTCCTTTAGTCAATTTGTTAATACAAAAGAAAAACTTGAGACCCCCCTCTCAGCCAAAACATCACAGTAGCATCCATACCTTAGCTGCTAAGCAGAGATCTTGATAGTCAGCCTGCAGCTTTTTCATTTTGTCACTTATAGTGGTGTCATGGACTGTTTCCAGCAAGGCTTCTCCTTTCTCAAAGACAGATTTCACTGCGGACTCATGAGACTGCACTGTCTGCTGGATGGTCTGCACACATGAAAATTGAGGAAAATATTGTAGATATTGTTAAGGGTTTTTGCTCTATTTCCACAGTGTTGCCAAGAGATAAGAAAAATATATCTTGGTGTTAATTACCTTGTATTTTGCAAGCTGAGCCTTCTTCTGATAAAGTTCAGCTTTAGGCTCAACATTTGATGACAAAAGGCTCTTGGTCTCCTTCACCCACTGGGCTTGGGTTTTGTATTTATCCATGAAGTCTTTAGAGAGTGAGATACATTTCTCAAGGGAGCTATGCTCTGTGCGCAGAGCTTCCATCAGCTCTGATAGCTGGGAAAGGCGAGTGTCTACCTCCTCCTTCAGCTGCTCTGCCTCCGGCTCTTCCAAGAACACCATGGCTCGCTCTGTCTTCTCCCTCGTTGTCTTGAGGTAGGTGTGACCCTGATCCATGTCACCTTGAAGAGCCTGAAAGGTACATGGGGTGATGCTGATTCGTTTTTAACGAAGTAGACATTAAAATACTTGTGACATGTACTGCATGTTAGAGAATATACCTCTAGTTTTTTCATCTTTCTCTCCATAGCAAAGCGGTCAACTGCATCAACACTGATAGCCACTGTGCTGAAGTTACTCTGAGCTGTGCTGAGCCAGTCGGAGAAAGTACCGAAGACACACTGTGCCTCCTCAATGCAAGACACCTCCTCCTGGAGCTGTTTGATTGTTTCCTGTATTATAAATAAAGAGGGGGGGTTAAGGAGAAGAATGCTTGGGGTAGCTAAGATGATGAGATTTTTATAATAATCTGTCAACTCACAATACAGATTCTGGTTATTGTGTTTAAAATTACATTACCAGTAATTGCAGGAGCAGGACGTGGTAGCGTGCTGTGATCTTGGTGGCTCTGCTACTGATCTGGCTGCTGATGTGAGTCTCATCTAAAACCTGCTGAGCCAAGAGACTGAGGCCCTCCATCTCCTCCTGATAAACCAGCACTTCTTCCTGCCAGCTCTGATCATACAAACACCATTAGAGATGTATAAAAAAAATACTTTTTAATATTCTTAAACATACATGAGAGTCAACATCTGATTGAAGTGACCATTTCTAATTTTAAAAGTAGTTTTGTCAATATAAACACAAAAACACAATTGTGCAGATTTGAGAAAACAATGCAAAAAATGTTCATGTGCAAGGCTAACCTTTATAAGCTGGAGCTGGGCATCTTTGGTGGTACGGTCGGACCGCCTGTGGCTACGTAGTTGTGCTTTAGTCTCCATGCCCTTAAGCCAGCTGTCAAGACGCTGAAATTTTTGATCCATCTGTCGAAGTTTGGCCAGAGCACTGTTGAGCTGAGACCGGGTGTCAGCCAGTCGTGCCTGGTACATCCTCCAGTCCTGCTGCAGGGACTCCAGTTCTCGGTCTTCGATCTGAGGCAGGCCCCAGGGAACGACCAGTTCTCGACTGACCAGGAGGGTGTTAAGCAAAGCCTGGCCCTCTGTACAGTGCAGCTGCAGTTCCTGTAGTTACAATGGTGTAAACCTTTAGGTCAAATATTAACTGAATAGAAACTCTGGTTTGATGTAATTATTTTTAGGTTCACTGTTGCATTTCATCGTCTATTTGTTTACCACAACATTCTCTCACTAAGATTTTCAAACCTGCAGCTTTTGAAGAGTTTCCTCCAGCATATCCACATCACCCTCCAGTTGGGTGTAGCAGCCAAGTTTCTCTTGTTCTTGTTCGAGCCAGTCCTCAAATGCATGGAGGCCCCGTTGATACTCGTGATGGGCTTTCACAAGCTCCTCAGCATTAGTTACTGCCCTCTACAGACACAGTGAAGATTGCGAGCAATTATTTCAGAGCCAGTGGTAGATTTTATTTCTTACGGTGTTTGAGATGCTTTTTTCATTTCTGATGAATCTCACTTGCTCGATTTATGTTTAAAAATAGCAAAAAAGGAACTTTGGTTCAATATTTTAAGTGCAATATTTTTTAGACCTTACAGTTATCTAAGACCACACCGACACATATTTCAAATATGATTGACTGTTTAGCACACTGCACATCCTGCTTTACCATGGCATTGTCTTTCATAGTGTTATAGCGCTCTTGCAGTTCTTGAAGCTCAAGTTGAGTGACATAGCTCTCCACGATACTGATACTCTTCGCAGTGATTGTTTCCAGCAGGCTGTTGTGGCTGAGAACTTCCTCATACAGCAACTAAACAGAGTGGAGAAATCATCTTATCATTAAACTTTGATACTTTTGACATTGACATCTGTTGTAATAAAATAGCTCATGTGATTTTGAACCTTTGATTTGCTTATATTTTCAACTTGCAAATCTAAATTCCAAAGTATTTTGTCTTTGTTAAACTACATACATTATTTACAAGCCTTATTAGTATGACAGGCAGGAGTGCAGTACCTTGGTTTTGCTCAGGTTAGCAGTTTTGTCCCTCATCTCTGGGCACTGTTTGTCAGTGGGGTCTAGGCTCTCTTCAACACGCTCCACCCATGCAACAAACTGGCGAACATCCTCCTGGTAACTGGTCCACTGAGACAGGGAACCCTCCAGCTGACTGTAAAATGTAAAGAGGAAAGCTAAGTAAGACAATGGAGTAGCAGTTTTAACTTGTATTTACTTCTGCTCGAGAACTAACGTTTTGCATTGTATGGAGGCAGAGAGCAGGGCATCCCAGGAATCTTTAAGGTCCTGGATTTGCTTTTGGACTACAGGAACTCCCTCAGCTGACGTGTTCCTCTGAACCGACTCTCCTCTTGTGATCAGCATCTTCAGCTGGATCTCCTTTTCCTGACGTGCAGTCAGCAATGCCTGGTGCAACAACAACGCATGCATTTATTTAACTCCTATTATCATGACCGTTTTAAGAGTTCTCTCTAATTCTAAAGGCTAAAGATTCATTTTATACCTCAAGCTTGATCATCCGACTATCAAGGACATTTTTGTCAGCGGTGGGGGAACAGTAAGTCTGCAGCATGTGGCTGGTGTCAGCCACCCAGTTCTGCAGCTCCTTCAGCCCTTGGGAGAAAAGCTGGTGCTCAGTGGATATTCGGTCAATCCGTGATGCCTTCTCCTGTTAAAAAGGAAAAAACAGATCATTACTAATATACAGTAGGTTTAAGAAAGTGAATCCACTGTAGGCACAACATGATAATTACACATGAAGGCTCTTTGGTGACTAACACAGATTTAGTACAAAATACACACAGGAATTTAAATCGTACAAATAATCTTTAAAGTAAGAAAATAAATACATTTATATTCTTTCATAGGCAGTTGGTAACGTCACTGTTTAAAATATGTTAAACATAGTATAGTCAGAGCTCGATCCAGTCTAGTACTGCTGTTTCCTCTCCACCTCTAACCCCAGAAAAGCCCCAGTGCACAGGCAGATTGGGCGGCATTACTGTACCTTGGTCAGGTTGGTTAAAGCTAGGTATTGAGCAGAGAGCTGCGAGACGCGATGCACAAAACCCTTGCCGGCTGCTTGTTCATCCCACAGCAGCTGGGCCTTCTCTTTTAGCCTGTTCAGCTGAATCTCGTGAGAGGCTAACTCCTCAAGCACAGACTGGAAGAGCACAAGCAGGTTATCGAAGAGGCATGCAAGCTGACACACAGATTTCAGACAGTTAAATTCAGACATAGACTGAAGTGTTAGGGATGGCAACATGGCAAAAAGCAAGAATGAGATATTTGGCCAGTGTTATTTTGCTGTAAAGTTGGTCATGACGTGCATCAGGGCCTCTGAAAATAGCTGGTAAACAGAGTATGAGAGACTTAAAGCAATTTTTGTATAAATAAGCCAAATTTTACTCTATATATTCAACACTGTTAAGAAGACATGTGAGTGTAGCAAACAGGAGCAGACAGATGACAGTAATTGAAAAAGTAGGCAAATGGCAAGTAAGCGTTATCTGATGAAAGTTTTTTTGTTCCAAAGAAAGATAGCAGAGCTAAAACACTGTTACAGAGCAGGAAAGATGAGTCTCTGCCAATGACAAGAATAGTCAGGTTGGCACTCGAGCACTGAGTGGTTGTTGAACATGAGTGGTCTTGAACATGTGGGGGGGGGTATTTTTACCTGTAGCTTATGAAGCTCTTGCTTTTTGGCTGTTAGATCATGAAGTCTTGTGCTGCTCTCCTGTACAGCCATCTCTGTGGCATTCAGAAACCCCTGAAGAGGCTCGGCACTCGCCTCAAAGTCTTTCATCTGAGATGAAAGGTTCTAGCACACAGACGATATAAAGAGACTGTTGAAATGTTTCCTTGACCTAAAAAGCATAATAAATGTTTTTTAAAATGGCCCCGCTCAGAGAGGAATTACTTACTTGAAGGTTGGTCTCTCTGTTGTGCAGGTTGGTCATGATATTTTTCCAGTCCTCTTTGGCTGTGTTCATTTTAGCCCGTACTGCATCTACTTTGTCTTTGGCTGCTATAGTAGACACAAGCTCACCGCTGACAACGACAGCATTCAACTTGGACTGACCTTGCTCTCTGTCACTCAGAAACTCCTGCAAACAGGAGATAGGACTAATCATGTAGACATTTTTTATAAATGTTGACATACATATTTTTATTAAATTATTTTGTTTACATGAACTACTGTGAGGTTCTTTTTGTGAATCATAGTATTTATAATATCATTTAATCACATCAACAAGCTTCTTCAAATTGAAATTAGGTAACAAAACCTATAAGTCCGGCAGCCATTAATTGTCTGAAAGCTCTGTTAAAATGGACTCTGAGTGCTGTACCTGAATCTTCTGCAGACTGGATGAGGCCTCACTGAGATTCTGAGGAACATCAAAGCATTTGGCTGTGTTGATCTTGGCATTGACCAACCACTGCTGGAACTCTCTGAAGGCTGAGCGAAACCCTTGTTCCAGCAGCTTCTCTTTGCTCTGGCAGTCTCTCGATGCTTGGAGACTCAGACTAAAAACAAATCAGGAGGAAAAACAACAGCATTTCTTCTCATTGTACTAGTGCAAATAAAAAAGAAACCTATACATTTTGTCAGTTCTTTTGTCTTAAACTTGTTTGATCTTGTTTCTATTTGAGGCCTTTATGCTTCTAGCTTACATACAACCCAAAACCAAAGTCCTTTAATCAGACAGTAGGACACTCATATCGTATAATGCTTTTGTACATTATATGGTAACTTAAAACTTCTGCATTAGTTTGTGGGCGAAATGATACTGTCAAGTGTTTATTATTACGGTTTCTGCCCTATATTTGCTATAATTTTGGACCAAAAAGTAATAGCATTTGATATATTACAAAATAAATGCTATCTAGTGCACCACAAAATAAAGCCTCAAGGGTTTTTACAACAAAAACAATGGTAGTTTTCTTGTTACCCACAATCTCAGTATATCTGTGTAAAAATTAAATTCTCAAGCTGCAACAATTTATCCTGATTAAAAAGAGGGTTGTGCTTCATTTTTACAAGTTCTCACCTATTGTATTCCTTAATGAGAGCAGACACTCTCTCAGATTGTGTTCCCACGTCTCTAGAGAATCTGCACAGATCATTGAGTTGAGTCTTCAGACTATCAGACAGGGGCTCAGCTTTGACAAGTTCCTCCAAAGTTTCCTGGGTGGACAACAGATGTAAAACCGTTGATGAGCAGTCACAAAAACTGTTTTGCATGAGCATTTCATATCCATAGTCATCTACCATTGCCTGTTTACAATCAATGGTGGTTTGTTATATTGGAACTAAAGTAAGCTGTGATGTACCTTTGCTATCTGCCAGCCTTTAACAGCCTCCTCTCCATCGTTTTTTCCCTCTGCTTGGGCCAACCGCAGACGCCAGTCCTTTAGCTGGCGGCTGAGGTCCCGCAGGTCCTGCTCCAGCTGTGCTGAACGGCTGTTGAACTCTTGTTCCGAGCTGGCTATCTGGGAGAGGGCAGTCTCCAGACTAGCCCTTGTTTGCAGTGCTCCACGTTCCCACTGTTCCCATGATGACACGAGGGCTGCTTCCTCCCGCTCCATAGCCTCATAGCCCCCTGAGCCAGTGTGATCCCTGGCCACTGCTCCACATCTTTGAACCCGGTTCAGCCTCTCTCTACCTCGCTGCTTAGAGTCAAGCAACTCCTAGAAAGGGCAAATGGAATGACGACTGTCAACTCAGTCCAATTTCTTTTAAAAGCTGCTCCAGCCCCTCTACCTTAGTGGAAGAAGTCTCTGTAGTATATATGTCTAAATAAAACATGATTTACATCTTTCAGCTGGATGCAGTAAGCGGCAGCATGCATATTCATTTCCTCTTAAGAATAAACAGTTATAATTCCTCACCTGCACTTTAGAGAGCTTTCTTTTTATGGAAACAGAGTCTCCTGACAGATCCGACCAGCGTTGGAGTTCCTCTTTTGCTGAAATAAGCCAGTCGTTGAAGTCTCTCAGAGCATCATGGTACTGCTCATGTTCAGACACAGTGTTTTGCATGGAGTGCACTTTGCCCTTGGTAAAAGAAAAAACACCACGTATGAATGAAGCACTGGCTAAATATAAAAGTGTCAAATAACAGTTGCAAATATTTTAGCTCCAAATAATGGCAGGGTAATTGTTTAGGAGTTTCCCAGTTTGAGTGTTGTCACATATGCAAAATTTAATTGGCTTTCCCAAAAAGTAATCATCAAGGATTCAGCATTATTTGCAAGTACTACTGTATGTGTGTATTTAGATCACCTTGACAACAGCTGAGATATCAGCAAAGTGTGCGTTGAGCTCGGCCCTTGACTCTGGACCAAAGTTCTGGTCTCCAGTTTTTTCGTGCATCTCCACCGCTTTGTCTGTCAGGCGTGACAGTGCTGCTGCATGAGAGTCCACATCAGCCTGGATGGCCCTGAGGCGCTCAAGCAAAGCCGACTTCTCTTTGAGCCCAGGCTGCTGCGGCAGAGTCATTCCCACCTCCTGCTCCACTGACTCCATCCACTGCTGCAGTTGACTTTTAATTTCCTGAAAGTTGGTCCACTGGGCCACTGTCCACTCCAGACGACTAAAAACAACAGGAAATCAATACATTTAACCCTGTTTAGGAGCCATGACATCAGTGGATGCTACAAGCCCCCTGTCTGACTGTAAGCTGGATTCAGATAATAACACATTTTCTACCTGTGACAGCTCATGGAAGTCATCAACATATTGGCCCAGGCATCTTTCAGCTTCTGTAGCTGTGAACAAATGGCTTCCTGCCCCTCCATTCTGTTGTGTTTCAGGACCTGTTCTCCTTTTCCTACAGTCATGTTGAGCTTCACTTCTCCTTCACCCTTCATAAGCAGGATATCCTGCATGTATACAAAAGAGCAAGAGGGAAAAATTGGCAACTCTAAGATCACTTCTGTGTTTTAAAATGTTTTATGATAGCACTGTCATATAAAGAACAATACTTGAGGATCAAGATGTTGCCTTACCTGCACAAGACCAAGTCTTTTCTCCAAAGTCTCTTTATTTCCAACTGTGCTGTTGAGTGATGCCAGGCGCTCCTGGACTCCATTAAGCCAGCCCCAAGTAGTCTGCAGTGTCTCTTCAAATGCTTGCTGCTCCTGTAAAGTGACCTGGCAGCTGCGAAGCCTCTCTCTCACACGCCTCAGTAAGGCCTGGTGCTGTGACTGCAGTTGAGCCGACACTCGTGTCTCACTACCATCACCTCGCCCACCTTCATTCAGTGCCTGTCCCTCCTGACATAAACGCTCAAACGAATCCCTGTACGGAAAGTAGTAAAATGTTTAAATAAGCTTCAAAGAGTACTCTGATGTTTCATTGGAGAGAATTATAAGAGATACATCTGGGGAACTTCTCAGAAAATACTTAGACTTTTATCAGATTTCGCACCTCTCTTTAAGTACTTCCTGCTGATATTCCTCCACTTGCTCAAGCCCCGCCTTTTCAGGACCCCGTTGCTTGGCTTCAAGTAGGTCTGTGGTCATTCTCTTTTCCATGTGCTCCAACCACCACCTGAGCTTCTTAAGGCGTCCCTCAAATCTACAGGGTATTTAAAACTAAATGTTAATGACAGGTTTGATAACAAAGTGCTTTACAGAAGCTGTTGTTTTTTAGTCTGTTACCCCTTCATGAGAGATGCACTGTCCTCCAGGATCTGTTGGTTCTGCCTGCACTGCTCCACAAAGCTGTCCCAGTCCTGCTGGATGGAGGAAAGGTGTTGCTGGACCTGCCCGGCACTAGCCTTCGGGAGATGGAGTAGGAGCTTCTCTCCTTCCTCACAGACTTGAGTAAGGCGGACCTCACCCTCCTCCACACGATCCATGGCACCCTGACAACCCACATCATTTTTGTTTAACTTTCAATTTAACAATTACAAAGATGAACACACTTCAAATTCTACTCCGACCTCCAATAAAACATCCTTTACAATCAGTTTTACCTTGAGTTTCTGTAGTTTGCGTTCCACAATTTGTGTGTCTCCAGATCGGTCAGAGCATTCTTTCACTATCTCCCTCTGTTCTGAAAGCCAACGATGGAACTCCTGAACCAGATCTGAGGGCGCAAGGGGAAAGAAAATCAAGTGTCACAGAAAAAAGCTGGTAATGAAATGTACACTCAATGGTCATGGCATGGCTTTTTATACAATAAAAAAATGAAAGGAAGCTTCAGATTCAGTATCTGATCACAGAATAAAGAAGATGCATTGTTCCATGAACCACTGAAGTTATTTTTGAAGTTACACAGTGTAACCTTGGTAAATCAATAATGTAACGTATAAGTCAAACAACACATTTTATTCAGATATGATTTTCATATTGCTCACCATTGAAGTGCTGCTGAAGACAGTTTTGCAGAGATACTAGCGTCCTTGCAGAAAGCTGGTTTGCAGACTCGTAGGTCTTGATGAGGTCGGTGAGGGCTGAACCCAAACCAGCGAGCTCTTCAGAGGGATACTTTCTACACAGGGTGTTGAGGCTCTCCCTGGTCGAGTCAATGCTCCCCTGCTGGTTTTGCAGCTCTTTCTGGAGGTCCTTAAAAACATGTTTAACAATATAGATTTGTTTTTAAGCTTCCTTACAGAAAACAAGAACTCACAATTTTCAAGAGTACTTTCTAACCTACGTACTGAGATTGAAATTTCCTTCTCTCATGTTTAAAAAGACACATTTCATATATATTCAATCAAAGGCTGTACTTTGCTTTATCACTGTTAAGGCTGTACCTTCACTCTGCAGATGTCCTCTGGATCCGATCCAGTGGGAGAAGAAACAAGGGAATCTTCCATACTCTTTAGCCATGCAGACATCTGTGAGATGTAGTCCTCTAGCTGTTTTCTTTGGGAAGTGAAGTCAGTGAGGTTTCCCTTTGCCTGCTCGTGTAGCTTCTTGACAGTGCTCATCTTTTTACGTAGGTCGTTCTCCAGCACCTAGATACAAGTGCAATAACAGTTATAGGTGAAAGAATTTGAAAATGAAGAGCTGGTTAATGTTTGTTGGTCTGTAAATGTAGCATCACTTCATAAATACATTGAAAACATTAAAGATTTTTAATTTTTTATCACCTGTAATTTAGCAGGGGTCTCTTCACTTTGACTGCACTTCTTCAGCTCTGTAATTCTGTTTTGCAGAGTTTCAAGTTTCTGCTCCTTCTCACCCATTTCAACCTGTGGATGAACATAAGGAGAAAAGTGTGTGTTTTTTAAATATATAATAACAATGATTTATGTTGCAGTGATATGATGATAACTAGGGCATCATAATCTTACCTGTAGCCTGGAGAGCATTGCAAACACTCTCTGACTGTCATCGAGGTTGTTCAGGCTCTCATTGAGTTCAATCACACAGTTGCTTGTCCAGCTCTCAGAGTCCTCGCTGATTTTACGCACATCATCCCACAGTGCCAAACTCTGATTCAGGCGATGGATGTTGTCGTCTATCTTTTCAGAAACCTGAAAAGTTTGATGAATCAGTCACAAATCTTTACTCTCTTTATGTTTTGCATTTTTGTTTTATTTTATGTTGCATTGTTAATGCAACAGTTCTAGATTAATACATTAAGCAATTACTAATTGCTAATTTATTCAACATTATTATTTCTCCAATAGCAATCCATCCGGTTGAAGTCAGACTTACATCCAGCCACTGATCAACAAGTGTCTCCATGTCATCCTTCAACATATGAGCATCACACTCAGGGATCTTCTTCAGTTCAGCCACCAGTTTCTTCCCTTTACTGGAAAACTGATCCAGTTCATGTTGCTTGCTGGCCATCTCTACCTTCACTGTCTCGTGCTACAAATGCATTACAGACAAATAATCATGAAAAGGCTTTTTTTATATATATTTTGTGTGCTTTGAGTTTCTAACAGTTTATTTAAAATGAATTGTGTTGAGGCATCTCTATTAAAAAAAAATTAAAAATACTTTGAACCAACCTTGGTTAGAGACCTCCTGGTCTCCTCATAGTCCTTTAAAACAGAGTTTATCTCAACCAGAGGTTCAGTACTCTCAATGATGCCGCTAATGGAGGTTTTCAGGATTTGGTATTCTCTCATCAGTTCAACAAGGACATTGCACTGTTCTTGTCTGTTGGAGCAAGAGGGAAGTGTATTATTAATACTTGATCATATTTAATTGAACTGTAAACTACCATTGAGTGACACCATTTTAAACAAAACATGTGAACAAGTTAATGATGTGTTAACTGTAGCAAAAAAAGTTAAAACATTTTAGCAAATTGAGATATAGAAACTTTTACACTCCTGAAGCAGTTTTTCAAATGTGTATCATGTGGTCAAGTGCAACAGACTTAGCAAGAACAATCACCCCACTTCGTAAATGTAAATGTAAAATATTTTACTGCAAAGGCTGTGTTCCATAAACTGTTCATTAGTGCTTGAGAGAATCTTTTAACATTGCTTCTATACTTCAAATCCAGACTCGTTACTGTAGTATGGAAACCTTCCACTCTTCAGTACCTCTCTGTTATGAGCTTCTTGGTGTCCTCCCACGTGGTCTCCAGCAGACTTATTTCCCTTAGTACCTCCCCAGCCAACTCTGCATCTCTCTGGGCCAGCTGATTGCCCTTGTCCCTTAGCCACTGCTCCTCATGTTGGTGTGACTGGAGCTCATCCTCCATCTGGTTAAAGAACCTCAGCCTTGAAACATAAAGATAACACGCTGAAGTATCTGTTCTCTCATGATATTAGCACACTATTTTGATCTAAGATGTGATTATACACTCTTGCAATGCTTTACCTCTGCTGTAGAGCATGTAGACTGGGCTCTTTGCAGCTCTGGTGGTCAGCTTTTTCTTCAATGTCCTCCACAGCTTTGAGCAGCTGTTCTTTCCGCTGTCTGAAGGAGGTCCACAGAGCTCCCAGGGCCTCTGCTTCACTCTGTTTCGTACCAAGCAAGTTCCTCAATGCATCCAGTTCAGCACTGAGCGAGTCAGCCAGCATGCGACAGGACTTACGAGAACCCTCGTCAGCACCAATGTGGAGATGGCTTTTGCAGAGGCTGCTGTCCAGATTGACAGCCAGACTCTCGAGCTGGGTGATGTCTGGGACAATAGTCTCCAGCTCCTGTTGCAGCTCCTCTACTTTTCCACGATCCCAGCTTCCAGCGCTCTCCACAGTCTGCTTTAGACCCCGCAGCACACCTGCAGCCACACTGTGTGTCTGCAGAAAAGCCTCAAGCCTTTCAAGACACTCTAACTGGAGATCAGCTGTGTACTTGGCCTCCATGTAGGGCTGCAGACAGCTGTCGGCTCTGCTGCGGAAGAGCTGTGCATCGCCAGGCTCACAGAACTTACAGAGCTTCTCTGTCTGCTGTTCCAAGCTCTGTCTCACACCAGACTGTTTCTGTATGACCGCCTGGGTCTCCTGTCAAGGTTATTGATAGATGATTAGTTACTGCTCTTAAGAAAATACTATTCGTCTGCTAACTAACTAAGTGGCTCTGAAAGGAAACATCCTGCATGCAAAACACATCAACAGTTCGTCTGTGTGATTCTTACTTTTACTTGTGTGGTGGCAGACTGCAGGTTGCCGATGTTGACTTGAGAGGCTGAGTGCAGATTTGAGAGCATGGTCTCACTCCACTGGGAGAATTTAAGCAGTGCCTGATCAAACTGCTCGACCAGTGAGAGATGGTCCTGAAGCTCTTTGATTCTGGGGGAGGAAATGGAATCATAGTGAAACAGATAGGTAACAAAAGACTACCTTTATGTAGCATTCTTATGTATACATTTCATTCAAATTCTATTAAATGTAGGCTGAAGTTTGCCACAAACAGAAAAACATCTATAAGTATTTAAAATTCTGATATTCCCTCACTGTTACAGGTTCTGTGTTGAATATATGCATAGCCATACTCTTTGATTGAGTGTACATATGCCTTGTGAAACTGTTTTAATCAAAGATACACTCACGATATTGAACTTTCTTTATCACGCACGTTTCCTGAACAGCATGTGTATGTTTACAATATAGGAAAAAACGATTCAGTTTTGTATGATCTTACCTCTGGGGGAGGACTTCATTTTGAACATGCAGTCTCCTCTGCAGGGTCTCCAGCTCATCTTTCAGCTGCCGCACTCCCTCTTCTGGTGCCGTCGAACACAAGGAAGTCCCCAAAGATACTAGTTCAGCATGAGCAAGCTCGAGAGATCGGACCTCAGAGTACAAGGCCTGCAAGAATGTGCGTGCATGCTCAATTTATTCATCATGCTGAGGGGGTTAAGATGTGTTGACAAAAATCTGTTGGGTAAGATCTTGCTTTGCTATTGTAGAACCATTTGAGTGTGTATTGTGTGTACCTGCAAGTCTTGTAGCTCTGTGCAGAGTTTGGTCTTATCAGCAGAGAGACACTGACTCTCTGGTTTGGAAGCAGACTCACTCCTCTCCAAGCAGGAAACAAAGTTTGAACGCTGTTTCTCATACCTGAAAGAAGACAAATCATATCTTCAAATTATATCTGTCTGTCTTGGATTAACTATTGGTTTGATTTCACTATATGCTTCTAAAAATGTCTATGTTCTGTTGGATAGCACGTACTTCTGCCAAAGAGAAAGCAGGTTCTCCAATGTACTTTGTTTGTCCTTTGCCTCCTGTACACTTCGGTCATAGCTGGTGTTTAGCTCTGACACAGTCCTCTCTGCATGCTCTTTGTCACTGAGTCTTCGAGCACCAGCTGACAGAGACAGCAAGGTTCCCTTCAGCTTCTCCAGATGCTGGCAGACATCCTGGGAAATAAAAACACAAGACGGTTACCTACATGGCATTATCTGACAGCTAGAAAATAGTAGTACAAGGTAAAATGATCTAATCACCATGTGGTTCTGAAGAGCTTTGTAGGTCTCTGATGAGGAGGTGCAGGACTGGATAGGGGACTCCAGTTTTGTGTGTTGCTCACTGAGAGATGCTTGCACCTAGGAAATGACAAAGATTTATTGTAGGCCTATATCTTCCCTAAATTGAAAGAGTATATCGTCACAAGGTTTACTCCTATTTACCTCGTCAATGCTCATTTTGAACTTTTGCTGGTGAGAGGAGCTTTCCTCCAGCTGTCCATTAAGCTGCTGTACGCTCTCCTTCAGCTCCTCCCAGTACCTGCCGATCTGGGTCAGTCGGGCCTTGATTCGGGCTGCCTCACCTGAAGATACAAACTGGGCTAGTGCCTGGGAATCTGCCTCTAACTGAGAAGGAACCTCAGCTCGCTCCCGAAGCTCTGTACCAACATCCTGGACATGCAGGGAAGGATGCAAAACCACAAAAAGGACAAAGTTTGAGAAATTGCTTTATTAACTGTACCCGTAAAGTGGAGGTAAAGTTAGAACCTAGGTTGGGGGTTTTGTATGTTAAAGGCATTGCAAATTCTTCTTCATTATTTTAACATGTATACTAAAGAGTAACATCAGATCCTAAAATCAAATGTGTGTATCAAGTATTTCTGTGCCTGGTGTGGGCTTGAGCAGGTGTCAAAAGCAGATATAATATGTCAGTACTTGGGCAACAAAGGTCCCTTTCATCACTTTTTAACACCTTAAAAAAACCCATTGATCAACGAAGATTACTGTTAGGAAGCAATTTAAAATGGTCAAAGCTTCACAGTCCAATGCTCTGTACCTTAATAGCATTGATCTGTTGCTCGAGAGGAAGAGTGGAAGGTTTCAGTGCATCCAGCTGCTTTTCTTTCTCAGATATCCACAAGGAAAAGTTTCAAACCCAGTTCCAAACTGATCCCACTGAGTTTTCATTTCCTCTAGGGTCTTGACACTAAAACACACAAAGAAATCTTAAATTATAAATTGGGTAAGTAATACTTGGCATTCATGAAACAAATAACCAGTTACTTGGGTTGGGACTATCAGCTGTTTTTAACTACAAAATATTCTTAATTGATTGTGAAATGACCGACTGTAAGAATGAGAATTTGTTTGTGTGCTACATCGTCCTTTGTGGCAAACTGTTTTTACTTGGAACATTGTCTTTTTAGGCTAAACATATAATGCATTTAATCAACCCAGTCGTAAGACATTATTTAGAAAGAGCAACAACAGAAAAAAAAATCCTTTGTCTTACTCTTTTTTCAGCCCTGCCTCTACTTTGTCCACTTGCTCGCTCAGAGAACGGGCTTGTTGTAGGAGCAGAGTCTTGTTTTTTGGACCAAGCTGGATTTCTGTTGTTCTCTTCAGCAGAGTGTTCATATGTGATGCTTCTGCTTCACACTGCTTTAACATCACCTGTTTCAAAAAGAAAATTGATAATCTTCATTTGACTGATTTATTTCAAGCAGTTAAAATGTCAAGAGTAAACTACACAGTGTGACAACTACAGTAAAAAAAAAAAAAGGGGCAAACTTGACATACTCTGGCCTGGTCCAGTTCAACAGCCAGGCTCTCTGGACTGCTGAAGTTCAGTCTCTCTCCATTGTGGATCGTGCCTTATTAACAAACTCCTGCACAGCCTCCTGCTGGCTGTCAAATTCCTGCCAGGCTGCCAGTGTGACCTGGGGATGACAGAGCCCAAAGTCTTTTCTATAAAATCTAAACATAACCAGTCTAAAAAGAACAAAAGAGATAATGCTGTTTGTTTAAGTGTAGTACAATGTGTAAAACAGAAATCATTTTCTAATGGCTGTACTCATAAATCATCATCACAGCCAAACAAACACACTGACAAATGACACATGTAGTGCCAAGTCAGCTAAAACCACATCATTAAGTATGCAGATGACACCACCATGTTTGTCATTTCTGTAGAAGTGATGAGTCAGCATGTTGGCACAGGAAGTACTAAGTTTATACTCTGTGAAAAGATCAGTGGTTCTGCTGCACCGTTTGAAACATCAAGATTATTTGCATGCACCACTCAGTATCAGTGCACCCTCTTACACAAAAAAGAGCGACAGAGTGTCCATATCAAGACTAATACATCCATCCTGTTAATGTTCTATTTAAGCAACATTGATAATGAGGTGGCTGACTTACTACAATACTATCTTCAAAAGCAACAATCAAGCTTCAGAAGGGAAGTCCTTTAAGCAGGCGACTTTAATCAGACCCCGTACAGAATAATTTTCCAGAAATGCTGCTCCCTAATCTACTGTATTCATAATTTTACGTCAATAAAACAAAGTACCAGTCAACCATGGTTTGCTTAACTTTTCTTATTCTGTTTTTTTATATATCTTTAGGCAAAGAACATTAATTTACTGTTGTTTAATTTTCATTTACAGCTCTGGGGTAGGACTATTTAAATCATTCGAAGAAGAAATACAACATGTGCAAAAAAGCAGCACACATAAAGGATGTTATAGTTGAAATGAAATAAAAAACAATTAAATAAAACTTTGAAGAATAGACTGAATTATATCAAATTTGATATCCACAATATTGCATACCATTTGCTAATATTCTTCAAAGAAAGGCTGAAACAAAGTGAGCGAGCCTTCATTCTGAATTTGTTTTTTACCAAATTATTAGGAGCACCAGGGCTTACTTAATCAGCTGTAAGATGTTTTTACTAACAGAGAGAGAGAGAGAGAGAGAGAGAGAGAGAGAGAGAGAGAGAGAGAGAGAGTAAACAACATTGCCCCACAGGGAGAATGTTTCTTTGGCACCATGCTTTGGTCTGTTTCTTCACATGCAGATGATCACATATCTTTATCAGCATTTGATTAGACGCTAGACAGTTGCTTCGCATAAAAAAACACAGTGTCCTAATGTTTTTATTAATAATGCCCTAGTTACAATACTCACCTCGAGGCTTTGTTCCTGTGAATCCATATTCTGCTCCATTTTGCTGAGTGTGTTTTCTAAATTCTGCAGGTCCTGCTGCAGAGTCTCCCCCAAACCTTCCTCAGCCTGGAGCTGCTGACCTCTGGTGATGAGCTGCTGGACGTCCTTTCTCTTCAGCTTGAGGCGTTTCAACAGTTGCTGTTTGATATGAATGACACGAAAAGTGTGTTAATCTATGAGTAAACTATGCTTTCATAAAAAAATCAAAATAAAGTTAAAGTTAGTTTATTTAATGTCCTTCAGTACCTGGTGAACAAGAAGTAGCTGCTGGGCTTCTCTGACAGTTGGACAGTCCAGTATTTTGGTGACCTCAGCCTGAGCCTCTTTCTGTCCATTAACAAGATCGTCTAAAGTTGTTTGTACCTCTTCCCTGAACTGTACACAGTCCCCCACAGCCAGAACCATCTTCTCAGCCTGTAAGATATAAGAGAGAAAAATACAGTATAAAAATAGACCTAAGACTATGCTCTTATAACATCCACCAATCAGCAACATTTAATTCTATGTAGGTTTTTAAATATAATACATGTCCCTGAAGTTAGATAAAAACATTTCAGGAGTATTCTGTACACCTCCAGAAGGAATATAAAGACAACATTGCGTTTGACACCCACAAGTTTGAATTTCACCTACCTCTAAGAGAGATGCAAGAAGACCCTTGAAATCTGTTGAGAGCTTACTCAGAGCGCTTGCTTGCCTCTGAGCATCGCTGTCAGCACTGATTTCAAAGAGGACAGCCATTCGGGCTTTCAGCCAGCCAAGATTCCCCTCCTGTAGCTCTGCATCATTCCTCAGCTCCTGCGAACAACAAAAGAGGGTCATACAGCTCATGTGACCCAAAGAATCATCTGACACAAAGTGTATTTACGGTTCCATCGCCTCAGCAGTGACACTGTCAGGTCAGTAGCTCAGCAGAAGTGACACATCACAGAGGAGGTGAGGAGACATCTCTCAGTGGGTTGTGAAGCTATGGGGAGAGTGGAAAAACTCACCATGATGGTGGTCTTCACCTGGCCATATTTTCTGGGGTCATTGGCTCGGTTTCTCAGCAGCCTCAGCTGGCTTTCTTTCGAAATTAGCCAGCAGGAGAGTTCAGCATACCTGATTTACAACAGTGGGAGAAAATTGTAATGAAAACACACAAAAATGTGTTTGTGAAATAAAAGGCTGCATTCCTATACATTGCAAATTATGCTTTGATTACAGGCCCACTGCTTAGTCATGGACTTTAAAGCAGTTTCTTAAATACGTTCTATCTCAAAAAAACAATTAAATAATTCGGCCTCCTTTATGTTTACTGTTTCGGTAACTACGTGCATGTTTGTGGTAACCATGTAGCGGACATGGATCATATTAGGGAGTCTTTGTGTTGAAGAAATGCTGCAGCAGTCAAACGTTGTATTTGTTAGTTATCATGGCAAACATTCTACTCAGCTCATCTCTCTCTTTCCTCATTTCAGCTCAATGACAGAATTTAAACATGATTAATCAGGTATGTAAAGAATGCAGGATGCTGCCTGGTTAATGAACAATCCAGCCTTCTGTTTCTCCAAGAATACTACAACAGTGAGAAAAAGGCCAAACCCCACGATGTACTCTCTGCATGTCCCTATCCAGCATGTATGTACTCTGCAACTTTCTAACATATTTTAAAGAGGACTAAAACAAACTAAACAGATATTGAACCTTGTGTTGTAGTCATTCCATTTATCTTGATGCTGCATTAACTTCTGATGTGTGTTCTCGATTTCCTCTCGGACCTCACAGAAGTCCTTTCTTGCTCTTTCCAGAGTTTGGTGGACCGGGTCACCCTCAGGGAGCTTTTGGCATAGTTCTTCCATCAGTTGCAGCCTTTTCTCACAGATAGACTGGGGGCCCTTTTCCCTAAAGAAGGCCTACAGCACAACAAAAACAATTAAAAAGTAGTTTGAGATGTTACCACCGTTACGACATTATAGCATACATTTATATTGTGATAATCATGAAGCTAGTGTGTTAGTGTTTTACACACAGTCTGCTGCTGGTTAAGGACACTGTCAGAGCCTCAGTCCTTTTGGATCATGTACATCAAAATCTTCTCCTACACAGCCGTGAATTTGTACTGAATAATTTCACGCTGATTTAATCAATACATGTAACTAAGACAGCCAGCCGACCAGCTACTCGGTCCTCACCCTGTGCTCCTTGATGAGCCTTTCACTTCCCATACTAGCCAGATTGCGGTTCTCCCTGGTCACCTCCGCCTGACACTCCTGCAGCAACGCCATCAGCTTGCTCTTCTCCACCTCCACTTTAAGATGAAGGAGGTGAAAAGGGGAGTCTGTTTGAATATCCTGGGAAGGAGAAATGCAACAATTACTAGACCAGATTAAAGCAATTTGTGTTGCAAATTCTGTTTCTGTCTGCCTATTTTTATTGATCCCTCATAATAAAAATACAGTAAAACAAATTTCTTTGTAATCTACTGGAATGCTCATCCTAGTGTTTTTCAGTATGTGCCACTAACCTTCCAGTGTTTGTGCAGTTTCCTGACTGTTTCTTGCAGTGACTGCTGCTCCTGTTCTGGCAAAATGTCTGTGAGCTCATCACAAGCCTTGAGGAACGAATTCAAGACCCTCTGGTCCAGCTGACCGAAGAACTCCTGCAGAAAAACAAAACCTCATCATGTGTCATACTTTGGACGGAATAAGACAAACCTTATTAAAATGCATTCTTCTTATTTTGTTTGAGTTATGAATACATCACTCTGTGGTATTCTAATAGACCAACATAACACTATGCATGTATAGACCTAGTAACAAGCGAATACCAAGGATTTTAGGCATCTATTTATGTTCTTACTGTGTGTTTCTTGAGCAGCTCCTCTGGGTTGCCTCTTTCTGTCAGACAATTCTGTGCCATTTTAAGAACCTTCTCGAGCTCTACCCGTGACTCATCAAACCTCTTCATGAGGCTGCTGTTTGCCTCCACATGTTTGCGCCACTCTGAAGAATCCTTAATCATGGCCTACATACACAAAAAAAGTAATTTATTAAATGCTTAAAAGGTCTGAAAGCTTAGTGGAATGGAAATGAGCCTTAAAGGTTTACTATACCTGCGATGAGGACTGCAGGTCTGACACTCTCTTCTGCAGCAAGCTCATGTCCATGTGCTGGAGGGTTTTACTGCTATTCATTATTTTCTGGATGGTCTGGTGGTTTTTCTCTATCGCTGTCAGACACTTCTTACAGCTGTGTGTGAAGGTCGCCAACTCCTGCAGCGTTCGATGAAGAGCAGGGCGTTAGCCATTTATTCCTATCTTGAGGCCTTAACTTTCAGTGTGAAAAGTCTTCTTTTATCTATTCTATAAAATTGGCTGTAACTGTACAATATTGAAACTGAAATTCGTTACCTGGCATTTCTGTTTAAAGTCAACAGGTCCCTCAGAGTCGGTGGTGATATGACTGGCCTTTTCCAGAGCCTGGTAGAAGCCCGTTATGTTTTTCTCCATTTCTTCCAGTGGTGGTAATAGAGACTGAGAATCCCTCAGCAGAGGTAAACATCTCTCCCTTACCTATTTGAAGGGGAGCACAATGATTAGAAGCAAATCACAGGTGACTCTTATATCATTTTGAAAAAACTGTGTCCCCTTTTTATTTGTGAATGTTTGAGGACAATTTTTTCAGTCATTCATTTCACAAATCTTTGAAACAATAATGTGCATGTTATTAGCATTTGATTAAAAACTGGCTGCCCTTTATTTGAATTATACATCACATTTGAATTTTGTCCAGCACCAATCTTATCTGCAATGACTTCCTTCTCAACGATGGGCTTACTGTTTATTCAGATAGGTTTATTAATCTCATGTGTTTAGTGAAATGTACACACCTTGCTCAGCTGCTCTTTGACAGAAGCCATCACGTCCATCATCTGGGAAACTTCCTCCTGTGGAGTGTCTTTGGTCAACAGCTGAGCAGTACGGCTCGCTGCCTTGCAGGCGGCTTCCATAGCTGGCACTTTGTGCTTGATTTCCTGCAGCAAGTAGGGTTACATCGAGAAAGGATTTTTCATTGTACAAAAGAGAGATACATCTTAATCTAACTTGCTGAATATTTGAATCTATTTACCTCAACATCCTGAGAAAAGGCTCTGACGTTCAGGAAAGATACTTGGACAGGAGCATTCATCTTCTCATTGGTTGCATCCATGAACATTTTGAGGGTATTAATCCCATCATGGTAGTCTTGCCTCAGTTTATCTACCTCATCTGCTCTTGCATACTGCAAACGATACAGAGGTGGACAGAACATGATTTTTTTATTTTTCAAATAAGCCGATGTAATAAGAGTATTTTTATAGATATATTTTCATGGTAGATTTTTTTTCAAAGGGTATTGTATTTACATGTTTGACTTTGACAAACAGCTCCCTCCATCTCCCGTTCAGAAGAAGAAGCTGCTGCTTTAGATCTCTTGAAACTGTGTCATCGCAGGTCTCAATAAGGAAATTCCCTGCATCGTTCATGTCCATGTGCTGCTGCACCCAGTGAGACAGGTTTCTGAAGAAATCCTGAAAGAATATAAACCAGAGAACTTAACTATTTGTTGTAGTAGATACACACTCTCCAGCCAATCAGTATAAATTGTTTCTGTAATATTCCTTTTATACTTAAATAGCAACTAAACTTCTATAATTATATTAAAAATATGTTTATCATAACTAATATTTTTTGTTGTACTTACACGTTTGGCATTCTCTGACTGATTGAGCATCTGCTCAGCGTCCTCTAACCAGGCCTGCAGAGCTGCTACTGTGCTACTGTACTTCTCCCAGTTAGAGATCACCTCCTCCAGCATGCTGCGGACACTCCGCACCTCCAACGCCAGGTTCTTCCACTGAGCTGTCGCCTCATTGAGGAATTTACTTACCCCTTCTGCTTCATCAACTGGAAGTGGATAATAAAGAAGGGGTTAAGTGTAGTTCAAACTCATTTGGTTACCAACTGTGATTGATTATGTCTGCTGAATGAGGGGCCATGTTGCTGATGCTCCATTATGTTAGGTAAGAGAAGTTGTACTAAAATAGCATTCCGGCTAATGCAATTAATGTTGCTTTTTCATGCATAATGCAATATTGGGATTTTTCAATTCTGGGGATTGAAAGAAAGTTAGAGAGGAAAAAATGCAGTGTCACATTACAGGGAGAAATGGCTCAGGAGACGGGCAGAGTTCAGGTTTTAAAGATTGTCAGGCTGTATTTGGACTTACCTTTGTTACAGGTCTTAGACCCTGTAACATGAAATTAATAATAATAAGACTATATATCATACATAGATATCCAAATATACATAAACTTAAAATTGTAAATAAACAGAAGAAGAGAAGAGTCTTACTTTGACTGTCAGACTTGACATAAACCTCTGCAGCTTGTTTGAGGCCTGTGTAGATGATCTCATACTGCTCAAAGAACCTGTGGCCTTCTACGAAAGTCTGGAATAGAAAATAAAATATCAATACACAGATTAAAACGTTAAATAGAAGTCCCATTGAATTACAACAACTATCGATACTTGGGACTTACAAGGTAGGTTTGCATCAGCAGCTCAACGGAGTCCCTTCTGCCATATTTAATGATCCAGGACTTGAGCTTTGACTCGGCTAACACCAGGAATGCCATGAGGCGATACTTCATTTCACAGAATTCCATTTTGATCAAGTGAGCATGTGATGATGTGGACACAAAGTTGAACCTGCATATCAAAAAGATATTACATAATCGTAAAAGAAAAACAAACTTTTTTGATTTACTTTTTGAAAAACAGAAGTGTCTAAATTCTAGCTGACGCAACGTTTATATGAACACAACATTTAAAAGACACTGTTCATGAAATGAATACACAAGACATCAAGTAATCATAATAACTCTGATGGTGAGCTTACCGTTCAGCCATATCTTGGAGTTGTTCAGGTGGAACAGGTACCCCATTCACTGATCTGTCCCGGTGGATCTGTTGGAAGGGTTGTCTGTGCGATTCCAAGTTCTTTAAAACCTCCTAAAAAATGTACTCACATGTTATCATGCATACATTGGCTTATCTGTGAACAGTACCTGTATATGATGATACATTTGTCTAATGTGTTACCTTGTGCTGCTCGAACTTTCTATGAAGAACATTGGCTGTCTCTTCATGAGCATGATGAACAGGAATGTCCTCTCTCAGAGCAATCTCTGCCCTGTGAAGCCAGGCTCCAATCACTCCCAGCGGACCAGGCAGGGACTTGTCCAGATGGATGTGCCAGTCCAGCAGCTGAAATTGACATCAATTAAAGAGCCCACTCTACCAAAGCAAGATCTCAACGTCGAGGAGGGGGATGCAGATCAGAACATTTCCACATGTTCACAAGCATTTAGGCTACAAAAGCGTTTTATGCCAGTTTAGACAAGCTGTGGATGTCCAGAGAGGCAGAGTGCCCAATGAACAAAAACTCCTCTGTTCCCATCTACTCCCCTCTGAACAAACTCTGATTCAAGTGCTTGCACCCCACTGAACATTCACAGGCAGCAAGTGAAGAGAGGAGCCATGTCATGATATGAAAACTATCAAAACAGCAATGTAATTTTCAAGCAAAGGAAAACATAAAAAAATTAAAAAAAACACAGGAAAATATTTTATTGACCCTCAGGCTATATTCAGAGTATGATTAATTAAAGTAATTAATTCTGTGTTCTTTGTGGCTAGACTATAAATTATTCATGTTGCACAAAAGTATGCAGTACAATTACCCTGGCAGACACACGGTCCCACGCCTGTTTGACCAGAGCCTGGTCAACAGAGAGCTTGCCATCTCTGTGGATGGGCTGAAGCAGCGGCTCTGTCTGCTTTTTCTTCATTTCATACTGCACACGGAAGCTCTTAAATGCCTGAAAAATAGATATGTGGTCAAATAAATACATTTCTTTGTCAAAACACAATGTTACATACCAGTGCACTCAGTCTTTCCAGGCCTGACTCACCTGATATTTGTCAGTGAGGTTTCCCTCTGCTCCCTGGGCACGCAGGACATCTCTCTCCAGCTGGTCTAAAAACACCTTCAGCTCTCTCAGCATCTTCCGCTCCTCTCTCTGTCACAGTCAGGGAAGATGTAGTTCAGATTCATTTTAATTCATTTTACACTTTTAATCCTGGGTTAATATCAGCATGCCAGTATTTTGACATTCCAGAAACACTTCATCCAATCAGTTTAAAAGTACAAAACACACAGTTAGAGTCTTGAAAAAAGAGTTGTTAAAATTTCACATACGTTAAAGATTAGTGTTAGAAGTAATAGAGGAAAAAAGAGGTTTTGAACTGGTATCCTAAATGTCTATTATTTGGTTTGTTAGTTTAGTGAAACATACCTCAAGCATTTGTTCTATATCATGGGCACCAAACTATCCAGGAAAGCAGCAAGGCACACAAAAAGATGCAAAGACCATAAAAGACATTAGAATAACAAGGCGGGAAAGCAGAGTAGAGGAGGAAAAGATGAGATGGGAACCCACTCCAAACAGAAAGCATGCAGCTTATGACCTGAACTCTCACCTGTAGTACTGGCACTGAAAGTGCAAAAGTTGGAATTGAGCCAAGAAGCAGCTTAATGTGCACAAAGAAAATAAGTAGATAGAGAAATCAAATGAGTCTAATGACGGTGAACAAAATGAAGATGATTATATTACTGCCGTGTTCATGCTGTGATAATTCTGATTCATGTGGATTTTTGTGCTAAATCATGAAAAATTGCAGGCTCCAGTGTATGACAATAAAGCTAAGCAGGTTGCATACCCAAAAACAACCTGTTAGACCTCTGCATGTGGTCATTTTCTATGAATTATGAGGCTTTTTTTAAAAAAAAATGAGGATGGCAACGATATAAACAACATGCAAAATGTAAACACATCGAAATAAATATTCTGCAGCATAGCAATATGTTATCCCAGAAAAAGCCACATTTATTACTGCCACATAAGAGTTTAATATATAGTATCATAACTTTAAATAAACTACCTCATCTTGTTGTCCATCAGTCTCTGAGTGGTGGGGGTTCGGGTAGTGCTTGAGGAACTGAGCCACATACGTCATGATAGATTTCTCATCTGGCTTGTCTACATCCACGTCTAAAGTGAAACAAAATATCATGTCAGTTTATCACTTTAAAGATGGCCTCAGAAATAAGGGATCCATAAGACAGAGCCATAACAAGCTCTAAGTTAATATGACATTTTGAAAAAGTATCTTGCATCCTCAAGAGGATAAATCTCTTAAGTCTAACAGCTAATTATACATGTCTCATCTCCATCCTTGGCCTGATGTTTCTAGAAATCGGGGTCAAACCCCCGTAAAAGCAGAGAAGTTTCAGTGCAGCTCTTTTGCAATAAAGCGTCACGACTCTGCTGGTGAAGACAGGACTGCAGAGCCACTGCAGGCTGCTTTCTTCCACAGACTAAAACTCAGCCACAAGAACAAACAGAATTTTAATCCTCTTGAGGTTGTCAAGGATCTTTTCAGCCCACATTTTGTTGGAAACAATCAAGCAAATTAATTAAAAGAGTAACACAATTTCATGAATCTTGTATTTTACACCAGCTGTTGTGTTTAAAACAATGACTTAAGCTATTTAACACTGTTAAGCAGGTTATATTATTCTACCACAATGAAATCTTATGCAAAAAGGAAAGCTACCTTCTGGATCCAGCAGACGGGGTATTCCAAGCTCGTTTTCTGCAAGTGCAAAAGCTTCCTCCAAATTCTCCCTGTTGCTCCTCCTCCTCACCACCTGCATGTCCACCAGGTCTGGCCTGATGGCGTGCACCACCGACTGGAACGCAACACCATCACGCCAGCTGGGACCAAAGTCCTTCACCTCAATTCCATGATGCCTGAAAAACAAATACATGGGCATTTTTGTTTGGCAAATTCCAATCAAAAAAACTTCCAAGTATGTAACATATTACAACATCTGGCAAAAAAAGGTCATCTAAAAGGGACATACTTTGCTGCTGTGCACTGCACCCATCTGAGCAGGGCCTTCTTGGCATTGCCCTGAAATTTGTGAACAACCTTTCTCTTCATGGGAGGGCTTCCTGTTTCAGAGCTGGCTAAACTCTCCACAGAGGAGTTGCTGTTGGACAGTGCCTGGAGGGCTGGTAAGTTGCTGGTTAACTCTTCAATCTAAATGAAGAGCAGAAGTAACAGGAGAGGAAGAGGTTGTGCGGTGACCATAGCAACATGAAACAAATATGGCATTATTCCTTTGCATGGATCTGAATCTGCAGTTTTGAGTCATTTAGTCCAGGAGTTTGTCAGGTGTTGGGTTTATTTGTAGGGTATCCACTCACAGAGGAGTGAGAACAGTAATTAAACTCTCTAGTTTTAGAGAGTTACCTGGAAGTAGAGGATAATGGTCCATATCAGGCCAAGAACGATTGATGGTCGTCCATCTGCGATGTCCGTGGCATGAATGTTAACAAGTTTGATCTGGAACAAAAGCCAAGTAGAGGATTATTCCAGAAATAAGTCCCATATAGAAAATCTGGAGGTGAGCATCAGAAGCCCCTTTATTTTCATTCTGTTTAAAAGTTGCAAGTTCCTTTTTATTCTGCTTAAACTAACAAAGCTAGGTCTTTGATGCAGATTGTTACTTTAATGCAGCCAAAACAGGAAAGTAGAAACAGCTAGTGAAAAGGGTACCAGAGGAAAAAAGAAAAAAAGAACACTAAACAAAAAGCAGAGGTGACACAGCACTGCAAACCTTGCTGCACAATATGCCATATCTACATCTCTACATTTGAGCAGCTCAGAATTGTTGGGAGCCAGACACATCATTAACCAGTGCTCTAGCCAAAATGCATCAAAATGCATGTCAGTAGAAAAAGAAAAATGTCTTGATTTAAGTTTCAAAGTTGTGCTCAGTACTCATCATGCATTAAATAAAAAGAATGCATACAGTATAAGATCACACAGGGCGTTTAATGGCGACTGACCGGAGATCCTCGATACACAGACTGAAGGCACACATTATGGGAGAGAGATCACAACAATGTAAGTCCTCAGGGAACCCGCATGAAAGTGGGACACAGGCTTTATAGAGCCAAGAGATTCAGAGAACGGTTATGTAATCAAGAAGTCCTGTCTCTGTCTGCTGCTCCTCTGAACATGGTGCATGTTGTACACACACTTTGCACTAACAAATTTCTAGTGTGCAGCTCTCATTATCTCATTATCATACCCTGGACTTCTCTCCAACAGTTTTAATTGTATAATATTTAACATTTCAATGTTAAAGTAGAAAATGCTGTTATGATGGATTGGTTACCTTTCTGCCTTCGAGGAATTTGAGTGCAGTGCCGATGTTTGAAACCCAGTGGATCCTCTTCAGCTGGCGGCCTTGCTCACGGGGCTTCAGACAAGGAGGACAGAGAGATAAAATCAAGCTGCTTATTTCAACCTCTGGTAGCTATGAAATATGGTAAGACATTATCATGTTAATCATGTTCAACATGCTGCACAGTACGATAGTGAAAGTGGCCAGATAGCATTAGCAGGGTTTAACATACATAAATTATCTGATGAGCGCCAAAGCTGAATAAGAGCAGGAGTAAAATCTTGTGCTTTAAAACACGAGTTAGAACTGACTTTGATGAGGACCGACTGAATCGAATTTCAGGCTGAAGCAAACCAGCAGGGGTGAACTCCTGAAAGCATCAGGCAGCTGAGGCACTGACTCATTTGCCGAGCACCAGCTTTACAGAGGACATGGCAGTTTGTTTCAAGACAGTTCTGATTACTAAATCCCTCTCAGAGTCTGTGTGTTACTCTGTGCATAAAGCAGGCAGGGAAGAGAAAAACAGACAGTGGCAAGCCGACAGCTTCTCACAGTGGGAAGGCTTAGATCTAATCATGGCTCTGCAGTTTCTGTGCAGTGATCCAGAAGTGTAAAGGGCAGCCACAAAGATTGTATTTATTTGTTGTGTAATATGAAAATATAAGGTATGATGATGTATTTACGGTTTTACTTTAACTAAGACATTATGGATGTATGACCTTAAAAGATTTTGTTGATAGAGTCTGATTGAATTGGAGTTTTAGTGTCAGAGTTCAGTATGTGTAATATTCAATCAAAAATGTAAGACACTTTTATATGCAGTTGGCGGAGTGGATCAGACGTAGTACTTACAAGTCGCTGGCCAGACAGAACCTCCAACAAAGCCAAGAGCTTCACCCCATCTTTGATGTCCTCGAAAAGGTCGTTAATCTCGAGTGGTGGTTTGTACTGGGAAAAGAAATGATGCTTTAACAGCACTGAAACTCAACAAATTACACATATCATAATAAGAGATGAATCAAGTTACTTATGGTTCCAGGAATGTCACATTGGTAATGCTAAAGTGTGAGAGGATATTGGTATTCTAAACCATTAGCAGGATGCAGGAGAAACCAAATGCTGTTTGTGAGAAACAGGCTTGTTAGCAACAGCCAGAGAGCCTCCCTGCAGCTGAAAAGATGGTGCCTTTTTCTCGGCAGTGGCTCCGTGCCCAGACCTGAGGCGATGGTACACTTTTAACCCTACTCCCGACATAATATCCACACATTTACAGAACTGTACAATCAGATTAATGACACATTATAACCTACAGCGAAACACAAAGATTTAAAGGAAACACATGTTTATTTATTTGCTAGAGTGAAGCTTTAATTAAAAGAAAGCTCAGCATGGGAATTCTTGATTTGGCACCCCATCCAAGCCATTTCACAACTCAACTTATTCCATGACAGGATCCAGTTGGACGCCTATGTGGGGCAAAGCAGTGTGAAGAGGCAGGAGTCTGCCGTGTTATTACGTTCATGTGCATTTCTCTTCTTTCTGTCATCAGAGAACTGTAGAAGATGTCTCATGTTTAGAGTTAGAACCTTTTTTTTTTTTTTAACATTTATTAAGTTGTCTAAAATGTATCCCCAAAAAAATAATGCTGCATGCACCGATTTCAAAAGCCAACGTGTATCTGATGTGTATCATTAATTTAATGCTAGCAAGATAGTATACCTAACAGCTGATTCAAAAGAGAGTTTTTGTAAATGGGCAGAAGTCACCGGTTGGAAAAACTCTGATTTGTTTTCATGGTCAAACTTCAAAGAAAGTGTTGGCAGTGTGGAAGTCTTACACTATCACAGAGAAAGATCACAGAGGGACATGCAGTTTGTAGGACATGTTCCAGTGACATTTAAAGAGAGACTACTAGCAACAATTCAAATACATCCAATCACGTAACTCATTTAAAAAACAGACAGGAAGAACCACAAAGAAGTAAATAAAAGAACATCGGTATTGGAATCAGCAATCAGCTAAATTGTTATTTTAAACATCTGTGTTGTTCCGGACTTGTTCAATCTCTAGAATCAAGTTCAAATACCTACATTGCTGGATAAACACTGGGCTAAGGTCAGGCAGTATTGTCAGATCACATGAACAGTAATATTTTGATATTTTAAATTTGAAAATGAGAACATATCACCACGCTAATCCTAATAGTCAGAGTGAAACAAAAACTTTCCAATGTCCTAATGAAACTGCTTTTATGTGCAATCACATCTCTAATTTGGAAATGATTCCACTATGGAAAATCAATTAACTGTCCAAACAACAGAGTCACAAGATAACGACTAACAGCGGAAAAACTGTGACAATCTCTGGAAAATGTGCTTAGTTACACATTATCACAGGAAATGGACACAAAGGCTAAAGGAAAAGTTTGACAACTGGAGGAAGTTTTAACTGAGATAACACTCTTTCAGTCCTAAAATGAGCTGTAGTGTCAGATTTCTAGCGACCGCAGAACTTCCAATCAGACCAATGGTCATCATTTATTCACAGACATAATGCTATTCCATTGTTTTACAAAAGCTATTTTATGCACTGACAAAAAAAGATATATCAGTGTTATTTCTTGTGTTAAATAAGCCAATCTGATTTACAAATATGACTATTTGGGAGCCCTTCATGACATGGCTTACTCTACATTAGTCCTTTTGGTATGCACAGTGAGTGAGCTTGAGCTCAGTGCATGAACAACGAAGAATAGACCCACAGAGCGTCTCTGCACTGGCCCACCACATAACTGAGATTCTTCTGAAGTTTTAGAAGCAACCATTTCAATTATGCAAGCAGATGAAGTTGAACAAAAGATCCCTCTAAACTAAATCTCTTTGCCACATTCAAGACTTGAACCCTGTATTGGTCTGTGACTAGTTGAAAACTCTGCTGTGTCATCAGCCATTACACTATGAGATCATTCTGTACTTATTCTGAATTCCAAACTGATCATCAGTTTCTGATATATTAAAGGTCTCAGGCTCGCTTTAATTTAGTGTTCATGTTCTTGTAAATATTAGGGTCGTAATGATTTTTTGAAGTGGATATTGATACAAAGATAACACATCACGATCTTTAGGATAAGCTGACTGACATATTATTGTTCATATTAAAAATAAATAATTGTTCTTTTAAATGTCTGGAAGTATTCAGTAATCGATTGTCTAATCATAGTTACATATTTTGGGGGGGTAGATGACATAAGTCATCGAATTAAATGAGTCGTTGATATTTTCTCATACTTAGAGCTGCAACAATAAACTGTGTCATTATGAACAATCAAATAAGTTAACAACTATTTTCATTATTGATTACGTAATCAGTGAGTATGCCATAATGCAAATTATCTAACTAAAGCTTCTTAAATGAAAATATTTACCTTATTCTTTTCTTTTCTATGACTTTAAACTGCATTTAAAATGCATGTTTTTATGTTGTGAAAAATTAAGACAATTTAGAAGTCTTCATGGATTTAGGTAACACTGTTTAAAATTTTGAAGAATTTCCAAACATTTTCAAGACCAAACAACTTTACAATAGATATAAGCAATCATAAAAAAATATAAATTGAAGATTAATCATCAATTTAAGAAATGTTGTACTTGAAGCCCTGGTAAATATAGTTTATTAATTAAGGCTCACAGTGTGATGTTATGCAGCATGTAGGCAAGTGTTATTGTTGTGTGCTCAGCGCCTTGTCATTCACATGCACGAGGGTCAGAAGCAGACAGCAGCCTGCAGGGATTTGTCCTCACCCTCTTGCTCTCCATCTGCACACCTCATCACTGTCCCTGCCAATGCTTTCCACAAATACACACACTCACATGAATAACAAAACACCCACGTATGCAGCACCCACACACTCATACACAGGGAGTATACTCAAACACCTAATACACACAAGTTTCTGAACAACTCCATTATGACTCCTGCACAAACACAATCCATGGACAGCTCATCCATGTACAAATGCCCCAAGTGAGCTTCTTCAAAAGATTTCTGCACTGCAAAGAAGCCTCTTATCTCTGTCATGCCGGTGTCAGCTAACCAGGAAAGCAGCAAGCAGCATGACCTTTTCAATGCTTCTCCCTTCAGGAAAACCGAAGAGCAGAATCAACGTAAACTGTGCAGAGGGTGTGTTCCTTCTCTTTCGTTACATCCAGTAAACTGCTGTTCAAAACAAACCGTCTTCGATTAAACATGATTTGATTTGAAATGCTTAAGTAACTCGGTAGATTGTTCATTATCTTCAGTTAACTTGACTAATTCAATTATCCTTTGTAGTGTTATTTGCTACCATTACTGCTGCATGGCTCGGCTCATCGTGTAGTGCGTTCCCTTCATAGACATGACGAGTCAGCATAGCCTGAAACACCACCAACCAAGGAGAAGCTACATAATCGTGAGTAGCAATAAAACAGCCAAAGAGTCTCTGATGATAAAAGCGAGCAAGGCACGGCTTTCAGCTCACTTGTGACGTAATTGGTTTGACAATTTGTCTTTATATGAGCTTGTAAAATCTCCAACTGCAGTCAAGTGATTTACATCTGGCCTGTAACGTTTAAGAGCACGGATGGAAATTCACACTTACCTTTGCTAAATGAGAATTGATCCATTTTGTGAAGGTTCTCTTCTGCACTGCCTCTTGCTCATCTGAAAATGAAAGCATTAAGAACTTGTGAATACATGATGGAGAACACACAACAGTTGACTTTCAGCAGTAACCCAAAACTTATGATATTCATAACTGAAACATAGCAATTTGGCAGGAATACAGTGGAATGCAATAGGATTTGACAGAGATATTTCAGACTTGTTCTCTCAAGGATGCAGCTGTTTATTGATTCCTGATGTGGATATGGTTGGATTTATAACACATAAAATATTAATCCCTAAATGTAACTTTTCTCAGTTAGCTTTTGTCGGACTTCCCTATGCTATAATCTTTCTTAATCTAACATAATAACATATTATTTACACTGCTTCTGTTATGTTAAGCAGCATACCAGCAGCCCTGCAATGAGCATGTTACTAAGTATGACTTCTGCAAAGATTAGATGTTGCAATGTGAGTAACACAAGCTTGCCAGAGCTGGCATAATAGATTCTCCTGAAGAGAGCTTTCAAAAAGAGGTCATATGAGGAGATTAGAGCATGATTGGAGGGGGAATTGCTGCCTACATACGCTGCAATCCATCCCCGTGTTCAGTATTAACATGTGTGCTTGTTTGGGTCACCCCCAGCCTCTTTTGTGGTCTATTTAATATATTCAGCCACACTGCCTCATGCATTATGCAACATGTGTAACAAAACAATTGATTTCTTTGCCATAGTGGTGCTGTTGTTGTGTCGAGGACTGATTTCTAACACCCTGTCATGCATGCCGGCAGGATAGTTCTGCACACTGCACACACACACACACACACACACACACACACACACACACACACACACACACATAGAGTGGCCATTTTTAAACACCCACCCTTAGAGATATAGACAGTGGTCACGTGTTTAAGGAAGCAATGCAATCACTATACAGGGAGCAAAGACGTGATGTTAACCTACAGGCAAATGCTTCATCACTGATGCACAGGGGATGCCCACTGAAGCGTAGCACACACGCACACTAACCCATGCAGATACAACACACAAACAGCTGTGTTTGTATACTGTAACTAGTACATGTAGGAGGGATTCACCTACAAACAATTAGCATATGTTATTTTTCTATTTATATCCCCGATTAGCTACGTATGTGCACACAGATGAGAGATGAAGGATGCTGCTGCCCTACTTACCACGTAGATACTGAAAAAATCCAGTCACCAGATTTAAAGAAGTCTTCCTGACAGTTACATCCTTATAGTGAGCCATTCTATAACCCACTCTCCCGCTCCCTCCCTTTGCCTTTCATGAGGTCCAGAGTACATAAATGTAGGTGTGAAAATAAGGTCCACAGCTGAAAAATAAAGCATAAAATCCCACAGTTGTCCTCTCCCTTATTCTCTCCAGTGGGAAGCAAAGCAGATCTGGCTGGCTGGTTTCCCCCGTTTGAAGCAAAAGAGCTGCTGGAGGCTGGGATGGAAAACGTCCCCTCCTCCCTGACACTCTCACACACAGACACACATCCACACACAAGCACACACACACACACGGACGATAGAGGAGAAACCTCTAGCAGACAGGGTCATTTACAATCCCATCCTTCCATCTTCCTGTGTTTTTCCCAATCCAGAGGAGCCATGCCTGTGTGGATGTGCACAGCCCCCGCTGCACTGCCTTGCTGTATCATCATACCGTCTAAGGCTGGAGAGAGAACAGCCAGAGGCATGGCTCATCCAATCAGGATGTGGGTGGCAGTGATGTCACAGCTCTGGCTGCCTGCATTATCCTGTTTAATGTGTGTACTTGTGATGGACAGGGGGGCTATGTTTGCCTGTAAGATTAGTCTAATCTTCAATGATACTATCACACTTTAAAAGGAAAACAATTTCTAAAACAAATAATGAAAAAAAAAAAAATAAATAAAAACTCTGTTTCAATGTTTTTCTTTTATGTTTTAAATAATTTGGCTGTAAAAATCTAAGTCCCTTTGGGTCCATTAATTAAGAAGGCCAGAAAAGCTTAAAACACTGCTGCATAAAGCTCACCATGGTGCTACAAATCTTAATAATTAATGCTGAGGCTGATGAATGACATCTACCACCTGCTCCCTCTCTCACTGCCAATGCTATAGTGAAAAGCGGACACGCCCACTTTGGGATTCCCACTGCACACACAGGATCATGTTAAAACAAGGACTAGAAGAAGCACTCTAGCTCTGACCGGTCTGTTTTTCTTTCAAAGACTCTGAATATGACACACAAAAGTGAATAAGTGTGGTACTGTACTTCATAGCTTATCATCTCCTGCAGAAAAATCCCTTCATTCTTTTAAGACCACGACCAAACTAAAAGCTTTTCTGATATACTAAAAATAGGCCTGAGTCTGTGTTTCTATTCTTACTGCTCTATAGACCGCTGGTGGAGCTGGCCCAGAAAAGCTATTTAGGTGAAAATGGATTTTTTTCCCTCTTACATCAAAATAGCAAAAGATTAAAAGTAGCAGCATTTAAAACATGTTGACAGCTGCGTGCACAAAGAACAAAGAGCTTTGAGAGATACTACAACTGATGCTCACAGTCATTTACAAGTAGATATTTCCCAAAGAAAAAACAGTTACTGACATGTCAATGACGACAAATTAAAAATAAACATTTTATAAATACTACTATCAATATATAAAGATTGTTTTAGTTAGATAGGGTGTGTGTGTGTGTGTGTGTGTGTGTGTGTGTGTGTGTGTGTGTGTGTGTGTGTGTGTGTGTGTGTGTGTGTATATATATATATATATATTCAGGAAACTTTATTGGCATGAATATGAAAAAATACATATATTATATAATAATTATCTTTTTTGGTTTAAGTAGTAACTCTGCAGTCAGTTATATCTAATAATAATATATTTATTGGGGTCAGAGTTAGCTTTCTGACATGTACATGTACATGTACATATACATGTAAATTATGAGTATTTTAAGAGAACTGATGAGTAGAGTCCTATAAATAGTCCTATAAATACTGCTGATGTCCCATAAGCACCACAGTGAATGGTGAAAGGTCACCATAAAAAAAACTGTCCAACCCAGGAAAATCCTCTGATGCAAAGGAAGTTATGTGTTTTTGTTTCCATCAGAAGCAACAATGTGTTGAAGTGAAAAATTTAGCTATGCCCTGATTGTGAAAATAAGGGTAGATACAGATCTTTAAAATAACAATTTAACCAATTGCCGATTCTCTTTTTTTGCTAGTTTCTTCTTTTTAATTCACTCTTACTAAAATGAACTATCTGATTTGATGTATTAATCTATTTTTTAAAGATTAATTTGGGGGATTTTTGCCTTTTTCTGATTGGACAGTGGATAGAGGAGAAAACCGTGGAGAGAGAGAGTGGGGAATGACAAGTGGGAAAAGGAGCCATACGTCCAACTTGAGCCTGGGCCGCCAGCTTGGAGGACCAGGCTTCCATACTTGGGGTGCTAACCGCTAGGCCATCAGAGCCCCAAGCTGATAAGACGTATTTACTTGTTGTATTTACATTCATGTTAGTATCCAATCCTTCAGGTTGTAAGACTCCCACATTGCCGACATTCCTGTCACGTTTAACCATGAAAACTAATCAGGTGACTTCTTCTGCCTGATAAAAATACCTCTTCTCTGAATCTTACATACTAGCTTGCCAGCATTAAATTGATGCATTTAAACATTGGTTACCAACATCAGTGCCTTCCACATTTTTTGCTAATGGTCCGATATTTGTCAACAGGGCTGATATCGGCCAATACATCGGTGCATTCCTACATTAGACATACTGTGGTTTTTCCTCAGGGGTCGCCAAAATTGACAAAAGCTGATAGTTCTCACAGTAGCTTTAAAAAACAAAACAATATTTTGTGACGGAAAACTTTAAGCTCAGTCTCAAATCCATCTACTGTAGCTATTATGGAGCTGTCCAGAGTCCTGAACACATATGTTTACTTTGTGTTATAAGAACACATGTGTGTCAGGCTTGATATTCAAGCTCTGACAAGCATGAAATCCTCATGCAAAACTGCTCCCCAACACTGAGTCATTATGTCCAAGTCAACTGACTTAATTAAGCCTGATGTAGCACTAGCAGCTAAGTGGCAATTAAAAGTGGAAAGCCCAGCATCGAACACCACACAGAGCATGAGTAAAGGAGTACTTAAGGTGATCTTAGGACAGATGATACCTTTGGCAATACTGTACAAAAGGTGCTTGGCTTCACTGGACTGTGTGGGTCACCTGGGAGCACTGTAAAAGCCCACTCACTCTGTTGTTGTTCCATTTAGTGGAGAGAAGCCCTACTTAGGCTCTGACAGGCAAACAAGAAATTATTCTGAAGCAGTCCATTCAGAGCTGCTTGAAAGGGAGGTTTTACTGCTTACTGGATGGATCCTGGCCTTCAAAACAATACTTTAAGCTAATATTAAAAAACAAAGATAACAAATGATAGCAGAACCTTAAAGATATAGGACAGGGTTTGCTTTACACGACTCAAAAAAGCCTAGGGGAGCTTTGCGCAGAGTGAAGTGGGATTGTGGTTCTCTGTTAATGAGATCATATCATTGTCTGTTCCTGGCAGCTGTTAGTGACACTGTGGAGTAGAAGCATCTCTTACAGCTGACAACGTGCACGCTTGTCTGTCTTTTATTTGCTTTTACTCCACCTGTGATGTTACTACTCTGCATCCTTGATTAAAATAGATTTCTAACAATGGATGGCTCTACTTCAGCGGTTTGGCTGGTTTGTGACCTTTTTAAAACTGGTATCCTGTGTTGATACTGGCAACGTGCAGAATTTTAAGGAGCTTTATAAAACAGTGTGATCTTTAGAGCTTGAAAAACTGATTCATTGATTGGACGACATGAATAGGTAACTTTGTGATGGTTGACCTATTTATAAAAGTCATTTTTCTAGAAATAAAATCAACATTCACTCCCATTTTCTGAAATTGAGGATTCCTTCTGTCTCACTAAACTTTTATAATTAAACTTAATATTTTTTTGGGGTCAGGACAACACAACATTTACAGGTGACACAATGGGTCCAGAAAATTGTGATAGTAATTTATCACTTTTTTCTGACATGATGTAGAATACATATATAGCCTACATTATTTGTTATAGCCCATATGATGATTAAATCAATATCCTGCAGCTTGATAACTTGTCACACATTGTAATGCAACAAGGCTAAAGAGGATATGACATTTCAAATGAAAGTAATCATGAACAGATCATGTTTTACTCTTTTAGTGCTATGTTTTAAATAAAACTCATTAGTATCACTGCTTCTATCGTGTAGCTTAATTACTACAACATTTAAGTGTTTAACCTATCTTAATTTTCCACATGCATGTGTTGCTCCCACTGCTTCACTGGCGAAGGACGAATGCATATAAACGAAATCAGTTAATCTACTGATTGACACTTTACATAGGAGCCTCTGCCATCAATGTGTGAATAGGTGTGAATGCGTAGGTGTGACCTATCCTGCAATGTAAAAGCGCCTTGAGTAGTCAGAAGACTAGAACAAGCTGTACAAGCAGAAGTACCATTTTAATTCATCTCTATCTGTGTAATGAGATTGCAAATTGTATAACTATTCCTTCTTAAAATATACTATGTTACAAACATTAATAGGGTTTAACCTGTCAGTATGAAACTAAAGACCTGAATGAACAGTACATGACGTCACATCAAACCCTTTACCAGCTACATTTCAGAATTTCCTGTTTGACATGCAGCCTTAGCTAGAGTGAAACCTACAAGAAACCCACAAGCGCATGGGTATGATGAAAGAAACAGGCTGGTCCTGCACACTCCAACAGGCAGCTAACAGACATCAGGTGGACCCTGAGGGCATTTAAGGCTGCAGGGTGTTGCTACACTTTAGTCTAAGAGCACTGAAATCAAACAGATACTACTGTAACATGATGACAGCAACAAGTGGAAACAAGTGTATTTATAAGATCTTTAGAATGATTCAATATGATTCAATACACAATGTGGACTGACACAGTCACACTATCAAGACAATCAGTGTGTTTTCAAACATTTTAAGATTTGCTGATGTCCATAATTAATTCCCCAGAGAGACCATTGCTTATGTAAAGTGAGTCTGATTCTCTTCGCAGGATGCATTTAAAGACAGGAAGCTGCATCGGATCACCAGCAAAAGGTTTTTACAGAGCACCAATAACAACTGGCATCATAACGTCTTCCAGATGTGGCTTGACACGGAACTTAACTTCCTGACGTAAAACACACGACAGTGGCTGGCGCTTTGCATTTCACATTATGCCGTGTCTGCACAGTTCAGCGGAAATTCCCCCAATATTGATGTTGATTTTTCAGATTTTGAAAGATAGTCACAAAAGGTACATTTAGCCATTTTTATTTATTTATGTTTGTTCTTTATTTCTTAATATTTATACTGACTGTTGGGGTGTGGCCAGGGGTTTGAATTCAACCTCAGACCATTGCTGCATGTCATGCCCTACTCCCTCCTACCAACATTACTTGTCTCTCTTCAGCTGTAAAGATACGACTTAAACAAAGCAGGAGTGACAACTAAAATGCAGAATAAGTAGGTTTTCAGTTGTCATATTATTAGTCAGAGAGTCTGCATAATTATAGTATATAGTTCAGCGGTTTAGGGCCGAAGTTAATAATGGCTGAAATGCCAATTCTCTTATTTGTGTAATAGTTTGTATTCAGAAAACATGCTACAGAAGCTCTCCTGTCAGAGGATGTGAAGGATGATAAAAGGACACTGGGAGCGAGCAGGATAACCTAAACTTAGGTGGATGTTTCTCTATCTTGGTTTGGTATTTAGTTTGTTTTCATGGCTTACTCTGTACAGCATTATAAGATAGTTGAACTCACTTCCAGTGATCTTCAGATTTTCAGCCATGACTTTTCACACTGTGTGTACAATATATTTATACATATCAATACTGAGCAAATAGAAATAGCAGTGAACAGGAAGCCAAGTGTCTCTAGAGGCGGAAATGGGCAACATTGGCAAAACCACAGACAAATGTTTCATAAGAGTTGCTATGGTAACAAGCAAAATCGCGAAATATTTCCTGGTAGTCTGTACATCTAGAAATACATCTAAACCGAGACAAGGCGGATGCCAGACTCTACCAGACTTGTGTAGTGTTGGTAACAAAAGGGGGATACCGACAAGCAGAGAGACTCCCGTTATCGATCTATTCTCCTACCAAGGGCAGAAAGGGTGTCAGGTTTTAGTCTCGTTCAGTGCATTGTCTGTGCATTCCTGAAGCCACAATTGTTGTGAGCCAGTATCCCATAAAAAGACTTAAATCAAACTAAATGTTGATTATGATCAGCTGGCTTTGTAAAGAAATTATAAAAAGGGAGCAAAATCTTAACCCAAGAATTGGATCAAAAACGTCTTGTGGGTTGGATAAAATTATATGTGTGATGTTTCCATTAAGTTCTCTGTACTAACACTAAGTTAACTTGATTAATTTATAAGGGATGGTACTTGGTTAATGACATGATAAGAAAACACGTGTCTCTTTGCAACCAATTTGGTGTATAAATCTCAACAGAAAATCATCTTTAAAAATGTGAAGACAGTTTGATCCAAGAAAAGCTTCAGAGATATATTCACTGCATTAAACAAATCACGTTTCTATAAATAACTTTTTCAATACCCTATCCAGGCTGCCAAACAATGGAGCATCTTCTTGGGTGGGTCACAAGAGACTCCATGAAAGAACATTAACTTATCTCAAATAAGATTATGTACCATTTGAAAAAAAAAAATCCAAAACACCATGTGCAAATTAAATCAAAGTTCCAAAACAAGTAATTCAATTTTTTTGGGAAGTTTTTAAAGGCTTCATGTAAGCCCACTCACATTTGTCAATCATTGTAAACATATTTAACAATGCAGCTGAGGGCTTCTGTTCATGAGTTCACATGCAAAACAGAATGGATACACCAGGAATGGACAGACCTTTTACTGGCAGTACTTTATGACGTATTCATAAAAGTTTAATTTTAACTATACATTTCCAAAATGAATGCTTGTGGGAGTGTGTAAGCATGTGTGTGAGAGTAGCATCTTTCCTTGCAAAACCTGGCACACTTCAACTGGGCATGCAGCCCAGGTATTGAATCAGCACAATCTAACGGTGCAGCAGCGCAGAGGGGAGAATGTTTTGTCCCGTAAGCAAACAGAGTAAAAGAGGGACACTTACCCTGCAGTTTTTGCATCACATTTGCAATGTCCACAGACCCTCGACCTAAGTGCCTTGGGGATGCCATGTCTTCTCGTCGCAGCTGTGTGACAAGGTGAACTGATGCTGAGAGCAGAAGATTCTTCACAACTGTCCTGAGTGGGACATCCCCTCTGCCCCTCCCTCTCTTGCTCTCTTCTTCTCTTTCTAAATTTCACCGCAGGACCAGGTCCAATTGAATCTCAGGTTTCATGCAAGGACAAGCAGGTTCACTGTCCAATAGAAGCACCTCTTCCATTCATTTCCTGCGAAAGAGGAGTAAGTTTTAAAGGTAAAGGTTTCAACTGGGGCCACACATATTGTCAACCAGTTTTCTACATTGATTGCTCACTGTTTCGCTAACTTATCAAAGTTTCATAGGACTCACTCTTAAACGTATTTTTTTTTTTTTTGCTCACAGTAATGTTGAATGCCTTAATAAAAACAAGCACTGGACATTTTAAGTCACTTTGTAACTTGAAAAGAACAACCCTCTTAAAAGTCTTGGCCCAACACTGAAAGATTACCATCATCTGCAAGCATTTCAACTGATAATACTGTACATTATGCAACCATTTATTTTTGTATATTCTTGGAAGAAACTTTACGTTATATCATAGATCCTAGTAAAATAATGTTCGCTTTTAGAGAGCTTCCCAAGCAAATAAAAAGGAAGCGTATAACCCTATCTAGAAAAACAAACAATATAATAAGACTTAGTTTAGATTTTCACACGATAACAGAATCAATGTCCTACCCTTGAAATGTCTTCATATTTGCATAAAAAGGCCAAGTGGACATTCAATAATATTTTAAGTTTTAATTTTCAGCACAAGAACAGGTGTGAATAATCAAATTAACGATGGCCTCATTCCACTATTCTCTAATCAGTGTCAGTCAGAGAATATTTTTACAGTACAGAAGTCTTGAAACTGGGTTACCTAAATAGAATGCAGCAATAGTCAATGTAATGAATCACACCTGTGCCTTTACACTTGTTATAGCCTAAGTATTCACTGATATCTGTTCAGTACGAATAAAGGTGACATTTAAAAAACTGCATGGGATTTATAAGTGTAGGCATTTCAACAGAAAAATAACAGCAGCCAATTATCATATAGTAATGAAAGTCAGTAAAGTAGTTCTATGATGAATCACTATGAAGAGCTATCAAAAAAAGGAAGTTAAACTGTTGAGTGACAACATGTCAAAATTAGCACAAGGAAGTGACTAAACTAGCTATAAGGCACAACTTTATTATCCACCGACGGTTTTATTAGGCTACATTTATGCCTGTATCTTGTAGCCTATCAAATAAAGGTGAGTGCCTGTGAGCGACGCTATTTGAATTGAGGAGTGCAGCCCCATTAGCGTCAGATTAACACGAGGGGAAGTTGCTAAAACACTACACTACAAACTCAACCAGCTTAAAAGCATCACAAAAGTAATAGCGCTTACGTAAGCAGGACCCTAAAAACGTAGCCTACGTTGCAAAAACAACTACCATTAAAATCACAAGCTGTATTTGACTCTTTATCTTACCACTTTGAGGGCTGCAGAGCATGATAACTTAACAGAGGAAGTGTCTCTCTGTGTTGTGAGTGTGTGTGTGTGTGTGTGTGTGTGTTTGTGTCGCCTTGTTGCCATTGGTTACAGCGAAAATGAAACATTGTGGCGTGACGTGAAGTTTGTTGTAACCGCAAAAAGACGTCGCATAGAAATGGAAGAAGAGTGGCACGCTGGCTGCTGGCTGCACAAAATAAAGGAAGGGTCGCAAATGTGTGGTCTAGTTCCTAATTTTTCGGGACAAAAGGGTTCATTCATTGGTTAAAGAGAGAGGAATTCCGGGTGTCCCGTCTGGGTTAGTTTATGGCACCCCGCTGTGACCTTAAAGGGACCTTTACAAGAGTTGTTATGTTTCTGTGATATTATGTAATGCAATATCCTTAAATGACAGAAATACATGATGCTGTAGTAGATGACAATTATAAAGAATGTGTGACATTTATTATAACATAGGCTACATAAATTAAATGGTTAAAAGTTTTCAGAATGCTTGATTTATTAAGTAAGAAGTTTATGGTTGTCAGGTTGTGGGTAAATCCTCCATAAGCGTGTTTATGTGCTTTGCCTTTTTTTTTTTTTTTTTTTTTTTACCAACTCTTAAATGATTTAGCAAGAGACCTCCAATGGATTAGGAACTGGCTGCATAGGCCTACCATCTGGACCACAATCCATTTGTTAGGTCATTAATAAAGCGTCACATGATCTCTTTCTGTGGCTACTTACAATTTTGAGAAGGTTTCTGATCAACTGTCGGGGGTTCCTCACTTTTTATGATTCGCAAAGAACATATGCAACCTGTCATGCTAAATTTTGTGGATACAAAAATAGGCAGATACAGAAAGTGCAAAAGCTGTTGCCATAGTCAGACAACGCTGACTGGATAAATAATAAACAACATTCATTATGTGATACTTTCAGTGTGATTTCAGTGTGAGTCATAGAAGCATCAGCTCAATTCAGACCTCATGTTTTTAGATGACTGAAGGGATTTTGTTCTCTGTTCCTGTCAATAACCCTTACTAACCACCTGGTGTCTCTGTGGTCAAGATTAGGGAATGACTTATATAAAAAGAAAAATGCTAAATAAGTTTCAAGTCAATATATACAATTGACAAGTTTTACTTTAAACTACTTTACATACTTGTCTGTCTATATGTTCTGAACAAAACACTCTCTGGTTAAAAATAACAAAGATTACGGTCTACACCTGCTCCTTTTTGTCTTGAAAGAGCATTTGGTATGAAATTACTTATTACTAAATAATGCTTTTTTTGAGTAGCTCTGGATGCATCAATGCTGTAGAATGCAAAATAAGTTTTTATTGTAAGTACTTTAGCACCACCTGCAGGACATTTTAAGACAAAGCGGTCAAAAGTTCAGGTCTTTAATAGTTCATCTGTGTGTATAGTAAATACCCTATTTTAATGCAGCTTTATGAAATTGTATAAAATGGGAATAGTCGTATCTGAAAATGTATCAGCTTTGGAGCTGCAGAAGGCTGGTTTGTGGTCACGTCAGCCTGAAGACTGAGGTGAAGTGGGAACACTGTAACAATTGAAGGAAATCCCCACAGAGACTGGGAGTTTGACAGCCTGCAGACTCTCTGGTGGATGGTCAGATTTTATGGTTAAGCTTATCTAGAACCATTTCAAGATTATGGGAAACCTTGTCTTTGTTCAGATTTTCTTCTTTGAAATATTTGCAAATATGTGTTGTGTAGTTGCGAGAGAACATAAGAAACATGACTTTACTTAAGCCAATGGAGCCATTGTTAAAAAGTATTGATCTTGAGGAAGTGATGCAAAAGGAAACAACCCTGTTTCCCCAAGTTGTGTCCCACACAGATAAGCAATGCCCTCGCTAATTTTAAAACCAGAAAGGGAAGGAAGCATGACAGCAAAGTTTCCGCCATACAAAACACAGTAGAGGAGGGAAAAAGGCAGCGAGACTGTCTTGGAAAAGCTCAGTGTTCATCTGGGTGCTTGGTGTCACTGTGGAATATAACACCAGTTTATGGTGGAATTATGGCGCAAAATGAAACACATCCCATTTTGGAGATACTAAAATCCTTCAACCTAGGTGAGTGGATTATTATATTTTTACTTTTTTTTGTTCTTTGAGAAGATCTTGTGACTATTTTCCAAAGGTGCCATGTCAGAGTAGCATTTTGTTTCTAAAAGGTTGACTCAATAGTTCTTCTGAGGGAACAGCAAATTACTTTTTCATTGGAAAAGCTATTTCATCTCCGAAACTGGCTTTCTCATTATTTCTCATTACATATATCCCAGCATTTAAAACGTCAGCAAAATGTCTCAAAATAAAGCACTCGCTCACTTTAGTGCTCAGATGTATTAAATTAGAATGTAATTATTTACCATCCAGGCAATTCCGATCAGAGTGGTTTATATGCAACACATATTTGGAACTTATTTCCTGAGATCGACTCTCAGTTCAATTAAACCCGTTTTCTGGTTGCCTATTTAAATCCAGGGCTGCATATTTACATCCGTCTTTGCAGTCCTTTCTTTTCTCATTTGCATGTTTTATTCCATTTTATCTTCCATTCTATCTGTTTTATAATCTGATTCCACAAAAATCCAAAACAATGTTTCGTGTTATTCTGTAAATGTGATCTTAGTTCCTATTTAAGACTTTTACAAAACGCTTATTATCATATTGTTGTGGAATGGTGCATATAAACTTGACTTAAGAGTTGCATCAAGAGAATCTCTGAATTTATGAAATATAAAAAAACAATGTGTTTTTTTTTCAAGCATCGCACCCATGACAGGGTCAGTTTTTATCTATACACAATGATTCTTCATAGACAGTAAACCCCCACAGTGGTATGATGTAAGCTTTTTATATAACATTGTGTCTTGAATAGAGTTGAGCAGAAATACAAATCGATAGAAAGAACAAAACTCCCTTAAACACTTCTGGCACATACTGCACAGAAGAAGGTGTGCTTCTGAAATGTAAAAGCTCCTTGTGCTAAAACGGTTTTACTCCTTACTTGAAATGCTGCTCCAACAGGCATCTAGGGAAGCAATCCTCCTCATTTTCAGGACAATAAAATGCATCCTGTTCTGAGCTTATCATCATTTCCAACCATTATTTTTGATCCTCACAATTTCCCCTTTTCTGACACACTGCATTGATTTTCCCCCCTCTTTCCAGGCGATATGATTCTCGCCTTTTGTTTGTCAGTGCTTGTGGGCCTGCTGCTGGGCGCTCTAGTCTACGTTCTGTTGACCTGGGCGTCAAGGCGGCAGGCCACTGCTAGGATCACCAGGCGCTCCAGAAAGAGATATTCACCATCAGAAAACCCCTCAGGTGGCCAGCTGGGTCTTTACAGGAGCACTTTTCTGAGTGTCTACAGGCAGCCATCTCTGGAGCCGGTGGGCCCTCTGGGGATTAAGCCTGGCATAGAGACGTCCACCTTTCGCCCAGTGACCAAGAGGAGCAGGGCAGGTCTGGAGGGGATGGGAGAGGACACTCAGATCAACATGTCTGATGACATGGCAGCATCAAACTCATCAGATTCAGCATCCCTGGTGCCAAACAAGAGGCATTCCTTCTGGTTGGGTGGTAACGGACTTAAAGGATTCCTGCCCTCACAGACTCCCCCTCCTGCATACGACAGTGTCATCCACGCCTTTGAAGAGACATGCACTTGAATCTGTCGACATTAAATACCAAAAAAGTGAAAAAAGAAAACACTCTGGGATTGCACAAGACTCTGGCTTGGTTTTGCTCTTAAAAAGTGACTGTTCTTGGTATAGCACATCTTTTCATGACACTTTTCAGTTTGAAAAGATGTTTCCTAACTGAATAAGAAGTGTCCACAGCCATTAAACTTCAGCCGCTTAGTATTAAGATATCTATCACGGATGCAACTAATGCTAATTTTACAATACATTAATTTGCATATTAGTTTCTCATTCATCAATTAGTTTTTTCATCTATATATACAAAATATTTAAATATGCCAATTGTCAGCTCTTCAGATATCTTATTTTGACCAAAACTATAACTAAAATACAATGTTATGATAGAGGTAAACAGCAAAACTTTATTTTGCATTGTTGCTTGAAAAATGCCTCTGAACAATCAATAGATTGTAAATATTAAGATCAATACTAGCCTTTATTGTAGTGCAAATATGGGTTAGTATTTTGTAACCATTGCTAGGCATGATATGATGTACAGAGAGCCTGAGGATATAGATTTCACTCTGATGAACACTGAACACTGTGTGATTTATTTTATTTTCTCATATAACAATAAAGACTATTGATGATTTTAGATAGGTGCTCGTCCTTTTCTGGTTGCATGGTTCATTACAAAACTATTTTATTTCTTCATAATGACTCTCCCAGTGTCATCACAGGTCAATCCTGTGAAATAGAGGACAGTTGTTGCGAAATCAAATGTAATTATATAGACAAAATGTCACACCAGAATGTCCATTTAACTTGCATTAAAAAAGATGGGGTGCGCCTTGTGGAGTTGCCATTATGATAGAAACCCCCATTTTAGGCTCAGCAAAAATCTAATAATTGTTACAGTAGCGTGTAGACCAGACTCCATATCAGAATGTATACAATATATTTTGTACCGTACAAAGTTACCTTAAGCGATCCTTAAATTTTTTTTTATATATTTGCTGGTGGTTCTTTTTTTAACCAGACTTAAAGTTCGGGGTGTAATTTCCGTACTATCTGTCTCATGGCAACCTATTTAAAGCCACAACCTCAAAGTGCGCTAGAAGAGAAGCGCCTGGCAACACGACCGCACAGTGCGCCGACTGTCTCCGGAAAAAGACGTTGTTCCAGCGGGTCCAGGTTCGTTAAAACTGCATAATGTGTGTCCACATAACCTCTTTGGTGATAGCACCTCTTTATTTTTCAAAGACAGCTCTTTTGGTCTCTTTCGCATTGTCTCAGACAGACTGCTGCATGCGGTCATATGGGCTACAAGGCGCCTTTGAATGAGACATTTAATTGATGTAATGTAGAGTTAGTGGGAGTCATTTACAGAGGAGATGGTCGGTCTTAGTCTTCGACTTTAATGGATGCTTTTAATACAGATTTTTTTTTGGTGGAAAAAAAGCGAACCTGCTGTTTTTTTAAATGCGGTTTGATAGAAATGTTAGTATTTTATTCTTATGATCTGCATTAGAATTGGTTTATTCCTGAGGAATTTGGCATTCAGGAGTTCATATCGTTGCCTGGCTGCTCTGCTGTTTGACGTAAAATATAAAAAAGAACGGACAGTATCAGTACCCATGGAGACTGCGAGTGCCCTGATCTCCAATGCAGTGTTGCTGTTGCATAGAGACTGAGAAAAACTGAATTTCAAGGTTGATGCACTGCATGACAAACGCGGCTATTTTAAGACAGATAATGCTTTACCTGTCTCTCTCTCTCTCTCTATCTTCTAACCGGTATGTTTAAGAAGCCTGACGCTGTCTTTTTGTCATCTCTTGTCATCTTTATTGCTGAAGGATCATTACACAACTCAACAGAGCCACATCAGGAGGACATGGGGTGGGACACTGTCACCAGAGAGGATTCAAATCGTCTCATGGCTAACTCTGAAGTGCAGAGCTGTTTGATTTGAATGAACCTAGAGCTGGACAACATCTGGCTGTATGATGCATTTTACCTCTCCATAAATTTTTATTGCAAGTATCAAGAGCAGAGCAGCCATTACCCGTCAGTGCATCACCTGAATTGAATTATGGACACCTTTAATGGAGGAATTTTAACTCAACATGCCCAGGAACTATGAGGTATGTCTTTACATTTTTTTTTTTAGGTTACTTGGCATGTTTTATTATATTATGACATATTGTGCAATCTACTGCCAAGTGGGGCAGTCGGTGTAAAGTGAGAATGTTTAGCCAATTATTATTATTCAGATCCACAGAACTTGTCTTCGTACAATACATCCCAAAGTATCTAAAGATAAGAATTCAGTTTAGTGAAATGTGTTGCATGTGAGAGTAATACAGTTTTGCAGCCAAAAATATGTAGTCTTTTGTTTGACTATTGTGTTGGTGTAAATGAAACGTACTTGTAGTGAAGAGATATAACAATAAGATGGGGAACATGCAATAGTGCAAACTGTTAAGGTAGTCAAGGGAAATTAAATGGTGAATCTGTATGTAAAAGATTTAAAGGCTATGATGTGTAAGTAGATACGCTGACTGATATAGAATTATGAGACTAATAGCCACAAGACTGAGGGGTAAATACAATTAAGAGATTTCCTGTATATTATTTTCTTGGAGCTGGAATGAAACTTGACCTCCAAGGTCCTCATAAGGCTGCTTTCACGCCTCTAAATGAACTATTTATTAATCTTACTAATCATTTTTCATTCCTGCATTGGTGGTTCTTTAAAAATAATTCATATTAGGATACACGCCTATACCAATATGAAAGGATATATCAGGCCCATATTGGCCTGGAGTAACAGTGTGCCAGGTGTCTTTTTCATACTTTGAAACAGACATTGTCACTCCAGTGTCAGTAGACAGAAGGTGGATAAATAAGAGTATTTCAAAAGACCTTTAAATGCAGCAAACAGTCTGTATCGGGTCAAATCTACCCAAAGATAGGATATGAATGATATCATGCATCTGTAGAAACAAAAGCTAGACTTCACTATTAATGATCTCACCTTAAGACGATCCTAGAGCTGCTCTATAAACAGTGAATAATCGAACAACATAGAGCACTATGGGCAGCAGCCATCGTGATTGTACTGTCATAAGGACATCTTTAGTGATTCACTGCTGTAGGCTGGGTTTGCTCATTTCTCTGGGTGGAATATTTTAAACATAGAGCATGCAAGCCCCCTTTTTTTTAGTCTATATTTTCCTTCCTGTGAGCAAGCTCAACAAGATGTCATCCATTATAGGTATAGACTAGAGATGAAGCAATACATTGATCTTAATGAATCAAAAATGGAAAGTGAGATTATCTTCTTCAAACTATGTTGTATGTTGAAATAATGGCACATTGAGGAGCTGGGCTTAGTCAGTGTAACAGCTCTGTTTCAATTGTGTTAAATGAGCAAATCATTCCATCTTAAATCCATAAACCCCTAAATTGGAAAATATCTAAATAGCACTTAGAAGACTTCATCAGATAAAACAAACACACTCATTATGCACAAAGTGATATTATATCACATGATGATTTAACTTCTGCTCAAACCCCTACTTTGTATTTTCATTTGTTTGTAGTTTTTTTTTGTAGTGTGATAACCTATAACCTGTAGGCAGCAAAATATAGACATAATAAATTGTCACTTCTTCATTTATGGCGCAAAATCCCAACACAAGATCCATTTAGTAGCTCAACAGCATGTTTAACTTCACTTTTAATTAACACTCGTAATTATAAGGTCAATAAAGTTGGAGACCGCAGCTTGAACTTGCCTCTTTTCTCTGCTTCACCCAGCAGCCTGGTCACTCAGTAGGGATGTTGGCCGCCGTGGAACATGGTCCCATCCTCTGCAGCGACTCCAACATCCTCTGCCTCTCATGGAAAGGCCGGGTACCCAAGAGTGAAAAGGACAAGCCGGTGTGCCGGAGACGGTACTATGAAGAGGGCTGGCTCGCCACAGGGAACGGGAGAGGAGTCGTTGGCGTGACGTTCACATCGAGTCACTGCAGGAGGGACAGAACTACACCTCAGAGGATCAATTTCAACCTGAGAGGACACAACAGCGAGGTATGGCCTGAAAATGAACTTCATTCTGCTTAGCTTATAGATGTGTGTTAAAAGAGGGCAAAAACACATAAACTCAGCTATTAGGATATTCCTTTGTTTTCATTTGTCTCTAGTTTCTATTGAATTCCCAGTCATCCTCTAAACACAAGTGTTTACTGTCTTTAATTTGGCATAAGTTGAGATAAAACTTAAATAACCTCCATGGAGACATTTAATTGTAATAGCAGCACAGATTGTAACTATAAAAAAAAGTTTTGGAACAAGGAAATGAGGGTAAATATAGACTAGAGTTCCGTTGTCTGTAGTATAAATCTGGTGAAATAAAATATGTTTAAATAAAAGAAACAATTTTAAGGAATATGTAGACAAATAAAAATGTATTCACTGTAATAATACATTAAATTTGCATCCTTCGTAAATGTTTTGCTCCCTAAATTCATCCAATTAGCAGATTTAACTATCAATGTTGTAGCTTTATGTCCTCTGCAGGCAGACTTTAGCTCCAGCTGCTATGAGCTTTGAAACCACTTTCAGCCTAAAATGTTTTTTTTTAGCATTGTTTCCATTCTGCTGTAAATTAATCATGAAAGATGACAAAAGCGGAAAGCCACCTGTGTTTGAAAAAAATATGTGTTTGTGCTTTTTCAGGTTGTCTTGGTGCGGTGGAATGAACCATTTCAGAAGCTGGCCACCTGTGATATGGAGGGAGGTATTTTTGTGTGGATCCAGTATGAAGGAAGATGGTCTGTAGAGTTGGTGAACGACAGAGGAGCACAGGTACCGCAAAGACACAGTTCACAAATAATTTATAACCCTGTATAAATACTGTGTATACTAAAATGTTTCATGTTTTGGATGACAGAAAAATACCTCAGAGAAGTATTTTGATGGCTTTGTAGGGAGGGAATAGCAGGGTAACTCACGATACGGTACAATATTGTCTCAACCCCAACGTGTCTTGCATACACAAATGTCTTGAAGGTGGACATTTCTCTCCTTCAGGTGAGTGACTTCACTTGGTCACATGATGGCACTCAGGCCCTCATCGCCTACAGGGATGGATTTGTGTTGGTTGGCTCGGTCAGCGGGCAAAGACACTGGTCCTCCGAGATCAACCTGGAGAGTCAGATCACCTGTGGCATCTGGACACCTGATGATCAGCAGGTACCTTTTTTCTCTGTCATGATACATAAAAATGGATCTTTCACAAGAAAATGACATCCACAATGATTGTTTAAATGCTATATTAGAAAACAAGATCATACGACTTATATAATAGCTTTAAGTGTAGTACTCCCAAGGATTGAATGCTCCAGAGATTTTTCATGTATTTAAGTTTAATGTCTTACGCTCCCTCAGGTCCTGTTTGGTACAGCAGACGGTCAGGTGATAGTGATGGACTGTCACGGACGAATGCTCGCCCATGTTCTGTTACACGAGTCCGATGGGATCGTGAGCATGTCCTGGAACTGCCCTGATTTCCTGGTGGAGGACAGCACCGAGAGCGACACGGACTCAGACGACAATATTCTGCCCTTAGGTACAAACAAGTTACATCACTGCGGATATGACAGCTTGCTACCTTGTTTTGTCTGCGGGAAGCTGGTTTACTTACTCTTCTTTGTTCCTTGAAGTGCGGAGAGTCAAGCCTTTGTTGACGGTCACCTTCTTATCTGGAGATATCAGCTTAATGAACAACTATGACGACCTCTCTCCTGCTGTAATCCGCTCAGGGCTAAAAGGTAGAAATCAACATGTTTCATAGTGACATTTGCATGTATACTCGTGATTTCTCTCAAGGTTTTTTGGTGTACCTTCCCCCTGCAGATGTTGAGGCCCAGTGGTGCTCTCAGGGAGACCTCCTGGCTGTGGCCGGCATGGAGAGACACGGGCTTCCCACTGACTCTGCTTGTGCATCCATCATGAGGAACGCCCTTGTCAAGTTCTACAATGTCCAAGGAGAACACATATACACTTTGGAAACACCGGCACAGGTTAGTCCTGAATTAACTGAGGGATACAATGACTGCTTTGCTATGCTAGATGTAGTAAAGGTGCATGCCACACAAATGGGGCATGTGCACCCTTGTTCTTGTGAGGTTGTCAGCTGGGTTTGCAGTACTTAACATGGAACTAACAAAACTCAGTTTTCATGTGTAGAGGACTGAATAAGTAAGAAGAAGTTAAATGTCACCTCTGTGTCCTCAATGAAACAGATACAATGAAGCAGCAAGCATACACTAAGTTGCTGTACCTAAATTGAAATCAAATAGTGCAAATTTCATGTAAAAACAAATGGTGTTTATCATAGAGGTACTACCCCTCTTATGAGTAGGGGTTGCTACGGCTGCCAGAGCCATGTCCTTTCATCAAAGCTCGAGATATGAACAACTTTACCATCCTATAAGTCTTTTTGAAAAGTTGACCAAGTTTGAGGTGGATGGGATGAAGCACCTAGGAGAAGAATGCTCCAGTATGTCCATTGGAATTGCCAAAGGTATCCTCAAATATTCAGATTAGGTTCAAAATGGCTGACTTCCTGTTGTGTTAAAAAGCGGCTCCAAGTGTCTCTTTTTTTTTTGGGTTCTATAAATTTCTCTTGTTGAAGTCCACCAAGTTGGACCACAAGGCAATGAGGAGTCAAACTAGCAGTCTTCCTTTGGGAAACCTTATCAATCAATCCCTATCAATCTTCTTTTGAATTTGCCGTTCTCAAGATCCTTAACAAAAAGAGGTCTACACGGTACTCTTTGTAATTTACAGAGATCAAACACCATGAGCTCAGCCCTTCTCAACATTTAGAAATGTAACAGTGGCAAGGAAAAACTTCCTTATGACAGTCAGAAACCTTGAGCAGAACCAGACTCGCGTTCAGCCGTCTATTGCAGACTGTGTTGGACTTGCAAACCTCAATAATAAGTTGCATTAATTGTAAATGAAAACGTGTTTTAAATTAATAAGATTACAGAATATAGAGGTTACAGATATTGTTCATTATCTTCAGTATTACTCAGTCTTGGAACAGCTTTAACAATGTCAGTGTAAGAGAATTGGTTTCCATGAGTCATCTCTACTTAAAATATACTTTTAATACTGAAGGAATAATGATGTGAAGAGTTGTCCCTCAGGTTGATGAGTTTGTCTCTGATGGGTGACGACCTTTATCACCACAGTTTAATTACAAAACATGTATAGATTTATGTGAAATTAGAACTATATGAATAGCAACACAAAGAATTTGATTCAATCAATCATTTGTAATAGCGCCACTTAATAACAAATATTATCGAAAGACACTTTACAAAAAGAGAAGAACCAGACTTGTGTTGAACAGCCATCTGCTGTGAGTGTGTTGGGCTTTTAGAAAAAGAGATGGAAAGAGATAAAGAGAGAAACAACAACTCAACCAAAGCTAATAGAGACTTACTGCTACCATGCCAATAATAATAATTACATCTCAACAAGTTACTGAAAGTACACTGTCAAATAATAATGACAGACATGGCTATAATATAATGAACCTCAGTGTATGTCTAGTAGATATTGCTTGAGGCAACACAGTGAGATGCAGAATTGTCTCTTAAAGTTCAAAAGTCTATGTAAGCAGTCTGTCTTTGTTTTACAGCCGGTGAATGTGAAAGGTTGATAACTATAAGAATACTAGTGTGAAGATTTGTTTTTCAGAGACCCATTACCACCATCTGTTGGGGTCACAGAGACTCTCGCCTGTTCCTTGCTTGTGGACCAGCACTGTACGTGGTGCGTGTGGAACACAGGGTGGCCAGCCTCCAACTTTTATGCCAGCAGGGCATCGCCAGCGCTCTGCGTGAGGAGAAAGATGTGGGGAAACTGAACATGCCCTCCCTGCTCTGCTCCTATGTCACAACTGCCTTCATACCCACTATCAAGGTAAATTGAACCCTGATGAATTGTTGTGCAGTAACTAAAATGCTATTTTTCCCTTAGCTATAACTATTTTCACTTTTTTCTTTAATTTGGTGCTTGTTGTTGTCATATGACAACTTACTTGAAATAATTTCTCCTTCATTGCTCAAACACAGTAGATGTTAGTGGTAGCCATAATATTTACTACGGCAGTAGATTGTACTGTTTTGGAGAAGAACAAACTTGTTGATATTTTGGGGGGCTTATATTTATAGAATCTGATCAGTGCACTGAATGATGCATTGGCTGATGTATTAGAGGCATTACTGATATAATATTTGTATAAAAACAACTCTAGCTTCTTACTTTCTTTCACTTGCTTGCACTGTTAAAATGTAAAAGTGCTGACTGAGACATGTTTTCATTTGGGTGTCCAGCAATCCAACAGCCTTTTCCTCTCTTTGTTCTAGCCCCCCATCCCCGACCCCAACAACATCCGTGACTTTGTCAGCTATCCCACAGCTGGGAACGAGCGGCTCCACTGCACCATGAAGCGAGCAGAGGACAGCCCTGAGGCAGGCGGGCCCTGTTACACACTCTACCTTGAATATTTAGGAGGACTGGTGCCTATCCTCAAAGGAAGGCGCATCAGTAAACTCCGACCTGAGTTTGTCATAATGGATCCCAAAACAGACAGCAAAACAGGTGGGTTAACTCAACTTAAAGTTATAGGAACATCTTAATCTGGTTTTATTAATCTTTACTCACACAGATCTGTAAAAATGACAAATTGTGGTTCAATGGGGAGTTATGCAACATTACCAGAACTGATTCCTGGCAATAACAACAACAGAGGGGTGCCAAGAGATGACTGAATTATAAACACAGGGATACAACTTGGAAAATACATTTTTCATTAAACGGTTTAATGAACTGTAGACAGCGCTAGGGTAGCTGTTTTTATCTGATTGCATTATCTGATTTTCTAGGCTAAGACGATCAGTTACAAGCTGTAGCCTTCTACTTAACAGAAATATGGAATAGTCAGTTTCACTAATGGCAAGAAAGCCACTAAGAGCATTTCCATTATTGATTTCTAAAAGAGATGAGGTGTATTTTGACCTTTTTATATACTGATACAGCATGGAGCTGTTGAAAAGAGTACTGTAGCATGTCCATGCTTCCACCATTGGACAAATCAGAAACTACAGTAGTAGGCTTGAGAGACCACTAATAGAAGTGGACCTGCCCAAAAGGAATCTTATTCCCTGTTGTGTTGAAATGAAATTGGTGCCTGGCACATCTGTTTAAAATAATATGAAATGTTATAATAACTTATTCATGCAGTGTGCTCACCATTCCCCTTGAGTAAGAACAAGGACAGACTATGGTGATTCTCTGATGTAACATGGTCTGAGGCTTTATACAGGAATAGCCTGCAACACACTCAGGCTGTACTGGTGTTGCATTTAGCTCGTGGTCTTCCCATTTAAAAAAATTGGTAATATGCATGAGGGCTCACCTTTTCTGTTTTGTGTTTCATAGAGGAGGTCTGCGTGAATCCCATGATTTCATACACTGACAGCTGTAACTGCTCTGACTCCAGTGACATTGAATTGAGCGATGAGTGGGTCGGGAAGAAGTCACCAAAGTTATCCCGAGGAAACAGGTCAACCAGTTTCAACATGTCAGAATCTTTTTATATAAAACAGTACATTTCTTTCAACGCACTTCGCATCCCAAAACCAAAGAGCATGAGCAGATAGCTCTGCAGCATTTGTTTTAACCTTGTTTATTAAGTGCTTGACCAAAAAACAAAAAAGTTTCCAGTCTGAAGATAATAAAAACCATTGACCTTTTTTTATTTTAAAGGATGAACATGGAGTTGAGAAAATCTCCCAAACTGTCACGCACCAATCAGGAAGGCCAGAGGTCACCACGGTTACCAATGAAAAAGCCTCCAGTTCGGTCTCCCAGTCTGACACGTCGAGAGTTTTCTATGGATGGGATCACAGAGGTATGATAAGCAAGAAAGTCTGCTCAAAATTTAAAATGCAGTATCAGTTTTGAGATATAAATACCAAAACAAACAAAACCCAGGTTATATTTTTTGTATATACTGTTTTTTGCATTGCTTCCTGATATATCATGTCATTTCTACTCAGGTCAATGAGTAGAGATGCATTTTCTTGATCAAATACACTAAATATCTGTAAAGTTATTAGCCCTTATTCCAAAATAGACAATACTCCTAAGATGTAAAAACACTATTGACATGCATGTTCCAAATGTTCTGTAAACATACTCAAAAATCATGCTTAGACCTAAATAATAATGAGATATGCCTGCTGCGTTTCTGAAAATTCCACATTCAGAACAAGGCCTAGCTCTGAAAATGAAAATGGAATACTGTTTGCATTCCTATTATCTTATATTGTCATGATTGTAATAAAGAAAGGACAACACACTTGACAAAGGTTCAGAGGGGCCGAAACAATGTGATTTTTTTCTATTAAATTGCTGATGCATAGCAAGAGTGGTGTGCAGGATTTTTTCTTTTTAGGTGACAGTTTGTTGTCCTGTACACCTACTTTATGAGATCGTTGGATGTGCGAACACCTCCTTAAACACTTTGTGATAAAAAAAGGAAAAAGCGTTTACTTATTCAGTAAATAACTCTGATTACTTCCTTTTAATCCTGTCTCCTATCTCTTTCTATTCAAAGCACAACTACCTAGCTCAAGTCACATCCAACATCTGGGGGACAAAATTCAAAATAGTTGGACTTGCAACTTTTCTCCCTGCCAATCTAGGTGCAGGTAAATGTATACAAAAAAAAAGAACGAAACAATCCGTCTACACATTTCAGACTGACCAGTCTTATGAATGTAACAGTCATCATGGTATTCTTCTATCTTTCAGTTATTTACAAGACCAGTTTGCTTCATCTGCAACCGAGACAGATGACAATCTACCTTCCAGAAGTGAGGAAGATTTCTCATGACTTTATGAGCCTGCCCGTTTTCAACCCCAATGTGTTCAGTGAAGATGAGGATGACTTACCAGGTATGAATAAATTAAAGGAGAATATTTTTTTAGTTCAGATGCTTGTGAATATATTGAGACAATGATGTAATTAAATTATGTTTAATGCTCCGGACTCTTACACAGTTCTCCTCTGTGTTTTTATAAAGTGATGGGTCCATCTGGAGTGTCTGGAGACAATCCCCCCTGCACAGTCAACATTCCCATTGCTCCCATCCACAGCCCGGCTCAGGCTATGTCTCCAACTCAGAGTATTGGCCTGGTTCAGTCTCTTCTGGCAAATCAGAATATTCAGCTTGATGTCCTGACAAACCCTACAGCCACTGCAGCCGCTGCAGCAGCGGTGGCGGCAGCTTCAGTTCCTGTTACTGATCACGGGCAGGATGCAGTTGCGTCACCATATCCCGTGCCAGCTAGATACTCAAATCCCGGTCAGGTGATCTTCAATGGGCTGGAGATGGGTCCTCTTCTTCCTGGTACTCTTCCTCCTCCGCCTCCTCCTCACCATCTTCCCCCGCAGCCTCACTCGCAGCGGTCTCACTCACAGCCGCCCCGCCAACCGCCGCCCAAGCAGTCCCAGCAAATGCAGATGCAGCAGCAGCAGCAAAAAATGCATCATCATCAACAACAGCAGCAGCAGCAACACCTTCACCAGGCCCAAACTCAGCAGCAACAGCTACAGCAGCAACATCAACAGCTACAGCAACTGCACCACCAGCAGGTGCTACTTCAACAGCAGCAACAACAACACCAACAACTCCAGGTTCAGCAACACCAACAAATGCAAACAAATGGACAGCCAGTGACACCGCAACAACTTCATCACCAACAGCAAATCCAACAGCAGCAGCAACAGATGCAGCTGCAGCACGAACAGATGCAACAGCAGCAGCAGCAGATGCAACAGCAGCAGCAGCAAATCCGGCAGCAGATCCTGGAGATGAGGCAACAGCAGCAGCAGCTTCAGCAGCAGCACCAGCAGATCCAGCAGCAACATCAACAGATGCAGAGGCAGCACCAACAAATGCAGCAGCAACTGAAGATGCAGATGTCGTTGCCACCTCCTCCAACCGGGTATCCAACCATTTCTTTACAACAGATTCATATTCTGCCTCAGATTCTTCCTCCGACCTCTGAGTCTGGGCTGAACAGAGCAGAGCACGTACACACTCTTAAGCCAAGTCTGCCAAGGACTTTACCCCCCTTCACTGACCCTGATATATCTATTGAGATGCAGATGAGGAAGGTTAATCCTCCTCCTCCATATCCGGGCACCGTGGTGTCTGCCGCAGCAGCCACAGTCGTCACTACGCCTCAAACTCTTGTCACAAACTGTGACAGCCCAAGTGTCCTGGCACCAGACCCCTGCCTGAAGAAGGATGAATTTTTGCTTCACCCTGTCACTCTACAGTACCCTACACCTCTGGGGTATGAAAGGATCACAACCTTTGACAGCAGTGGCAATGTGGAAGAAGTTTGTCGGCCTCGAAGGCGCCTCGTTCGCAACCAGAATGCGTACGCTGTCCACGGCTCTGCCACTCTGAAAGTCACGTCCTCTGAGACTAAAAAGATTCAGCTTCCTTACAGCTCAGCGACATTGAGTCGTCTCTCTGTCCCTCGATACTCCATACCAAGCGGAGACCCACCTCCTTACCCAGATCCAGCCAATCAAGTAACTGCCACGCTTCCTCCTCCCCAGAGAATCGACAGCAGTCTGATTCATGCTACTATGCGCCGTGACCGCAGGGACGTAGGGCTTAAAGTGCCACAGATGATGGAAAGCTCAAGAACCCTTCCCACCAAGGCGAAAATAAATAGCGCACTAGCACTTAGCTACCAGCAGAGGTTGCCAACTGCTTTGTACACATGCACACAGTGCAGCAGTAACAGCAGCAGCACCAGTGTCAGTGTTAGTGGAGGTGGAACTACAAGCAGTGGCATCGCAGGTGGCACAGTGGTGAGGCAAGACTTCCCACCAGGGAAAGGAGCACATCACAGTACCATCATTGTGCACTCCAAAGGAACTTCACCCCTGGCCTCTCAGTCCTCTTACAGTCTGCTGGGTGCTGTTGATAACAGCAGAGACAGAACAGTGTATGTTAACTCTGCCTTTACTGAAGACGAGACCTTAAATCAGCAGTGTCACCTTGAGAAATCTGTACGCCAACTTACTCTCGGTGATGTCAATCTGACACTCAAACGGCCTCCGCCTTACCAGTGGGATCCCTCCACAGCTGAGGAGTTCTGGCTCACTCCCGAGCAAACAATGTTAGGCCCTCCACCAGGACCTCATAAAGCTCCTCCACTCATCATCAGCCAAACTCAGCACTTAGACATGAGCCGGCTGCCGTTTGTCCTCACCACTAAACCTCAAACCAGTCCGAGCACGAGTACCCTTACTTTCCCATCAGGGTACCAGATATCCCTCTCGCCATTCCCTCCGGGTGTAGCTCATAGTGGTCCTCCACTCCAGACCTTACAGAATCCTCCACCCCAATGCAATCCCAATGAAGTAGTTGGTTCAGGCCCTTTTGGCCAACAGGATTCAAACTTGGTTCTGCCGCCAGGATATCCTTCAAATCTGGCTAACCTGGCCTGTTGTCCTCTCCCTCCGATGTATCCAGGAGCCAGCTCATGTGCTGGACTCCAGCTGCACCCTGTCAACCTTCATCCCTGGAACCCCTACCCCTGCCCGCCTCCCATGCAAGACCCCCCAGCACCCCCCCTCCCCACGAAAACCCATCAGATTCTAGAGAAGCCGATTATCTCCCCTCCACCTCCGACTGCACCACCACCACCACCCCCTCTCCCCCCTCCTCCTCCACCTACTGAGCTACCACCGTCCAAAATTGCCACAGAGGATCAAGCAGAGTCCGCCAACAACTTTCCAGAACCATCTTCCCTGAACGAAAGCCCCGTGCAGCAGGAGTCAGAGCGCTTCAACAAGAAGAGCCGCAAAAGACTCGACAGCCGAGCCGAGGAGGCCAACATGTCCAATGTCTCTGAAGGCAAATCAAGAAAGGAAGGCCGGGCACTCTCTGACTTCAACACTCTCATTTCCAGCCCGAGGCTTGGCAGCAGAGAGAAGAAGAAGCCAAAGGGCCAGAGAGAGCAGCTCAATAAAACCAAGAAGATGAACAGGACCACAAATGAGTTCCAAGATAGCTCAGAGAGTGAACCAGAGTTGTTTATTAGTGGCGACGAGCTCATGAACCAGAACCAGAGTAGTAAGAAGAGCTGGAAGAACAAGCGTAGTATGCGCATGGCAAGTGAGCTGGAGGAGATAAAGTGCCGCAAGGCAAATGAAAGAGAGGACCGCAGTTTGGGAAGCCAAGGGTTTGTCTATGTGATGGCCAACAAACAACCACTGTGGAACGAAGCCACACAGGTCTACCAGCTGGATTTTGGAGGACGAGTGACACAGGAGTCAGCAAAGAATTTTCAAATTGAGCTGGATGGTAGACAGGTAATCTGAAAAAAAGCACTTGAATACTTGAAATTAATAAAGAATATTTTAAAACAACTATTTTATTCAAATGTTTGAAGTAAAAATGCCTAATATCCATTAGTTTCACCTTTTTGAGATTTGGTGTGATTCTCCTATTTTACATTTATTTTAAATATATTTTATTTTGGTACTAACAGTCAGAAAAGACAATCTCATCTTGGGCTCTTGGAGAGTGCAGTGTGCATTTTCCACAATTTGTTGTCATTAAAAACAAAAGAATAACAGCAATGTAATAAAAAATATATAGTCTGGCAATTCTCAGACACTCAAAATATGTTCACGTTAGTTGGTACATTCTGTCTGAAATGTGTTTTTTTTTTTCGTCTCTTTTAGGTGATGCAGTTTGGGCGAATAGATGGGAATGCCTATATCTTGGATTTCCAATATCCGTTCTCAGCAGTGCAGGCGTTTGCTGTTGCCCTGGCCAATGTGACTCAAAGGCTGAAGTGAAAAGGTCATTTTGTGTTCTTGTAGACATATAGAATGGAAACCACAATGGTCTTGACCATGAGGGTCCACAGTGGTATTATACCCCAGTGTGTCAGGCGATAGATGGGGCAATGTCAGTGACCTGGTGGTTCTTTTTTTTAAAAAGAATAATGTACAAGATGGTCTTGCCAATGCAGACTATTTGCTGATCATTTACAATCAGTGTGTTGAAGACGAAGGGGGTCTTGGACAGTGGTCTTGGACAGTGGTCTTTGAGGCTTACAAGTCCATCATTTCAAGTTAATACAGTATAATGAATGTATTTAAGCTCATTTTAAGTAGTGTTCAAATGTTATTTAGTGAGGTCAAAAAAAAAAGTCAGCCTGAACAAGAGTTAGACAAAGTAAATGTTGGAATAGAGTTAAAAAGCTGTCGGAAAGTTAATACCACATTTGGTGCCAAAGACATCTGCCCTTTCTTGAAATGATGGCTCATTAAGTATATTTAAAATAAGTACATTACATTACAGTATTTCATATGTAAGAGATTGGGTATTTTGAGATATGGTGGCTTTCATGAAGCCATGCCATCTCTGATACAACACTGCACAATTTGATTCAATTATACATGATTAAAAACTAAAATAAAAAGGTTGTGGTATCCATACCAATATTTTCTCAATACCTTTTTTGAATCTTTATTGTTCAACATCAATTGTACAACATTTGTTAGGCAGCCATTACATTTTTAGTCTGTTATGATTTGCAAATGCCCCCTACTTTGTGTTCAAGTGACTGAACATGCAATAGAAGAATATATTGATTCTGTAACTGTGACGTTAACGGTTCAGTACAGTTTATCATAGTATGTATATTTTCTATTCATGACACTTCTATGAAGTGATGCAATGATCATTGTATGTCATATAAGTTTGGCCACAGTACTGCAAAACATAATTCAGTCAGACTTAGTTATGATGTGAATTTACATTTTTCTTTTAGTCCCCAAACTCCCTTCTACAACATGTCAGTAATTATTAACAGCAAATGTATGTGTGCCAAACAGAACCGAATAGCCAAATACATCTGGCTAAAATTAAGTATGTGGGGAAGTTGATAGAAAGTGCTCGAAAATTTAGCATTGACACTAAGATCCATTCGGTGAATCTCAAACTCAGTTGGCTCTGTGTTGTTATCTTTGGGTGTTTATGATGCTACTACATCAGTAGTTTGCCTTGTTGGAAGTCAGTGCTGCTTTAGATAGATAGAGCTTGTGTGCAGTAATGCTACCTACATAGAACTGATGTTGAAATTGCAAAACAAAATACAAAGCTGCTTGCACTGTGTTTTTAGAAAATACATTAACATTACTATATGCTTAGAAAAATGTGCTTATGTGTTGCTGATTTCAGTAGTTTTGTACTTCACCTTTGCTTTAACATTGTACCAAGAGTTTTTTGATGTTACAAAAAAAATAGAAAGAGAAAAATAAACTTGCAAAGGTATTGAAAACAGAAAAATCATAAAATGATAGAATGAATGAGGTCATTTCAGATTTGGTGCTAATGTATAAAGAAAATAATATGGAAATGAAAAGTATATCAAAAAGTATTTTGAAAGACTACAGGAAATGAAGCGCTGAGATTTATATTTAAGGACTTTCATTTAATGCAGTTAAAAGACCCCAGCAAATCTGTGTGTCAGCTATTATTAATACTGCTTAATCAATAGATGGTTGCTTGATTTTCTTTTTCTCTCTTATTTTACAAAGGAAACAAATGTGTTATGACCATAGGTTTATATTGGACCTATAGGCTGGCGGGAGTGCAATTAATATGTAATAAAAAGATTGTTCCAACTGTTTTTGATGTTTTGTCTTATTTCAAGTTTTTTTACTCGCTCTCTTTCTGATAAAACATCACATCTGTTTTCCTTCAGTCTGTTCCCTTTCTTTTTCTTTAAAGCTTGTGAAGGGACCAACCAAAGTTCTGTAGTTCTGCAAAAGAATAGAAACTATTCTAACAATAATTAAGGATGAGAGAAAGGTAGGACTAGAGCGGGCTATAGTTGTTAAAAGCTGTGTTCTGCATGTTCTTCCCCTTTTTAAAGGTGCAACATGAGCTTTCACTGAAGAAAGTAGTTTCTCATAGAACCACAGTTAGGGTCAAATTCTGCAAAGGATCAAGAGTGAACTGTATATAACATGATGTTATATGAAGTGTGCAAAAAATGTTAGTGGGAAAAGGTATTATTTTATATTTAAGTTGGTGTAAAAAAATGCTGATTATACAAAAAGCAACTGTAAAAAAAAACAAAATGTCTTTGGTCAAGTGTTTCTGTTAAATAAAAACAAGAAATACCTTTATAAAGATAGGTTATGGTAACGCTGTTGTTTGACAAACATGTTGAACATACATAAAGTGGAGCTTATATATTTCCACACACACAAAAAGTTGTGTATAATGAATTTTGAGTCTAACGATCAGGCAGGAAAGCCTCGCTTCAGCGAACGGAAGCAGCTTTTATTTTGAAGGCAGCAAGTGAAGTCGCACTTTCTGTAAGATGTGTCATGTGTGGCTGAATGTCATGAGGAAATGCTCACTCTGAGGACAGCGCTGCCTGGAGACTGTGGTGTATTGTCGCTGGACAGCCTGCCAACGAACTGTTGAACTGTCTGCTGATTTCCAGGATTCCTCCTCTCCTTTTTTGTCGTTATGTCACCGTCTGCAATTTCGAGCTGAAAAAAATAAGACACCAAACTCTGAAATATAAACATGGACACGCACTTTGATCAGTCGACAGGTTGGTTACTTTTGTTAATGTGTAATAAATGTCTGATTACAACTACTCATGGCGGTAGATTAACTTCTTAATCAAAGGCACATTTTAAACTGCTTTAAATGTCATTTGGATTACAGTCTGAATTTAAATGCCCTAATTTAAATACAACTTTCTTCTCAATTATATTCCCTACTTGGTTTCTTAACTTTTAATCATTGCCCTTTTTTTTTTTTATACCAGATAATGTCGCTTCAGTTGAATCAACAGATCCCCCACCGAGGATGACAAAACAGCAGATCCTCACCTTATTATCAATGGCATCTGTCAACTTTAGTTCAATGATCTGCTACTCGATATTAGGACCATTTTTCCCCAATGAGGTAAGCTCAATTAATACCACATCACAGATTAAAAATCACATGCCAAGGTACTGGAATTAACAGGTTTGGGGACCACTTGGTGCACCTTAAAAAAAAGAAAAGAAAAAAAAGTATTACATTTGAACCTCTGGCTTTAAAGGAGGACTTATTTCTCTTTTTAGGTGGTTGGATTCATAAGTGATTAAAAGAAACGTCCGTGCTTAATCCAACACACTCAAAGACTTTGCTACATTTTCAAGAAGCACATGACAAGCTTTGTGTACAATGTTTAAAAGTAAGAATAGATATTGCTGTGAAATTGAGATGAAAGTATACATTTTGACACCAATATTCTTATACTTGTGCTGCTACAGTTTTTAGCATTTGTTATTTAATGCCATTTTTGAAGTATTTTTTTTACCATCAGACAAAAATGAGTACAAGGAAATTAAGCCTTCTTTAAAAAGAATCTCTCCTCTGCTACAGAGTGGGAGAGAGAAGTCATTAAAGTATGCTAAATGAACTAAAGCAGCATCCTGTAACTCCTAATTGTCACCACACTGTTAAGGATGTGTTACACAGGCTGGCTTGAATTGTTAATAAATCATTAACTCATTCTTCACAGATAATATACGGGGTAATAATTACAAATTTGTATTGACAGGTTGTGAAATTACCCTGTGATAACAGTTTATTTATTTTTACAAAAATGCACTGACGACAACTACTAATCCCTCAATACATTCTATTCATCAATATTTTTTTGGTCATGTATTTCTGCTGCCCTTTCCAGGAAGTCATATGGTCCAATAAGTCAAGGGGATTTTTCCCAAACAGGCAACTCAAAAGTCAAAATTATAAATGGATTATGAGTTTGCTTCTATAACTGAGGATTAATAGGATCACATTAGGCTTATGTGCACCCTACAGAATGTGTAATCTACAGAACTGCTTAAAGCAGACATACATTGACTATAATAAGTTCAATCAGTGCAAAATGTTCTATATGATTGCTGTTGAATGTCTTTTTTTTCGGCATTCATTTTCACGATTTCCAGAAAAGTTCATTTTGCTGTAAATATAGTTCTTTATCTTCTGGTGCAACTGAATTCATTCACATTTAAATGTCTTCTTGTCTAATGTGGTTTTGACTTTATTTCTGTTACTAAAGGCTGCAGACAAATGCAGATGACAGAAGTGGGCAGGGACACTGTGGAAGACATAAGACGAGCTACTGCTGCAATTTGATTTAAAAGATATGGTCAGCAGAAATGTTCAGGCTAATACTGCAGTATTTATGGACTTTTCACAACGAAGCTCTGATATAGCTGCTAACAAATAGACTCATATGTTCTTAAATGATTGACATGCAATGTTTAAACTAGTTGGGTTTGTTTGTTGTTTGTTTTGAAAACAACTGCTTATAACTGCTATCAACTTTACAGTCAATCATTGGTGTGTCAAGTAATCCAATAATTCTAGAAATGCACTATATAAGTATATATATATATGTATATAAGTACAGTACATTGGTTGGTTCCAATGAGTAATTCCCTAATTCATACTTATGTGAAGATGAATGTAGCTGCAACTAGCACAAAAAGGTCTTTATTGATGTTGGTTATGAGAAGACCGTGAAAGTAGGGCAAAATTTCACTCTTGCAAAGTTTATCAAGCATAGAGAAATCATTCATTTCTTTTAAAGGAGCATTATGTGAGGTATCTCCTGAATTAAATCATTAAATGACCTTACTATATCATCAGGAATGCTCTGTGCTGGCTTCTCTGACAACAATGCAGCAGCCAGTATGTCATCCTTCTAAGTTTAGATTCCGATGCGGAATGGTCTTAATTTATTTATTTATTTTTACCAGAGAAGGTAGGCGGTTTTAAGGCACCCCCACATGCCCATTTAGGACACCCCTCAGTTTGCCAGATATGAGACCAGTTATCATAGCAGACCTACTGATTCTACCCGACCTAAAAAAGCCTCTGCATTTTTACTAATAAGCTAATAAGCTAAGCTTTTACTAAGGGAAGACACCTTGCTCCACTGCTTTGAATTTGGACCGCAGTACCCAATTCAACGCTTTGTGTCAGAGTTACGTATTGCTCCTTTGGTTTTCTCAGTGAAATGAATGAGCCATCATGTGCTTGACATCAGAAAGCCTCAAAGCAGTGAATGACTTGCTCTGTTCTCATTGGTCAAAAGGTCTCAGCTAAGGTCGGCTACCGTCATGTGAAGTAACTATAAAGCTAAGGTTAGGGAGTAATAAATAATATTACATAAGACCAGATCAATGAGGCAGTATTTCAAAGAACTAGCTGCATTCACTTTTATAAGATATTATCTCGTTGTTTTTCCCATTTATTGACCATTTTGTGTTTTCCTGAAATACCCTTTTTTTTTTTTTAGCTCTTGTGTGAAATAATAAATGTATTGCATGAATATTTCCACACAGGCAGTAAAGAAGGGAGCCAGCCAGACAATTGTTGGTCTTATATTTGGCTGCTATGCTGTTAGCAATTTAATTGGATCATTGATACTGGGAAACTATGTAAGTATGTTGCGTTATTTTGAATCTCATCGTGACATTCTCAGTGGGATATGCTGACCAGATGTGCATTCATTTGATCTCTCTTTGTTGTTGTATCAGATTGTCCAAATTGGTGCAAAGTTCATGCTTGTTACGGGGCTGTTTGTGTCATCGTTCTGCACCATCCTCTTTGGGTAAGTGTTTGTCCTGTGTGCCATGTCACTTATCATGATATTAGAACAGAAAAGTCTCATGTAGATATGAACCCACAGCATATTTGAGCAAGTTTACAGAGCTTCAGAAGCAGCACTAATACTGATGTCAAACTACATGAATCATTGTCTCTTGAATCCTCAAACATTTACCGAACAAATGTTGCAAGCTCTCTCAGCGGTTTCATTGTGGAGCGTTTTCGATATGGGCCTTGTTGCTTCATGCATTCTATTTGAAGATAGCCTCCTATGAGAAGCTATACTCGTATGAATCCCTTTGTGTGTGAACATGCTGTAAACTTGTGAAGCGATAGCTATGTACAGGAGGCAGGACAACTTTTGACAGGAAAGTCCATAGTATTTATTTGACATCCGTTTGAGCTTCTGAGTGTCTTGCTGATCTTTTGCTCCATTATCAGTGCTGACAGTATCACCATCTAACATGAACAAACTACCTGGGACAAGCCCAACACAGACTAACACAAAGCACAGAAGATGAACTAATGAAAGCCATCTTGCCAGTGTCACTGATTTTGGGGGAAAACTAGAGTCAAGAAGCAAGACAATTATCATTAATACTGAGGTATACTGCCGTGTTCCAGGTTGTACTGTGGGACCACGGTCCTAGCTTACAGTAAAATTGGCCAGTAACTTATTTTTTATATTTTACATTTTAAAATTCTATTTTATATATTGTAATAGCTTCTTATACTGTATTATTTAAGTTGTTGCTAGCTCTGTTTTATTTCCTTGTTAATTGTTTAGCACCAATACACCAAGTCAAATTCCTTGTATGTGTAAATGTGCTTGGCAATAAAACCCGATTCTGATTCTAACTGGCTGAAGGCTAGCTTAAGCTGTTTTTGAACATTGTTAATGGGCAGACTTTCATTTGGTCAGGTAAGCTAAAGCTAGCTTGCTCGCATAAGCAGAACATTTGCTTTTGCAAGCTCAGTGGCATTGCTGCGACGCTG